AGTGCAAATATATCTTCTAAACACTCCGGGGTTGGGGGTAAAATCAGAAGAACAGAACATTCAGTTACTGTACCATTTTTAAAAGTGGGACAGTATGTTTGCTAATCATCTTAGTTAACCGCTTTTAAAATAGGACAAAAGGACACCTGGTCATACAGGAAAATGAATTTACTGTATCCCGAAAGCTTTGGTTTCCAGTGCACTTATTTTTCGCAGGAGACAATCGATAATTGCCTTGTCACGCAATCGGAGGTGAGTAACTAATTAAAAGTCACTAATACCATCGCCGCTTAGCAAAACACTACGTGCTGCAAAGGATCCAAATTGCGCTAGAATGTTTTCCTATTCGGCCCACTTTTTATCCCAGGTAAGGCACTGCAAAGCTGATTCATTTACGAAGGTTCGAGCGAGAATTATTTCATTATGTTATTCTGATCGCGCAGTCACGGGAAAACAGACCTAGACTCAGGTCCACTCGCAGACGCCATGGTACAATCTACAAGATCTCAAGAACAGAAATTACCCATTGAACTGCCTCTCCTTTTGAAGATTGCGTGTATTTCATTAAAACAGGTACATATTAAAAAAATCTTGTTAGTTTCGCCCTTTTAACGAGCTCAAATCGATGCATAAAACTAAGGTGGCGTGTACGTGTCAACTGACCCTGGGGTCAATTAGCGGTTGTTTGGGGCAAAACAACCTCAAAATAATCAATCTATTTTACAAGCGTTCGCGAGAACACCAGTCTAACTTTCAGATAATGTTGAAGTACTATATCTCATTAGGTAGTAAGCGGGATTTGGGGTGATTTGGAGAATTCCCCCATATAGAAAATTCGATTTTGGTTTTAGCGGTAAATTGTTGTATTTATAAACATTATGCAAATTACGTTTCAAAATTGTGCTCGTTCGTCGATATTTTATGCTCTAAATCTAAAAAAATGTGCTGTTTAGAAATTGTTAATATCTGTTTTTTGAGATTTAAGCGGAAGATTACCAATATATTCGCTCGTTTATGAAAGTCAGCTCATTTCTGTCGCTAGGCTATATTGCCGTGTTCGGCGGCTAATTTTTGGCCCGCGGACCGTTGAAATCGAAAATCTCAAATAATTCCCAAACTCGGCCGCATTTTGAAATTTAAACCTCAGCAGTGTTATAAACACATTAAAACCTTATTACAGACTTAAAATGAGGGTAGGTTTGGTTTTGAGCTGTGGCCACGGTTTGCTCGATTTTTCTGTGCATTCGCTCTTAAGGCACTCACAATCATCATCATCACCATCATCTTTATCATCATTATGTTCCTTGCAAATCCAATATTATATGAAAAGGTTGCATCATTTCAAACAATTTTTGGGTGTAAATCTTTAGCCATAGTTTGTTTCGCTCTTTCAGAAGTGCTCAGTAGAATTTAAATTCCCTTATTTTTAATGAACTTTCAATGAAGTTCCTAACGGTGTTAAAAGAATGGCAATGTCATGAAGGTTGATTAATCTTCCGTTTTGTCATTAATATACAGATTTAGCCAAAGGCCAAAAGCGAAGCTCTCTAGGAATGTTTTAAGAAAAGTCTTTCTCAAGTAATTCAACTTTTGCCATAAGCAGAAAGCAAACTTAACTCCACCTTTAAAAAAATGTACCTGAGCCCGAGATCAATTGAAAACCAAAAACTGCTCAGCGGATAACTTTTAAAAAGTGCGTCGGTTTCAATGAGTTGTATAGCTGAGCTCGCGATACAGTAATGTGACACTCGTCAGCGGATGCCCTTTTTGGACAGCTGTCAATTGACCATAACACTGATGTCCAATACCCCGGCAATGATTCACTGAAGTGGAGTAAATATTCACCACAAGCCACCAACAATTACAATCATAATATTTTGGCGCACAAATTAATTATGACCGAACGGCGCGTCGCGTTGTCGATTTCGGTTTACAGTTGACTCCCGATAACTCGAATCTCGCGCCAACTCGAACCAAAATCGATTTCTGCTGGATTTCTGTCATACTTTAATTTACTGTAATTTTACTCTCGGTAACTCGAATCCTCGATAACTCGAACCTTCCGCTAACTCGAAGTAGTTTTTGTTTCCCGTCAGATCATTTCTATACAATTTTACCCTCGATAACTCGAACCATGTTTTAAGCCCTTAAAAGTCGGGAAAAAACCGTCTACTGGCGTCCCTGGTCAAACATTGAATTTTGAATTTCCCATTGACGTGTTGTGAGCATATAGTATACTATTGGAGGCTGATGTTATTTGCCACAAAATCTAACGTGAAACAGCTTTACTTCTCAAAACAGTAAAACGAATGCTTTATTTTGGCAATGCTTACGTTACGTTTTGATTTATGATCTAGAAGTATCTTAAATTTTCACTTGACATTGCTTCAATTAAATGTGATTAAAATGTTCACTATGCAGTAAAAACTGTTTTTTTTTTCGTTACTGCTGGCTAACTTCTTCGAGCTCCCGATGACTCGAACCCTTTTTGATTTCCCTTGAAGGTTCGAGTTATCGGGAGTCGACTGTTGTATCACTGATCGACAGCTCTGGTTCCGAACCAAAAAGTCCTCGAATCGCGGACTTCCGGCTTGTTAGCAGTCGTCGGAAGGAAACCAGAGGAATAGATTTAAACACAGTAGGATGAGAGAACGATGGCGCATGCCGTCACTTCTAGTGACCGATCTTAATCCACTATACACACAGAATCTTTGCGACCCCCTCAAATTCGTTCTCGCTATAAACGTATTATTCCATTTCTTACCAAAATACCCTTCATCCCACTATTAAATTTATATCAAACTGTTCATTGAAATCTTTCTCCTTTCTCTACATCAAGGTTTCCCTCAATGATGGTATCGATCATTGAAATTGTTCTTTATACTAAACCTACGGCCGAACATCAGTACCGAGTTTTACGCTAATCATGTCACGCCTTATACACTTATTCCCTGAGAATACGACGTATATGTTCCTTCCACGATACAACGTATTCATACTATCACTTACACTCACACAAGCGACTCAACCACACGTATCCCTCTAGTTGTCGGATACCACCCAGCCATTCGCTCAATATCATCAATTTTTCACAAGCACATTTACATTCTTTCATCCTCCCAACTTGGTGCTACTTTGTTTAAATCTATACCACTCGTTACCTTTCTACGTACTATCGCTATGTGGACTTCCCGTTCGGAACCAGAACTCTCGATTAATGTTATGGTGTTATACGCTGTTCAAAATCCTATATTTCTCAGCAGGACCGTCGAGAACGAGCGATACAGGCGGCCATCTTGACCGGGTCTAGCTTCAACTACTTAAAGGGCGGGGGATGGTTTGGGAACCCTCAGGCCTGCTCTCTCGGTACTGACATTTGAATCCAATTACAAAATGACTGCCAGTGAAATTAAAGTGAGCGCTCGATCTCGACGATCTTACGAAAACAAGGGGACTGTGAACAGTCTACCAATGTTATAATTGATTGTAAATAATTATTTCATCACTTTAACTAAAGGCAGTTGTAATAAAACAGTCATTTCTTTAGGTTCCGTAGGTCTCCTGGTCTGCAATTCCACAGATTAGTCTTACCCTGAATCTCTTGACATTTTATCAATCGTGTTTCATGCTCGTAAACTGTTTTATTTGACGACTGTCTAGTCTTATTTTTTTTTATTTTTTTTTCTTATTTGTTTTCCTGTCTAGTCTTCTTGGTATTACAGTTTCGATATGTTAGATGAATTAGTGATTTGTTTTGACTACGGTACTGTTTCCAAGATTCATTACGTGCCCTTTTCAAGTGTTTTGACAGAGTGAAGTATTTGAAACGAAAATGGAAGTGCCCTATCAGTTGTGGTTGATGAAAAGGTATGCCAAATACTAATAAGATGTCAGCCAAAATATCATAGCTTAGAAAACAAAACATCATTAAAGATATTGCTCGTTGATAGCCATCTAAGTTCCATAAGAGGATCCCGCGGATTTTGTTCTTTAAAAGCAGAAAGTGTCTTATAAGGTTCGGTGAGAGAAGTGTAGTTGTCATTGTTGTAGCTTTACAATGGGAATTTCTCAGTTGTAATCAAAACGAAGAACTAGGGCTCTAGTATCAGGGTTTATACTTGAATTATGTTTTAGTAGTCGCATATTGTCCTGTATCTAATATCCTATTTATAAATGTATGGCTATATTCAAGTTCGCCATGACATGTAGCAGGTTTTTAAGAGTTAAGGATTAGTCGATGAACTTTGCTAACTCTCCTATCTTTATCGAAACTTTAGAATTGTGTTCATTTCGAATTGACCACGCCCTTTTTTTAATGCGTATGTACAGCGTACAACAAAGGCAGGCAGTTATTTGAATTTTTGATTCTGTTTCTACTTTTTTACTGTTCTTTCCGGTATTAGTCAATACCAATACAAACAAACGATCATCGTCTCTGTATGATATTTTGTATATTGCAATTCTCAATTGAACTGTAAGCCACATTTGAATTAAGGGGCTAGCATGTAGTTTTTTGAAGAATTGCAGGGATTTACAACGTTTCAAAAATCATAATAGTGGTTGAAAATGAGAAGGCGTCGAGCCTGAGATCAAATCGAACAGAAAGAGATCGAGCTCAAGTAGAGAAAATTGAACATTTATATAGGTCTGAAGCAGTGAATGGTTCTGTCAAAGGGTATTACGTATTCCGCGGCACTTTATTTTTAAGAATCTTTTTCTCCTGTTCACTATATTGATGTCTCATACACTGCCTGTTAACACGTCAGTACTAGGCTAAGAACGCTTAATTAAGCCACATCTTGATGAGGAATGTCTTCTGCCTCTCCGTGGTTGACGAATAGGGTGAAATTGCAAATAGAGCAATCAGTGAACTTGGCCGCCGGAACTTTCTTTTATACTTCATTATTGTCAAGTACTTTTGTTATTGAGTATACAAACGTAAGCCGATCGCGAACCGACTGAAAAGGCTTTGATCGTCAAATTAATCATTATTTATGTACAGACAGTCGAATATATCATCACTTTTTTTATCACAATGTTGCAATATAACTAGAGGTTTGGAATTTGGTAGCCCTCCAAATATTGAAGCTCTCCACTCCAGATCTTCCTTTAAATGGTCGATATATTACTCCACGAGTCATTTCTATCTGAATTGGAGCACTCTTACATCTGAAATACACCGGAATTGCTGAACAACTTCTCTGTTGTTGGAAATCAATGGATTCGTTTCCTCTTTGTATTAAGGTGAGTAACTAGCGCATTTTGATTCATCAACTATGAACTAGTTACCTTCTAGTCTGCAAATAGGGTTATACGTTATCATACAATTTTAAAAGGGTTATAGTCCTCGTAAATGAGACAGATTCTTCGTCAATAATTGAATTGTTAAAAGTATTACTGGGCTTCGTTCGCCAAGAAAAGTAGTATTAATAAAAAAAGACGAACAATTTCCAAGGTCTTCTAAGATGCTCGCCTTTAGCCACCAATGTTCCAAGAGAGGCACAATCATTGCTTCAACAACCGGTGATTAATTCCGCTGAGCAGTTGAGTTTTAGAAGTGATTTTCATTAGAATCGTCTCTAATTCGATGAAGGGTAGTCGGATACTTATTTCCTTCTGTAGTGACTCTTACTGCAGTCTGCAAAGTTTTTGATGATACAAACATTATACGCGGCTTATATGATGCAGTACCGCCTGTGCAAAGCTTTTTATCGCGGACACATGTAAGAACAATCATCAGTGAAGTGCGTCGGATCAGAATATAATATTTTAAGCCAAAAAAAAATAAACAAAAATGGTTAAACACTAAGTATGAAGAGATATATTATAGTTAATCATTTTTAAAATTCAAGACTGAGCTTATAGCTTAATCATACAGGAACCGTGGCAATTATAATCTGTGTAAAAGGTAAATTGGGAAAGAAAGACATTAGACTTCTCAGATCTTTCCTAAAGCTGAAGTAGAATCTGTTTGTGAATGGAAATAGACACATCATTTGTGATTGTATTATATTGATAGCAATTATGATCATTTTCCTCGGTATACTTCCGTTGTTAAATTTTTTCTTGCTCGGAGATGATAGTTTGCCGGCTAAATTTACAAGCTCTCAGTTTAGAAATATCACCAAGACAAGGAAGTACCGTAAAATTCCGAAAATAAGCCCAGGGGCTTATATTTTTCAAAGGCCCTTTTTGAGGGGCTTATTTTTGGAGGTAACGGGTAATTATGTCATGTATGTCTGTATGGGCTCCTGCCGCGGTGCATGATTTCTAAGTTCGCGCTTTGCCTTGCTTGCCGTCAGTGAAGAAGCAAAAACATAACTTCCAGGTTCGCTTCGTTGACCGAGCAAGACATCGAAAAAATTTTTGAAGACAAGGACTCACAAAACACAAAAAAGTCGACGAAGGTGGCATAGGAGCTGTTTGCCACTTACGTGAAAGAGAAAAAACTGAGATAACCTGAGGAACAGAAAGGGTTGGCACAAACTTTTAAAACATCTTATGTCGAAGCGAGAAAGAAAGAATTCGTTCAATATATAATAAAACAATATTAGATTCAGTTTTGTGATATCCAGATCATAATAATCAAGATCTCGGTAAGGGTTATCAGCCTTCGGCTTTGACTGATAACCCCACCTTGATTATTCTGGATATCACAAAAACTTCATCCAATATTTGTTTAGTATTTAGTTGGTAGTTGATATTTTCAAGAACTTATTAACTTTAAGATTTGTTAACTTTTTATAACTTCATTAAAATGGGCTCTACACTATGGCAGCCCTTTTTATTTTTCCTCTGTCGGCGAGTTAGTGTGGGTATTCTCTGCCTTTTACTACCTGGCATTCACTGCAGTTACGAATCTTCTCAGTGTCTTCTCTAAGTAGGGCTCTGACAATAAGTCTTGCTTAAAAGCTTTCGTAAACTTGTCAGAAATTGGCGAAGGGACATCCACATATTTTTCAGTCTTCACTAAGGAAATCTCTGCGAACAAATTTCCGGTAATCTGCGACACTTTGCTCCTTGCTTTCGTATTCGCAAGCAACTTCGTTGATATAAAGAGATAAACGGTTACAATTCAGTTGTGAGATTCTTTAGCACTCGCTGCACAAGCGAAATAGCCCTTGTGCGGTTTGTTCGCCAGAAGGAACACAGCGGATTAGACCAATCCGCATATTAAGTTGCTATCCATGCCGGCCGGCGTTGCCTAACATGCCGATTAAATTGCGTGATCCTGACTCCTCAAGTAGATCTGGATTGCGTGATTCAGGATTCATATCGTGAGAAACTGTTTTCAGTTTTCTTGACTCTGCAGATGATAGATAACCGCCCCATATTATGGGGAATGGTTTTTCCTTATTTTCTGTTGGTTTAACACGTGAAAGTAAACTGGCAAATTTGCGGGCTTCTTCTGGCGTTACTGCAGCAAAATACCTGTTTAATTCGCCAAGAGCTTTTAATTTCCCCACTAGCTCCTTCTCACTGGGAACCAAACACAATATTAGACCATTTATGCTTGGTACTATAACATTTTCCTTGTAGGGTAAAAATTTTTGCTCACAGTGTTCAATTTCCGTGACGTTTATATGCGTGGTTTGTGATAGGGTGACGTTTAATACATACGCCTATGCAAACCAAGATGAAGGCTACTTTGTTGATCACCTACCGAAACGGAAGAAAGGTTCGTCACTAGAGAATTTTAAATTTTGGAGTTTGCATTCATGTATCATATTCGATTCATAACGCCAGAGATCTTAAGGCATTCACAATCATCATCATCATCATCATCTTTATCATCATTATGTTCCTTGCAAATCCAATATTATATAAAAAGGCTGCATCATTTCAAACAATTTTTGGGTGTAAATCTTTAGCCATAGTTTGTTTCGCTCTTTCAGAAGTGCTCAGTAGAATTTAAATTCCCACATTTTTGGTGAACTTTCAATGAAGTTCCTAACGGTGTTAAAAGAATGGCAATGTCATGAAGGTTGATTAATCTTCCGTTTTGTCATTAATATACAGATTTAGCCAAAGGCCAACAGCGAAGCTCTCTAGGAATGTTTTAAGAAAAGTTTTTCTCAAGTAATTCAACTTTTGCCATAAGCAGAAAGCAAACTAAACTCCACCTTTAATAAAATGTACCTGAGCCCGAGATCAATTGAAAACCAAAAACTGCTCAGCGGGTAACTTTTAAAAAGTGCGTCGTTTCAATGAGTTGTATAGCTGAGCTCGCGATACAGTAATGTGACACTGGTCAGCGGATGCCCTTTTTGGACAGCTGTCAATTGACCATAACACTGATGTCCAATACCCCGGCAATGATTCACTGAAGTGGAGTAAATATTCACCACAAGCCACCAACAATTACAATCATAATATGTTGGCGCACAAATTAATTATGACTGAACGGCGCGTCGCGTTGTCGATTTCGGTTTACAGTTGACTCCCGATAACTCGAATCTCGCGCCAACTCGAACCAAAATCGATTTCCCCTGGATTTCTGTCATACTGTAATTTTACTCTCGGTAACTCGAATCCTCGATAACTCGAACCTTCCGCTAACTCGAGGTAGTTTTTGTTTCCCCCTCAGATCATTTCTATACAATTTTACCCTCGATAACTCGAACCATGTTTTAAGCCCTTAAAAGTCGGGAAAAAAACCGTCTACTGGCGTCCCTGGTCAAACATTGAATTTTGAATTTCCCATTGACGTGTTGTGAGCATATAGTATACTATTGGAGGCTCATGTTATTTGCCACAAAATCTAACGTGAAACAGCTTTACTTCTCAAAACAGTGAAACGAATGCTCTATTTTGGCAATGCTTACGTTTTGATTTATAATCTAGAAGTATCTTTTAATTTTCACTTGACATTGCTTCAATTAAATGTGATTAAAATGTTCACTATATATGCAGTAAAAACTGTTTTTTTTTTCGTTACTGCTGGCTAACTTCTTCGAGCTCCCGATAACTCGAACCTTTTTTGATTTCTCTTGAAGGTTCGAGTTATCGGGAGTCGACTGTTGTATCACTGATCGACAGCTCTGGTTCCGAAACAAAAAGTCCTCGAATCGCGGACTTCCGGCTTGTTAGCAGTCGTCGGAAGGAAACCAGAGGTACAGATTTAAACACAGTAGGATGAGAGAACGATGGCGCATGCCGTCACTTCTAGTGACCGATCTTAATCCACTATACACACAGAATCTTTGCGACCCCCTCAAATTCGTTCTCGCTATAAACGTATTATTCCATTTCTTACCAAAATACCCTTAATCCCACTATTAAATTTATATCAAACTGTTCATTGAAATCTTTCTGCTTTCTCTACATCAAGGTTTCCCTCAATGATGTTATCGATCATTGAAATTGTTCTTTAAACTAAACCTACGGCCGAACATCAGTACCGAGTTTTACCCTCATCATGTCACCCCTTACACACTTATTCCCTGAGAATACGACGTATATGTTCCTTCCACGATACAACGTATATTCATACTATCACTTACACTCACACAAGCGACTCAACCACACGTATCCCTCTAGTTGTCGGATACCACCCAGCTATTCGCTCAATATCATCTATTTTTCACAAGCACATTTACATTCTTTCATCCTCCCAACTTGGTGCTACTTTGTTTAAATCTATACCACTCGTTACCTTTCTACGTACTATCGCTATGTGGACTTCCCGTTCGGAACCAGAACTCTCGATTCATGTTATGGTGTTATACGCTGTTCAAAATCCTATATTTCTCAGCAGGACCGTCGAGAACGAGCGATACAGGCGGCCATCTTGACCGGGTCTAGCTTCAACTACTTAAAGGGCGGGGGACGGTTTGGGAACCCCCAGGCCTGCTCTCTCGGTACTGACATTTGAATCCAATTACAAAATGGCTGCCAGTGAAATTAAAGCGAGCGCTCGATCTCGACGATCTTACGAAAACAAGGGGACTGTGAACAGTCTACCAATGTTATAATTGATTGTAAATAATTATTTCATCACTTTAACTAAAGGCAGTTGTAATAAGACAGTCATTTCTTTAGGTTCCGTAGGTCTCCTGGTCTGCAATTCCACAGATTAGTCTTACCCTGAATCTCTTGACATTTTATCAATCGTGTTTCATGTTCGTAAACTGTTTTATTTGACGGCTGTCTAGTCTTCTTTTTTTTTCTTTTTTTTCTTATATTTGTTTTTCTGTCTAGTCTTCTTGGTATTACAGTTTCGATATGTTAGATGAATTAGTGATTTGTTTTGACTACGGTACTGTTTCCAAGATTCATTGCGTGCCCGTTTCAAGTGTTTTGACAGAGTGAAGTATTTGAAACGAAAATGGAAGTGCCGTATCAGTTGTCGTTGATGAAAAGGTATGCCAAATACTAATAAGATGTCAGCCAAAATATCATAGCTTAGAAAACAAAACGTCCCTAAAAATATTGCTCGTTGATAGCCATCTAAGCTTACAAGGTTCGGTGAGAGAAGTGTAGTTGTCATTGTTGTAGCTTTACAATGGGAATTTCTCAGTTGTAATCAAAACGAAGAACTAGGGCTCTAGTATCAGGGTTTATACTTGAATTATGTTTTAGCAGTCGCATATTGTCCTGTATCTAATATCCTATTTATAAATGTATGGCTATATTCAAGTTCGCCATGACATGTAGCAGGTTTTTAAGAGTTAAGGATTAGTCGATGAACTTTGCTAACTCTCCTATCTTTATCGAAACTATAGAATTGTGTTGATTTCGAATTGACCACGCCCTTTTTTTAATGCGTATGTACAGCGTACAACAAAGGCAGGCACTTATTTGAATTTTGATTCTGTTTCTACTTTTTTACTGTTCTTTCCGGTATTAGTCAGTACCAATATAAACAAACGATCTGCGTCTCTGTACGATATTTTGTATATTGCAATTCTCAATTGAACTGTAAGCCACATTTGAATTAAGGGGCTAGCATTTAGTTTTTTGAAGAATAGCAGGGATTTACAACGTTTCAAAAATCATAATAATCGTTGAAAAATGAGAAGGCGTCGAGCCTGAGATCAAATCGAAAAGAAAGAGATCGAGCTCAAGTAGAGAAAATTGAACGTTTATATAGGTCTGAAGCTGTGAATGGTTCGGTCAAAGGGTATTACGTATTCCGCGGCACTTAATTTTTAAGAATCTTTTTCTCCTGTTCACTATATTGATGTCTCATACACTGCCTGTCAACACGTCAGTACAAGGCTAAGAACGCTTAATTAAGCCACATTTTGATGAGGAATGTCTTCTGCCTCTCCGTGGTTGACGAATAGGGTGAAATTGCAAAAAGAGCAATCAGTGAACTTGGCCGCCGGAACTTTCTTTTATACTTCATTATTGTCAAGTACTTTTGTTATTGAGTATACAAACGTAAGCCGATCGCGAACCGACTGAAAAGGCTTTGATCGTCAAATTAATCATTATTTATGTACGGACAGTCGAATATATCATCACTTTTTTTATCACAATGTTGCAATATAACTAGAGGTTTGGCATTTGGTAGCCCTCCAAATATTGAAGCTCTCCACTCCAGATCTTCCTTTAAATGGTCGATATATTACTCCACGAGTCATTTCTATCTGAATTGGAGCACTCTTACATCTGAAATACACCGGAATTGCTGAACAACTTCTCTGTTGTTTGAAATCAATGGATTCGTTTCCCCTTTGTATTAAGGTGAGTAACTAGCGCATTTTGATTCATCAACTATGAACTAGTTACCTTCTAGTCTGCAAATAGGGTTATACGTTATCATACAATTTTAAAAGGGTTATAGTCCTCGTAAATGAGACAGATTCTTCGTTAATAATTGAATTGTTAAAAGTATTACTGGGCTTCGTTCGCCAAGAAAAGTAGTATTAATAAAAAAAGACGAACAATTTCCAAGGTCTTCTAAGATGCTCGCCTTTAGCCACCAATATTCCAAGAGAAGCACAATCATTGCCTCAACAACCGGTGATTAATTCCGCTGAGCAGTTGAGTTTTAGAAGTGATTTTCATTAGAATCGTCTCTAATTCGATGAAGGGTAGTCGGATACTTATTTCCTTCTGTAGTGACTCTTACTGCAGTCTGCAAAGTTTTTGATAATACAAACATGATACGCGGCTTATATGATGCAGTACCGCCTGTGCAAAGCTTTTTATCGCGGACACGTGTAAAAACAATCATCAGTGAAGTGCGTCGGATCAGAATATAATATTTTAAGCCAAAAAAAAATAAACAAAAATGGTTAAACACGAAGTATGAAGAGATATATTATAGTTAATCATTTTTAAAATTCAAGACTGCGCTTATAGCTTAATCATACAGGAACCGTGGCAATTATAATCTGTGTAAAAGGTAAATTGGGAAAGAAAGACATTAGACTTCTCAGATCTTTCCTAAAGCTGAAGTAGAATCTGTTTGTGAATGGAAATAGACACATCATTTGTGATTGTATTATATTGATAGCAATTATGATCATTTTCCTCGGTATACTTCCGTTGTTAAATTTTTTTTTGCTCGGAGATGATAGTTTGCCGGCTAAATTTACAAGCTCTCAGTTTAGAAATACCACCAAGACAAGGAAGTACCGTAAAATTCCGAAAATAAGCCCAGGGGCTTATATTTCTCAAAGGCCCTTTTTGAGGGGCTTATTTTTGGAGGGGCTTATATTCGGAGGGGCTTATAAACGGAGGGAAGTTTGCGTTTCAAAAGCGGCTAGGCTTATACTTGGAGGAAAATTTGCGTCTCAAAATCGATTGGGCTAGCTTATAGTTGAAAGGAAATTAATGTCAGTAATTTGCAGAAAGTTTTTACTGAAACTCGCCTTGAGGACGTAGACCTTTCTAAAAGGTGGCCATACGAGTACTTTGTCCATATGGGTTGAGGAAATCAAGGCCAAAAGTGAAAAGGAACCACGCAAACAGCAATTAACTGTGACTTTCTGACTACAAACACTTGGCAGACATGAAAGAGTTATTTGGCAAATACAAAAACTTATATGTTACTGTACCGTTTTTGCTTTGTTTTATTTTGTATTTGGGGGCACTTTCAAAGTACAAGCCCCCAGGGGCTTACATTTTAAGGGGCGATTTAACGGAGGGTTTTTTGCGTGACGAGTTTGAGGGGCTTATATTTGGAGGGGCTTATACATGGAGGGGCTTATTTTCGGAATTTTACGGTATTTTGAGTTATCGCCCGATATTTGCATTACCGAGGTTGGAATAACTGAAGTTGTCTTGTTATTCATACGTTTTACATGTGTAAAGAACTTAAACTTAGTATTGTTCAGCAAGTATTTGGTTGATTCGAACAGTGGCGTCCTGAACAAATAGTACAATTTAGAAAACAAAGAAAATGCAAATAATGCAATAAAGTACTTCAGGAAATCGTCTTTCTCTGATCTACAGTGAATATTGGCCGTCATCCACATAAATTACTGTCAGCATTTTTATTGCCGGCGACAAGAGGAGCCCGCAGCCTAATAATGATAAACTTGGTCAGCGGCACTTTATTAACTGTGTAGCGAGATTTTCCTCGATCTGTTCTCATTCTTGAGATTCCCATGTTCTCCCGACCAATATGCACGGTATGTGGCCGCAAAGGCCCTGGTGTTGAGTTTAAGGTCAGTGATGTCACGGTAATCACGTGAATGCACATGCAAGTGATTACAATAAATTATTACATTCGATTCACATGCACACGTAATCCAGGTACACAAGTACTGCATTAAATGGGAGGACTTTTCGATTCGCCTTTCTGGCCTGGAATCTATTTACCCAGGAAAGTGAGAGTAGAGCTTGATCTCAGCTTAGTACGGGACAAGTTTTCGCTAAGATACGAGTGTTAGCAAAGTCTAGAAAGCGATGTACGTTTATTCACGTTTTACTACAGTGTATGATTTTTATATTTTTTGTACGTTTCCAAGCATGTTACGTCGTTTTCATCCGAGCAAAAGCTTCAATTAAGCTTTAAACTCCAGTGGTAATTTAAGTTGGTTCATAGTATTGCATATCAACGTCATTGGACACGGATTGAATATTCGATTGAATTTAAATAAGATTTCGTGCAGTCATGTCTGTAAACATATATTACTTGTGTCACACATTGCTGTTTCAATCTATCTTTGCTGGCGCGAATACAACCGTCTCCTCGCTCCTCACCGTTATACAGGCTAATTATTACCAGTTATAATCCACTGATTAATTTTTGAGCTATTTTATTGGCTATTTTGGGTCACGTGGTACCAAATCGGAAGGCGGATATCAGGTAATACACCCCGTCTGTGTCGATATTTGAGATATTTGCCCTACGATATTCAGTGCCAAGAAAGTAAATAACAAAGTTAACAAAGTGAGTCTCTTTTCAGTTTTTATCTTCTTTAATAATTGAAATGAAAGCAATAAGAACAAACTTGATTTGTATAATCCAGTTTCACTAAAATTTTGAGCTGTTCGCAACTATCAGTTCCGGAAAGAAATCAATAAAATAAGCTATGAATCGAAGATGATCAAAATTTATGAATTAAGCTTGATATTTATGCACTTGAACAGGAACAGAAACTTGAATACAGTTTTGATCTATGGGGCGTTACGAGAGTTCATTTGACATGACAGCCCGTCAAGCCTTGGTCCAATCACAGTTCAAAAAAAAATCAATCAATCAAAGGGCTTGTTTGTGTCATTCGCGGGCGCGCTCACCTCTTGTTTTTGTTTTTCTTTCTCTCCCAACATGTTAGAGATGTAAAAAATTGATCAGAGGATTATAAAAAAAGAATATACCCCTTTTTGTCTTGCGGGTATATTGGATGATAAAGCCCTTATCTGACAGATTGTCCTCAAAATTTCACATTTGCCCTTGAAGCTTCGCTTCTCGGGCACATGTTTATTTTTCGGACAATCTCTCAGCTGAGGGCAGTATCGAGGCTCTGCTAGGCTAAATTCCGACAAGCGACAGAACGTAAAATGAAATCGCGGCAAGAGACAAACTCCCTCGGCCAAATTGCGACAGTGACAGCAAAGCCGAGAATAAGCGACAAAAAACTTTGGTTTGGCTTATTTATCACCAGTCTGAATACCGAGAAGAAGTAAATTTCGTCAATTTTCCTTCGCTTCAGGGAACGTATCTTATCAGCGATCTTCAGTGGACCCTCCTGAGCTCGCGTCGCGTTACACTTCACCAGTTTACCCAACCCCGTACAACTTCTCGGAGTCCTGGGAGCGAGGTTTTCCGTCACATAGTTTAATTTTATGCACGCTTTACATCTCTTGTATGCTTTGCTTGCTTTGCTCACGTCGTCAGGTAGAACCGTGAGAAGACCACTACGTCTTGATTTGTAAGGTGGAGAGGTAAATGTTATGAGCGAAGTGGCTCATCAGACTGCCATGCTGATGAGCCCCAGTAAGGGCGAAACAGCTTTCCATGGCTGCCACTGCCCGGGTGACATGGCTGTGCACATGCGCGGGGTACTGGCCAGGCCGTGGGTTGGTGTATGTGTGCCCTTTGCTTTTAGTTTGGCTCATCAAACTAGCGCTTTCCTCCCTATAAATGTAGCGTGAGTCGACTAGTTCGAAAGTACTACATCTCCATAAAGATTTGTCCATAATTTTTAGGGTTTGCTGTTAAATTGGCCAATTTTTAATGTTTACTGTTTCCGAAGAAAATACTATTAAGTGTTTGGAGGGTTCTTCGGAAATCTTCGGCAATGGTCGGACCTCTTTGTTAGTCTTCAGAAATCTTCGGCAGTCTTTGGGGATCTTCGGTAGCCTTCGGAAATCTTCTGAAATAATCCGGAATTGTTGTAAAATGACCAAAAATTCCTTGATATACTAAACAAAATAATATTGGCCTTTTTTAGAGCCGTTTTTCTTTCTTTCTGGAAAAAAAATTACTGTTTCAAAGAATTTTTACTTTTAGTGTTAAAATACCTAAAATTTAACTGTTTCATGTTACAAAACCAAAAAATGAAGTGTTTAGTTTTATCGAGGTACCCTCCATAAAAGGTATGTTAGAAAATCTCAAGGCTTTCAATCCCCTGCCAGCATTATGATCGTCGGTACCCACTATAGGTGAAGAGAGACAATGTGATCCAGACTTAAGTTTCTTGTCAATTGTAAGCAACAGGGCGGTGACTCAGGGGGCAGGTAACCTGACCACCGACCTTCCAACCGCTCTCACAGAGTAGACCACCATGCCTTCACAATTTATCAGGTCAGTTAGTCTTAAAATGTTCAAAGTGGATCACTCAACTGTGAATGTCGATGTATTAGTTGTTCGATACGCGACATGTCAACTGAGAAATTTCAGAACTATAATGGTTTCTTTACAACGCATCTCTATCCTCCTTTTCTAAAATTCCGACGAAGACAAAGAATTTCGTTCAATTTCCGAGAGCGACATGAAGCATTTATAAACATCGACACGAGACGTTTTAAAATTTCAGACGAGCGACATGGAACCCGAATTGCAGGCAGCCATTTGTAAGTCACACAATCCAATTTAGAGGGGTGGATGGGAAAGGGTGAAAAAGCAAAACAACAGCAATAATTAAGACTAAGTTCTCACCATACAGGATAGTTTTTCGTGCAGACACAAAAAGCTTTCCCGTACAGTATGAACACCTATCCCATATATGACTCTCCTCTTTAGAAATCGGCGCGTCGCAGCTTTGCTCTGCGGTTACTGGTCATTTGTTTATTCACAACTTTGATTGTACTCGCAGACTGGGTGATTTTATTAAACAGTATATCAGGACCGCCATCAGTGGCATAACCTGCCGATGAAGATTTGGGGAATAACTTCATCTTAGAACCTAAACCAAAGGATAACGAAAGAAGGAAGATTATTTTTGTTCTGTTTTGTTCTGTTCTGTTTCGTTTTGTTTTTATATGCAGTCCAAACATCGCATTTTCGGTATAAACGATCGATAGATACAATACAACGCACCCCTGAAAAGTAGAATAAAATGAAATAAAATATTGTTTTTCTTTTTTTTTTCCGTGGTTAAGTAGAAATCCTAATAGAACATCGAGGCCCTTTTTTTTCGTTATATTTTAAGTTTGGGTGACCTGTGGTTTCGGTGGTTATTCCATGTTCCGCGAGAGTCATTATACTTCCTTAGATTGCCGTTTTTTAGGCAAAATCAAAACTTGGGATATCTAAATTTAACAATAGCGATTTGAAAATCCCACTTAATTTAAAAGTAAAATTTTATAAAATTCATTGGAATTTATGATTATGGCTGTGGCTATGGCTATTCTGTGTGTGAAAAATCGCGAAAGTTAATTTTGGGGCTTCCTAAGTAAACAAACCCTGGTCCTGCTAGTTACTTGGAATCCGATAGTGGTGGTGGTGTTAAAAGGCAGCTCTTTAAAAGTTCGTTATATTCTGCAAGCTATGTATATACCCTATTTACTCGAACAAGCGGCGGGGCGCTTATTTAAAACTTCGGCTAAAAGGAGAGGTGCTTAATCTGAAGGGAGGCGCTTATTAAATTTTCCTTTCAAAAAACCCGTTTGGTGGACGTCTGTCCTGGGGGTGCGTTCATTTTAACTTTTTTTATTTAACTTGTCATATCTGTGATTCGAGTACCTCTGTACCGTATATTCTCGATAAGGGCCTACGCTCTAATAAGCGCCTATCCCCGAAAAAGCCCTGACTCACAACCTTAGCCATAATATCAAACAAGCGCCCTTATCGAATCAGCGCCCTCTCCCCTCCCCATAACTTTCTAAAATAGTAGGAATGCAAGAGGGATACGACGATCTGCATATTAATGACGAGGATAATCTTAAAGGTGAAGCGCAAAGTGATTGCGCGAAAATAGCGGGCGCACCGCAAAGATCGTGACGTCACAGAGATAAACTCCCTTCCAAACACAACTCTCAGTCAATTAGAGCGGGCGTATTACCGGACTAAATTAGGAACGGGAACGTCAGTTGACAACGGCGCACGCAAATCAAACAACTGGCTTAACCCTATCGTCAAATGACGTCAAATTCTGTTGTTAAATTAGCCTAGTGAAAAAGTCGGGATTGCACGTGCTATTCACTAAATCACTATGATCTAGAAACTCATTTGCAACCTCGACAAAACGAGAAGCGGCCGCCACTGTTACGGTCAGTTTTCAAAACCGGCCAATTTCGCTTCTCGAGGAGTATTACTAATAGTCTCCTAGTAGCGTAGCCAATAAAAATGCAGGATTTGCATTAGTCCACAAGTGGGTGATACTAAAATGGGATAGGGTCTCTGACACGTGTGAGAGGCTAGCGGCACATACCAGGAAAAATTGACCCAAGTATTCCCCTGGTAGCTGTCGTGACGTCAAGATCAAAAGCAACTATAGCAACTGACTATTGTGAGATTAACTACTATGAACAATTCTAATAAAAAATACTTTGAATTTGCAGCTCGTGATTCTTTCATTTTTTGTGTTCATAACACGTTTGCCTGGCACAAAGCAGGACGACGACCGTTCATCGCCATGTAGCACTCCAGTCACGGTCGAAGACGCCAAGGCGGAGTTACAGGCAAATGGCATAGCTATCAACAAGAACTACATGGCGTTCACTTTGGCAGAAGCAAAATTAAACTTCAAAAATCTCGTCACTATGGAACCTATGAATTTTTCATCGATAGTAAAACGGATAGTGAGTCCTTTAGGCCATGTGACCGAGATTGTAGGCTGTTATCCAGAAAAAGTACCCCAAGATTTTTGCACGAGGTGCTCCGCACGCACTACACAACCCGAGTACATATACCCTCGCTACTTCAATACAATTATCTGCGACCAGCGTGGTGGGAGTTGCGGTTCTGGAGCTCAGGGGGAATGTAAAGAGTTTGGTAAGGACCAGGACCTGGCGCAATATGATCCAACGGCACCGTGTGGTGATCGCTTTAAAACAGTTACACACCAACTGAAGTTGTGCTGTGGATGCGAATTGATTTAAAAAACCGACAAGCGAAGTTTACTGAAACCAGTGACGTTGAATGTCTTGGCTTAATAAGTAAAAACATCACATTATCACAAATAAGAAGGGTGTAGAGGGTGGGGGGTGTTCGCTTTACACTCATAACCTGATATAAGCACAACACAACGTTTGAACACATTTACTTAAGTCACCGGCCGAAGTGCTACGCTTTTATGTCATTGTAGGTTAATCTTTGTAAGGAGCACCCAACGACCAAATGTTTCCAAATACGACGGAAGTCTCTTAAGTCAAATTGTTTTCTCTACCCTTAGAAGCCTGATTGGAGCTGTGTTTAAAAGCATTTATCTGTTTTGGATTTGCTCCTTCGTACAGTCATTTTAACCGAGAAAAGACTTTGGGTGCCCCTGAAGTGGATATAGCAATGGCCTATTGTTTATACTCCTTGGATGTGTTTCCTTGATGTTTAAAAAAATGCCGAATTCTGAGTATTTGCCCGTCCAAAACCTTTGTACTTTAGGAATAACCGCGGCAGGTTGTAGTTTAAGGCATCATGCTTACAGTTTTAAAGATACTCATTTTATAAACTTTAATAAAAACTGATATAAGGAAAAACATTTTCGAACGCTTTTTGAGGAAATCTCGTTTCCTCTGAAAATGGAAATCAGGTGAAATCAGGTGTAACTTGTGAGTGACCTGTATGCAATTTAATTTTAATTAAATAAATTAATTTTTAGTATGTTTAATGTTGGAGAATATTCTTTGTATGGGAATTTAGTTTCCCCCGCTTCAGTCATGCACCTTTTGTATTTTTCTGTATTAATTCTTCGTATTGGCATGGCAAAATATTAATAAACTTAAACTTAAGGGTTCAGTGTGAATGTTTGGACACAACTTAGAAACAAGTTTGCAGTTAGACTCCAAGGGTTATTGTAGAGATAATAAATGACAATAACAGTAATAATAATAATAATAATAATAATAATAACTTAGAAAAAAGTTGCAGTGTTTGTGCGAATAGACGCCAAGGGTTATTGCATAGATAATAAATGATAATAATAATAATACAATAATAATAACAATAATAATAATAATAATAATAATAATATAGCGCTTTTCAGCTACTCTTTCACATATATTTAGCTTAAACTAAAAGTGGAGCTCCCGACTCGTTAATACATTAATTTTGTAATTTACTACAAACAATAAACTTGAAAGCCCAGAATCTATACACATGCACCGCGCTTAACTTTAGGGGAGCTTTGGGCGACATGACTTTTGCAGGGCTCAGTGATTTTTGGACTGAAAAAATTATCTTCAAATATTCCTGCATCGAGTGTTTTTACACACGATCACAGTAGCAGCTGGCTTCGAAAAACATTCTTGCCCGAACTTAATCCCCGATTTGGCCATCTGCACCTCTCTCTTTTCTAAAACTAACAGCGCAGCCCAATAATGTTTTTTCTTTTTGAAAACTTTTCGTTCGAATACACGATTAATGTTTAAGGGGGCATTACGGTTGTTTTTGGGGGGGAAATGATTTTGATTTTAGAAGGAAATAAGGTATACAGTGGACTCTCTCGTAACGGACACCTCTATAAGACGGACACCTAGAGTTGGTCTCTGCCTTTTTTTACTCCTTTTATTTGACTCTCTATAAGACAGACATCTCTCTAAGACGGACACTTAGTGCCGGTCCCAAAGGTGTCCGTCTTAGAGAGAGTTGACTGTACACATTAATGGTATTTCTCTATTAATTACTGACTTCATATTTTTTTTTATTTTTAACGACCCCCAAATAAAATATTTCCAATTTTTCCAAAGTTTTAAACAATCACCCCACTACCTCTATACATTCAAAACATTCGAAAAATTATTGAAAGAAGAACCCCAACTTAACTGAGTCATTTTTGGATTGAATGAAATCTTGGCTAGATATTTAAGAAAAAAGGTGGACATCAACGAAAAACAAATGCTTTTAATCGTACTACCCCCTTAAGGAAACGCAAATTCACTCATAGAACGAAAATAGTAATAAGAGGCAATGTGCTCGATAGTAATCAGGCGTATTTGGCCCATCTTGCCTATGCTGAGGCTGCGTAAGAGGCCAAATGACTTTTACACCGAAACGAAGCTCTGCTCGAAGAACACCAAAGAAGCTCCCAAACGAGAGAAAAACAAGCCTTCTCCCGATGAGGGGGTAGGGGTAGCAAAGTCTCGGGCGGCCATTTTTGCCTGTTTTTATTTTTAGTTTTGTACATAGTTACACAACTTTTCGAAAATCGCTTTTCAACTTGCACAGATATACGACTATCTAGTTTGGAATGTTACTTTTGAGGTAACTGTAATATAGAGGAATATGAGGGGAATTAAGGGGGCATTACGGTGTTTTTTGGGGGGAAATGATATTGATTTGGGAAGGAAATAAATTAGGGTAGAAAAGGATACTACCTCTACAGAAAGCTCGTTTACTTGGGAACTACCCGGGGGGCGGGGGCGGGGGGGGGGGTACTCCTGGAAATTCTTGGTGGCGGTGTGCCGCCCAGTTCTCCAAATCCTGACTCTCTTTCAGACCAAACATTGTAATTTTCCACATCCGTTTTCAGACCTGGCCTCTAAAATCCATACCCGTTTTCATGTCATCATTACTAATATTAGAAGGCCAACAAAAAGACCTCTTAAAATCCATTTCGAATTCATTGGCATATTACTCTTTCCTTTTTATTCATTTGGAATTGAAACGACAAATAAGTTCATACACCCTCGTAGTTTCCTCAAAAACTCAAGAAAACCATTCTCGATTCTAGACTAAAATGGGCAAAGTCTATACCCGGTTTCCAACCGAAACGGCGCAAAAACCACACCCTTCGGCATGTTTGCAGCGGAACATACCTATGTTGCTTACATAAGGGAGTACCCCGGGGAACGAACTGCAAGAATGATCAGAATCTGAAGAAGCTGGAAGTCTTTTGGTACCATGAATGACGCTGGCTAGAAGCGGTGTTGAGCTAAAAAATTTTAACAATAATATGACTTAGTATTCTAGACAACTTGCACACCAATTAACAGCTTCATACACAAATAACTCTTGGGCTCTTCCGACTGTCTACTTGAAGTATATTATGCGAATTCAACAAATGCAAAATAGAGCCCCTGGTAATGAGTCCTATTCATTGTTGATATCTGCTCTTAGAGCATACGAGACAGAATAACAATTGGTGGATACTAAAGTTATGACAGGTCTCTTAAAATCCTTCAACGCAAAGAATAATTTCCGCTTTAAGATGTCAGCAATTACACTGCAAGGGATCATTACTGGTATCATGAATGACATTGGAGGAACCAAACACTGATATTGCTTCTAGAGCTGAGTCCAACTTTTCAATGTTCTTGAGAAGAGGAAGACTAGTATTAAGAAAAAGTCAGAGAAAATTAAGCGAGGCTGAAGCATAGCAAGGTAAAAGTAATCAAAAAAACGTGCTTTTATTTTAATATACATTATTCTGTAGATTTAACGTGAGCATTTTTCAGTGCTACTTACAAGGAACTGGTTAGATGATCCCTAGAGGATAGTTTCAAGTCAACCTTTGATTATGGACCTCTACAGCGAACGAGTGCGCTCAGGCAGAACTCTCGTATTTCGCGTTCGTCCACCTCATATTAGTCTCGCTAAAAATGCTTGATATAATTTTTTTTTACTTTTTTTCCGAAAAGTACTATAGGGATGCCATAAAAATTATCTAATAAGGTTCCTGACAAACTCAAGGCATAGGTTTCTGCCAAAACAGGAGGTATGCCAAGGTAAAAACTGTCGGGTTAGTTCGGAAAAAAACGCAGAACAGATATAATCACCCATAGCAATAACTACTTAGGTTCAGTTTGTTAACAGTAGTAAAAGACTTTAAAAAGTTCCGCTGAGCTCTTCACGGATCCTTGTCAAAATAAACTCGAGTATCAGCCCTATTTTTTTGCAGTTTACGTTTATAAACACGCGAAGTAAAGCGGATTGAAACAGCGATTTTGGATTTTTTTCAACTGATTTGATGTCATAAATCGGCCACTGTTCAGTAATATTATTCGTGCATTGCCTAGTCCCTGTACGGCGTCTTTCCAGGCCCTTTCGGTCAATGCATTTCGGTGACGTATCCGAGACGAAGGGCCGGGAAACGCCTAGACAATCTCGGAGTGCGCATGCGTGAGCATTTTTGCATTTTGAAAAGTTAACACGGTCAACTGAAATAATCTATAAATAACTTTGCGCGTGTATATCCTTCGCTCAAAGATCGGCACTATTGACACTATTGCAAAAAGAACTAACCTCTTTTCTGTTGTTAAAGAACAAAAATATTTCTTTGAATCGGAAAGAATACTACTGTATAACGTGCAAGTAATTTCTCTTTTAGTTCATTTTCAAATGAACCATTAAAAAGATATTTCTCATTGATAAAAAGATTTGAAACGGTAGTTGACATTCTACCAAATTTAGAGACCAAATTAACAGCCTGTCTGTTAAATTACATAAAATATTTCGAAGTGAAACGATAACGAGAAATTTATGGGGGCAAGCGAAAATAGAGAAACGAGAGATGGCTTGTCATATCCAACAATAAATACAAACTTATTTCTTCAGCTTACCTTCCGATTCTTGATCAAATAATTTTTTTGCGACGCTGTTTCGCTTAGCCTACAAATAGTTTTGGAGATGAAATAAAGTTCAAATTAGTTTAATGACATCAATGAAAAAGAAAGGCCAAAGGACTTTCAACAATGAAAACGCGCATAGAATAAAAATGCTCGGTTTATCCTCTGTACTCTCCATGGCTGCTGGACATCTTTCATCAGCTCGGAAAAGTTATTGACAGCTCGCCCGCTTCCAAAAGTTCTGCTCCAAGTGAGACAAAATGTCTCACTTCTCCGAGTTTGTGTAGGCCTCAAAAGCTTCCTCGGACCACGTGACCCGAAACGCATCGGCCGTGCATAATAATGCATCCTCGGAGACCCAGGGGCAGATAAAGGGGCGAGGGAAAGTCTAAACGGGCGGAAAAATATATATGGAACGAAGAAAAGTAAAGAACGGCGAGAAGAGCCCCTGGGGACAATGTCTTACCAGACCAGTTCCAAACGGTCGCCGCCGCTCTGGCTTCTGATTGGTGCCAGAAAAAAAACAAGTTTTCTGGCACCAATCAAAAGCCAGAACTGCGGCGACCGTTTGGAACTGGTCTGGTAAGACATTGTCCCCAGGGGCTCTTCTCGCCGTTCTTTACTTTTCTTCGCGCCACATTTTTCCGCCCGTTTAGACTTTCCCTCGTCCCCACTATCTGTCCCTGGGTCTCCGAGGATGATAATAATGAGGCCTAAGGACTAGGCAAATTTGTGCACTAGCCCTTAATCTATAAGTGAATGGCTCAGAACAGAATGTGAGCTTTTTGATCCAATTATGAATCCAACATGCAAGTTTTAGTTTTTCTGCTTCCTACCGATATATCAACACAGGTTTAGAGGTATACTATGCAAGTTTCCCAAAAACTATTATGCTTTGAGTTGGCCCAGCCAAATTCCACGCAATTATGATATTATTAATGATTTTCAATTTGCTCATAAAGGTGACTGTTTGAAACGGGCGACACCCATTTTATCTGACGCGAAATTTGACCACCGATATATATATCATCTTTATAACATCAGGTCAAAGATGGCTTTTCGAATTTTGTGCTTGGCTGCTGCTTTGCTTGTTTTCTGCGGCGCTTTTCCATGGAAGGGAGATGATTTTCACCACCACGAACAAACTAAAGACGACATATCTTTGATAGGGAACGTTCCTCGCAATGGAACAGAGTTTCGAGATTGCCTCAGACGTTTGGGGTTAAAACCAGGACCACTGGGATACTTCAACTCTGCATATATGGCCTTTACTCCAGCAGAAGCGCGTAAATTTCCTAATCTGGTGTCTTACCGCCGGCATATGAGAAGAATTAAAACCTACAACATCACTTGGAAACCACAAGTTTCCGTGCAGTCAAGAAAAAATATATTTAAGAGGGGTTCCTCATTTCCCGTAACAACTCTTTCAGGTCCTTGCGAATCTACCATAGGGGGGGAGACGAGGCTTTGTGATGTCTGCCCTGCCGTAACTGATCTGGGACCTGAAACTTTACCCCGCTATATTAACGAAGTGTTATGCAATGCAGCACAGTTGTTCTGTGGCGATGGAAGCACAGTTCTGGGTCTGTGCCAAAACCCTACCGTGACTCAGTCTTTCATAAAGAAGATTGATTCAACTTGGATGGTTTACTCACAGGAGATAAGAGTGTGCTGCGAATGTGCAGTGTTCTTTTGACCAAACATAAACTATTATCTCTTCACTGTTCTATCATATTAAAGGTTAATGCAATGATTATAGTAATGAATGTGCCAAATTTTGCCAGAGTAAAAGGCACTTTTTATTTCAATTGTAAAGAAGTCATTACATTGGAAATAACCCTATAATGAAAAAATAAAAAAAAACACTCATAATATCAAAATTATGCCATCGTAATTGCCGCGGTTGTGCTTATACGTGTTGTACTTAACATGCCGAGGAGTTATTGGCCGGTATATTTAGCAACGTTGCAAATCTGTCTTCTCATCAGTAAAGAGTGTCTGGTTAAACCCGGACACCTGGTATAGGTGATGGACTACAGACACAACGTTCCGGGTTCGATTCTTACTCTCGATCCTCTGAAATTTTTTTTCCGTTAAAAATTGAACAGACTTATACTTTCATGAACATTCCCTGAGCAGAAATGTCAAGAAACTTAAGCCTGGTTTTCACTAGCGCACAAGCATAAGCACAAGCACATGTGTAAGCAAGTGAAAACTGCGGCGACATAAGCATGAGCATAAGCACAAGAAAAACGGGCATGTTCGTACTTCTTGTGCTTATGCTTATGCTTGTGTCGTAGCTTTGACTTGTGAAAACGGTGGGGTTGACATAGGCACAGGCATAAGCACAAGGCCGTGGACCCTTCATAGGTCACTTTGACCCAGACATCATGCGAACATATATATCACAAGCAATATGGCGGACGCTTCGTGCGCCATCTTGTTTCTCATCGAGTTGAGGAGAGCTGGTATCAAGAATTGAAACAAATTTACCATTCTGCGCGTGCGTATGCCCTTATGCTTATGCTTATGCGCTAGTGAAAACCAGGCATAACGAACACTACGTTGTGTGAACTTCATATGGTGTCCAAGAGGTTCAGGTCGATGGAATCTAACGCTGCCCGCAAGCAACCGCTGGAGGCGGTTAGGAAGAGACGGAAAGGGCGACGAAGGAGTGGGTCCAGATCGTCACCATTTAGCGCGAAGTTAGAAACTTTAAGGGACACGTTCACGGTTAAGCGCATGCTCATTTATTAAATTACGTTTTTCCAATTTATTATTAATTCTATCGTCACATGTATATCACCGATCTCAGAGAGTATTTCAAAGTAGAAGTGTATTTCAGAGTAACCTGAAGAAGGATGAAGGAATACTAAAATCGCAGAAAAAATCAGTGGATTATGCTAACATTACAGACGTTGAATCTATTTTTGACCCGAAGGTTTTATTCCATGGTTGATTAATTTACAGCTATTTTCAAATATTTAAGTTGATCAAGCAGAAGTGACTGCCAGGGGAGAGTGCAGCTTGGTTCTTTGACAACATTACCGGAAATGATCATATTGCTCGCATAGACGATACAGCATGTCCGGGCAGAAAAACAGCTTTTTGATAAATGAGCATGCGCCGACCCGTGAACCTGTCCCTTTAAGCCGCGTGGCGGACGCGGCTGCCAAATTGTATTGGTTTGTTTTTGTTTTGTAGCTCAGGTTCACTTTTACAAAGACTTTCGTCTCAGTTTTTACAAAACTTGATGGCAACCTTTTAGCTGTATGTATCAGCTTCGAAGAGATCATCGATGAGGATGAATTTCTTTTACTCTACGATTTGAACACTTCCAAAAATCTTGATTTCCTTATTACGATGATTATCGCCGATTCCGTTCGGCCTTGTCGAGATGGATACTATGAAGAGTCACAAATGACATCATAACATATAACTCTGCACAAAAGTGTCATTTAAGTCGGTGACTCACCATGGCCACTTAGTCTACTTGTCTCTCGATCTCCAGCTTCGGTTTCCGCTATGTTTTACATGTAAGACTTTTACTTTACCCGGCTTTTTACAGTTGTAAAGCAAAAATCATAAGTCAAATATTTGCTATTGACATGCAAAAGCAATGGCTAATAAACACCTTGTTTCGCTAAATTTAATTCGGAAAATTCCTCGCTTCTAAAACAGCAGACCTTGAAGGATAAAGCTACCGTTAACTACCTTTCTCGCCGCCGCTAACTGAGGTCGAGGCGAGCTGAACATCAAGCACATATGTTAATTAGCTTAATGGCGCAAAATTTTCTGGTTGTCCTCTTCCGTGCCGCCTCCAGTTGTTGCTTAAGGTCTTTGGTGTTCAAAACAATGAAATGGCGGTCATGTTGGTGAACAGAGAAAAAAATACCGTGGGGATTGAACTCTTTTCTCATGTAAAAACCTCCTTTTTTCCCAAGAAATTTGCATACTTACTGACTACGTGAGCAAAAAAAAATTTCAAGGGTAAAGAATCCAAACCCCATGCGCATGCTTACTTCTTGCTTTTATGAATATTTGAGTTCCCTAAATTATACTTTGAGGCATAGTCGCACAGAAAACTTTTCCGTCTTTCTAGCTGATTAATAGTGGACGAATGAATAAGCAAATTTTCTAAACGACTGTAGCTTCTTTATAACAACCTATGAAAGAGTTTGTTTTTCTGTGCCATCAATCACAAATCAGTCTTCTGGCCACTGTGTTTTAATTATAAAATAATTGGTTCGTGAACGCGTATATCATGCGCATATCGAGTTATCATGAGTGTTATCATGCTCAAATTTCCCCTTGGTTTATATTAGTTTTATCTTCCTGTTGCACTATGGGTGTGGTAATGAGTGGGTGCTAAGTGTAAAACTCTGGAAGATAAAATTTATGCTAACCAACGGATAAAATTGACCACAGATCGCTAGATTACTTCGAAAGTTTGCTGAGCACTTCAAGATTGTAGAGTTTCCCTTTACCTCTAACGCTTCAACTTCCGCGTGTTAACTCCGTATGGCTAACTCAATATTTGCTCGCTAAGCATAAACAAATTCTTAATTAATAAAAATGACATAATCAGAGTTTTTTAGCATTATTACAACATCTTTTATTGATTCATTTATTTATATTATGTTCTTTAATTTTGCCGAGTAATGTTTTCCTTGGGCTCGACGCCTGCCTTTTAAAACTCTTACCCATAGGCCATTTACACGATAACGTCATGCTCATCTACCAGTATCCTTTATTTGTTTCAAAGCTATTGCAAATGGTGTTGGGATTATGAGGTGAATAAGAAAAAAACGAGGAAGTGATTCTGGTAGTTGTGGTCACGTTACTCCAAAGAGCAATAAATGGTTAGCAGTTTGGTGTTATTGACTCACGCTATACCGTCTTTTTTTCTCTTCATGGGTTACGCACCATTAGTGTCATAAATCAGTGATTTCTTGCTGATGAATATCAGGAAACGGCCGACAAAACAGAATACGATACGAAATTTTGACGCACTTTGAAAATACGTATAAAGCTTTAAATGTTAATACTTACTGTACTGACCCTAAGGTGATCTGACTTTTGATGGTTAGTTTGTGCTAAAAGGCAATGCACTCTACCTCCGTCTGTTGGTTGAATGGACGTGCTTGCTTGCATGCATGTTTTATTTATTTGGAGTTTTATACAATAAATAGTATATCAACTATTTCCAAATAACTAAAATTACAAACAACAAAAAATTCCTAACCACATATGGCTAATAAGTTATTAATCAATTAAGTCCTAGAGTATTTACTTTTTGCCGTCTTCCCCTTTACTTTTTTCAAAGCATTCGAATACCGTAAAATTCCGAAAATAAGCCCCTCCATGTATAAGCCCCTCAAACCGGTAACGCAAAAAACCCTCCGTTAAATCGCCTCTCCAAATATAAGCTCACTGGGGGATTGTACTTGGAAAATTGCCCTCAAATACAAAATAAAACAAAGCAAAGACGATAAATTTACTTCCAACTATAAGGCTAGCCCAATCGATTTTGAAACGCAAATTTCCCTTCGTAGATAATCCCCTCCAAATATAAGCCCCTCCAAAAATAAGCCCCTCAAAAAGGGCCTTTGAAAAATATAATCCCCAGGGCTTATTTTCGGAATTTTACGGTATACGTTTTGGTACTAGTTTTTGAAATTTAAGCATTTACACCGGGCAGGGGAAGGGGGAGGGGCCAGGGGTGCCTCGACCACCCTTCCCCCCAAAAAAACGTTTTGTGCGAAATAAACAATATATACTGATGGCTGCTTCGCCAGAAGCATGAAACTCTGAGTAGCAATAAATTTTCAAGACCTAACCCAGTTCCATCAACTATTGAGTACTCTTATAGTCGATGAGGACATCACTCTGGCACTTGGTTGTAACTTTCAATGTATATTTCATTTTCAAGTTCTTTACTAAATAGTCTCTAAAAAAGGTTTTTTGATATTAGACTTAGGATCTGGATTTCACTCTTGTCCACAATAAGGGAATAACAGGGTGGATAGTTGAGATAGTTTAAATGAAATGTAATGTTTAGCACTGTGCGTCTTTCTAGTTTAAATGCTACATGATCCCGCACCTGTGCGCAAACCAGAAAACCATTTAAAACTTCCTGAACTGAATCGGAGGGCTGGGAACCCGGAAACTGAGAGCGACTGTTCCTTGAAAAGTGGAAACACACTGCATTTAGCTTTTCGACATTGATATAAATTGGGTCTTTGCTAGAAGGAATCTGGTAATAATCGTAGCCTTCTTATAACAGTTACATCTATTTGCGATGAACTAGCATAGAAGACTTCTCAGACATTACCCCTCCAGGGTTCCCCTACGCACTTGAATCCAGCGTCCCACGCACTTAAAAAACTGCTGCACGGGCCCTGAACAACAACTTATATTTCTAGACTCATTGTAACACCCAGAGAATTTCCCTTTCAGAGCGGTTTAATACCAGCAGCCTAAGTACATTCTCAAACAAAATAAACGTCAGCAAAAAAGTGGTGGAAGTGGAAGTGGAAGAGGAAATATTGCTTGATCTCTTTCCATTTCCTTCCTGCAGCGCTCTCTCCTTCTGATGATCAGTTTTTAATACGTAATTGTCTTTGATCTTATCACTGTCTCTTCAAAACTTCTAACTGCCCTAATTTTACCATTATAGCTTAAAGCACCTTTTGAGTTACGATTTTGTCAATGATGTGCATGCGAATATTCAGGTACATGCGGTACTTGGCTTTCAAAACTGAATATTGATCTTAAAGGAACGGGTTATAAGTGACTATCAATTCATCACACTATTTTTCCCTGACAACGTCAAAAATATTTCAATATAAATAGCCTTGTTTGTGTCTCTATTAGCCAGTTGTGCTTTGCACTGCCCTCAAGCATACAGTTCAGACAGTTATAGTTCATCCGACCCTGAACAAGGCATAAACTGAGCTCTTCAGGATATAAGGTACAGCAAGTAAATTGCAGAATTGTCTCCATTTGAAGTTAATGCGAGTAATTACATTTTACCACAGTGATCTTTAGTCCGCGATAGACAAGTCCAATGTTTCATGGTTTTCATAAGTTTCAACTCCCAGATACTTCAAAAGACTTCGGCAGATAACAGTCGGAGAGCATTTAATCATATGTTCGATAGATTTAGATAGATAGATAGATATATTTGGAGTTTGAGGGTATCCTATTTTGCTACTGCTTCATAAAGCTTGTAAATTTATGATTCAACTTGAAATAACTTTAGAGTCACAGGGGACCTACGCAACCGTGACCGTTTTCAGCGTCTTTTAACATGATTAACAGAAAATATATGTAATACCTATACATAGCTAGCAATATCGTGTAATAGTTCGATGATTAAAATTAAAATGACCTAACTTTAATTGAACTGCTCGCTTTGTCGTTCTTTCGAGCGTAAATGGCGAATTTGGGTCAGCTAATATAAGACCACTCAAGTCACTCGAGAATTCGTCGTTTACATTTGAAACATCGACAATACATGAAAAGAATTAAGAAAAGATCACGTTTATTTTGGCAATACAAGGTAATAGTCGTCCTAGCATTCCACTACATTATAACATTATAATAACCAATCTATAAGGTAAATCAGTACATTTCTATACATTTCCTGGTAAAAGATCACGATTACACAGCTTTCATCGGCTCTTCATTGATAGGAATGCAAAAAACAATAACAACCCGATGAATATCTAAAAAACGATCGAGGTTTTCTAAAAGACAAAGTTGACGGATAAAACGGTGATCCCATACGTTCCCTAAAACTTCGATGGGAGCGGTCAGCAAGCAAGATGGAGGCGAGAAGTGATAGAGGGATGAACTTAAGACTTGTTGTCTTCCCCTGTCTTCCTTTTATTAATATGCATAACTGTCTTCCTCCATATCTAATGAGGGTCTTCCTTAGACTGCAAAACGGTCGGTTTTTTTTCCCAAAATCAGTAAAGAAATCGGTAAAGCGTGGCGTAAGAGTCTTCTTCTGTCTTCCTGCATACCAATGAGGGTCTTCCTGTATACTAATAACTGTCTTCCTGCATACCAATAAGGGTCTTCCTGTATACTAATAACTGACTTCCTGCATACTAATGAGGGTCTTCCTGCATACTAATAACTGTCTTCCTGCATACTAATGAGGGTCTTCCCGCATACTAATAACTGTCTTCCTGCATACTAATGAGGGTCTTCCTGTATACTAATAACTGTCTTCCTGCATACTAATAACTGTCTTCCTGCATACCAATGAGGGTCTTCCTGTATACTAATAACTGTCTGTCTTATTCGAGTTCGCTAGCCTATAACTAAAAAATCGGTTATAAAAAAAAAGAACTTAGACGCAAAATGGACCTCAAAATCTTTATTTTAATCTTGATTGCCTATTACAAAAACAGTGTTCTCTCTATGAAATTATTATATCTTGATGTCTTCATTGTTACACGCTCCGTTAACCAGTAGTAATTTGCATCTGACCTCCGGGATGTGACCAGTATTCACTCTCTCATACCTCTTTTGTGTTCTCGTAAATTAAACAATTAATGCGTCAGTCCTCTAACAAAGAGATAAGTTACCGTTCAACACACAATTTTTAGATCTATTGAAGAATAGATATTGAAAAAATAAATATTCCACTGTAAAGTGCATCGACAACCGTTTGATGATTTGGTTATTGGTCTATCGAGCATTCGATTGGTTCTTTTCTAGGAAAGATCTTACGCTGGGATCCTCTTTGTGCAAATAAATCCATTTCGATTTTCCATTGCAATAGTGTCTTATTTTCACACGCCAGTAATTTCCATACGAGTATGATGGAGGATACAGATCATAAAGATGCCTGGCAACGTGATTTTACATTTTCGTGATCCTAAAGTCTTTTGGTAGGGTTTGGCATCGGGGCGCTCGTTGCATATAATTTTATTCAACGGAATAGACCGTTTCAGACCAAACTGAATCAAAAGGAAATGACCGTGACTTTCTTGCAATTTTCGGGGACGACTTGACTACAGGAAGCTACTGATGACCTAGCTTCGCAGGCAATGTTGTCCTTGTTACTGGTCGTTTTGACTGACTGTTTCGTCCGATTTCGGGGAGCTGGTAAAAGTCGGATATCGACGACAAGAGCCGAAAATGTCACTCAATACTTGCTTATCACTTGGCGTCTAGGCGTTTATCAACGAAGATTTAACCAAACGCTCTTTCTGTTTCTTGAAAATAAGCTGACATGACTCGCGGACGATTTTTGCCAAACATGCGTTCGGAAATGATATCGATTTGTTTTGGATTGGATTGGACATGCTTTGGTTTCCAGGAAAACATTGTTAGACAATTTGGGCCTCTTGACTATACAATTCTGAGATTTTTTCGTTTCTTTGACAGCTGCAATAGACACTCCTTGTGTTATACCCAGATTTCTCTTAGATTCCGAAAATACTGCTGCTTTTAGCCATTGCTTTCTTTCGTGGCTAGTTAATCGATACACTTGACGCAGGTGATCACTCAAGGAGAGTAACTCTGGCTTGCCACAGTACCGGGCAATCTCTCTTGAATTTATACGGCATCTTTACCACATAAGTTATTTTCCTGTTTATATAGCCTTGCTAATCAAATTTGATATCATCACTAGTTTTAATCCAATTCTTGTCAATCGTGATGTAATATTAGGTCGATGTAGGGTCGATGTAGGGTTGATGTGGGGTAGATGTCGGGTCGATGTCTGGTCGATGTGAGGTCGATGAGTGGTCGATGTGGGGTCGATGTGAGGTCGCCATAAGGGGTCGATGTGGAGTCGATGTCAGGGTCGATGTGGGGTCGATGTAAGATCGATTATTATTTACGAAGGAGAACGCTTAGTAACCCCACCTTTACCAATATTCTTTAAAAGAGGTGCGTTACTTTCTGAAGATTTGTTTCCTATCAGAACGCGTGCGGTTCAAATCAAAAATGTGGAAGAGTAGCCATCATTACAACCTTCTTCAACAAAGTTCTGGAAATTATGAAGACAGCGAAGAAAGCGATTTCTCCCACGAAAACGAAGTCTCTCAAGCCAGCTGAGGAACGCAGTCTTCCCAAGAAGAAACTGAAAGCTTAGAGCCTTGGTCACGCATTTTTGATGAAGCCGAGAAACGCCATGAGACCCAGCTCAACGTCTTGATCAATGGGAATGGAGAGTCAGAAAATGTGGCCCGCGTGAAAGCCGAGAACGCTCTCGTTCCTGTTTACAGAAAAGAGCTAAGAAAAGTACTCGTGGATGTGTGCAAGGAAAAAGACCCAACCTTCAAAAAAGTGATGAAAACCCAAAAACAGCTTAAAGATTCAGAAGGATTTGATAGGCTGGAATCGACAAAACGTCCTATCGATGAGCGAAAATTCTTACTCAATCGATTGTACGTAAAGCAGCCCATTCCACAAGATTAAGACTATACCTACTATGAACGTTACAGAACTTTTTATTTCCTGGACCTTTGTCAGTATTGTTGCTTTCAATAAAACTGTAAACAACCAAACTTTAAGCGTGTTTTATTGATGACTTCACAATCTTTACAACCTTTTGTCTATACAGGATATTTCATGAAATTTATTATTCCAAACAAACTTGTTTCATTTATTTAGAACAAACAGGAAGACTTAGGGTTCCTTAAGCATAGCAATACATTTTGATCTGGGTGCATCTTGCACAAACCCTTTAGAATAAGAGGGCAACTTTCTATCGTTTTCATTCTCTTCACGTTCTTCGGGGGTGATGACATAACGTTGAAAAGGTACGTGTTTGCCTTCAATGTGTCTTTCATACAAAGCCTTCAACACACGGTAACTTTCGGGATGATGCCTGCCCTCCCTTGCGTAGAATACCCGAATTAGATATGGAGGAAGACAGTTATGCATATTAATAAACGGAAAACAGGGGAAGACAACAACAAGGCTTAATGTGGCTGGCTGTGTGCCAGATCATTTTAAGCTAGCTAACGTTATTCCTTTCCACAAGAAGGACTCCGTGATTTGCATGAACAACTATCGACCCATCTCGCTGCTTTCTAGTTTCAGCAGAATATTGGAAAAACTTGTGTATAAGAGACTTGTTAATTTTATTGATAAATACAACATTTTGTATGTCAACCAGTTTGGCTTTAGAGAACAACACTCTACAATGCATGCAACTCTTCTAATTACAGATAAGAAAAAGAGAGCTAAAGAAGATGGCCTATTCTCATGCGGAATCTTCCTTCATTTCTCAAAAGCCTTTGATACTGTTGTCCATAGCATATTAATTAGAAAACTAAGTCATTATGGGATCCGTGGAATTGCAATGACTAGTTTACTTCCTAATTGCCCAATAGGAGGCAACATGTTTCTATTGGTAGCACTAAGTCTGATGACATTGTTATTACTCATGGAGTTCCGCAGGGATCGGTGCTAGGTCCCCTCCTATTTCTGTTGTATATTAATGACTTATAATAAGTATCAACAAGTCACTTAGTCAAATTATTAATCCCCAATAGGGAGATTAAACAAGAAAAATATATTAAGTATTTAGGATTACATATTGACTCACACCTTAGTTGGAAATTCCACATTTTGCATATTTCAAAAAAAAATTAAGCGCTGTATTGGAAGACTTCCTAAAATTAGGTACTTTGTTAGCCAACAAGTCCTTATTCAGTCATACTACACACTTATTTATCCTTTTTTCACTTATAGCTTAATTACCTGGGGAAATACATATCCACCTTCTCTACAGCCTCTTATTACTTTACAGAAAAAAATCAGATAGAGTTATAACCTTTTCTGATTTTATTCTCATTCTAGTCCTCTCTTAAGCAAGTTGGGGCTACTTAAATTAGGGGATTTAATATATTTAGACAGTGCTCTTTTTATGCATGATTACTATTCTTATGGACTTCCAAGTACTTCAATAATTTCTTTAAAAGCATTAGTAAAGTACAACAATTTGCAACCAGAATGGCCTCTAAGAAGTCTTATTATTTACTGAAAGCTAGGACGAATTATGGAAAAATTAATATCCATTTCAGCTGAGCTAAACTATACAATGCTATAAAAGAAGATCTAAAATCATCGAGTCGTTTTCGCTTTAAAAAGCTTTTAAAAGAATCTGTCATCTCCAAATATTGATTGGTGTACTTTATATGCAGCTAATTGTGTGCACAGCCGTTGTTTTGTCTTGCTTCTTTGTTTATTCGTTTGGCCCACATGGCCCAGCCATGTGGGAAAGTAACAATTATTTCCTTTTAATGACTCTACACTTTTTTATCAAGAGCACAATAAAGGTTGTTGTTGTTGTTGTTTGTTGTTAGAACGCAGAAAAAAAAACTTAGATGGAAGTAGTTGTGGTGCAAAAGATTCTCAAGTTTTTTTGCAAACGACCAATAAAATTCGAGTTCAACAATGCAACCGTTGAAAACTTTAAAACCGTTTGAACCTACCTGACCTCACAGGAAACAGCCCTGAAATTCATGAAATTTTATTGGTCCGTTTGCAAGAAAAACTTGAGAATCGTTTGTTTTCAAAAACTTCAAAGTGTGATTGGATAATCTTCATCCAAGTGCCCCGGTTCGAGTAGTCGCACTGTAAGTGTTCTTAAGTGTAACTGAGCTCCATTCATTTCTTACTCAGAAAGCCAATCGAACTCAACTTGCGGGCAATACATATACCCATGACTAGTACATTTCAGTGTGAGTATTGTCAATGTTTTACATTCAAAAGATGCCATAAATTCAAACTAAAATGTACTAGTCATGGAGGTATGTATAGTGCGCATTATTCTGGAAAAATTAGCATAACGTCAAAACAGTGAATGTTGTAACGCAGATTTTTGAGAGGTTCGTAGGATAGGTTTGTCTTGAAATTTTAAGATGTTGCAGTGAATCAATCTCAATAAAAGTTTCAGACCTTATTATATAAATTATGAAGATTACGTGAAAAGATTTTTTAAAAATTCGTTCGAGTCGTTTCAGAGATATACAAAAAAGGGCTAAAAATCCAAATTTTGAGTGAAGTTGCGCTTCTACAGGTGGTGAGAAAACGGGTTAGTTTTTAAGATCGCAAGAACGAAAATAAACCAAAATTTCGTAGCATCGAAATATGATATTAAGCAGCATTCTGACGCTACTTAAGAATAATTTGAGTCATTTATAAAGTTTTTATTAAATAATTGAAAATTTAAGGTTTGAAATATATTTTTGTTTTAGTCAAATTCAAACATACAGAATTTTTTACTTCTTACGGAGATTGTTTGCTAAACACCAAACTTTAAGTTCCCAGTGTTGAATTTTCGGTACCGGGTCTAGATCACACAAAATTCAGCTTTTATCAGTTTCAAAGTTTTTTGTTTATTGTTGTCATAATAATATCGATTTTACTTAAAACTACATTTTCATAAATTTCAATCCATACCTAATTGTTGGAGAAAATTTTGTAGCGATCAGACAAGGAAAAAACCACTTTTAATGCGATTGAAAAATATCGTGGCCTCTGAAAACTGTATCGAAACACCTTAACATGTCCTTTACTTTGACTTAAGATTGGCTAAGATTGGATTGGGCGACTGACTTGTGGTGAAAAGATTCTATGAGATTCTATACTCTCAGGTGACAAGTGTGACGAATGGCTCTGACGCGACCTAATTTTCTTCATGTTCCTTATATTTCTGTAGATGGCCTTTCGAACAGTGTTTTTGGCTGCCAATCTACCTTTACTCTTCGGATCTTTGCATTGGAGAGGGAACTTTCCAGGCGACGGCAACGAGTTCAAAAAAGGTCTCAAACTTTTAGGATTAAAGCCAGGGCCTCTGGGCTACTTCAACTCTGCCTACATGGCCTTCACTAGAGCAGAGGCGGATAAATTTCCCAATCTGGTGTCTTGGCATTCGAAGATGACAAGAATAAAAAACAACATCACTTCGGCATCAATTGCTCCCGTGCGATCTAAAATCAGTACATTCAAGAAGAGCAAATCCTTCCCGTTTACAACGCTTTCAGGTTCTTGTGAATCTACCATAGGAGGGTTTGAGAGGCTTTGTTCAATTTGTCCGGCTATAACTGATCTGGGACCAGACAAGCTTCCCCGCTATATCAACGAAGTATTGTGTGGAAACGAGACCTACTGTGGGGTAGGAGGCAACGTTTTCGGCCTGTGCCAAAACTCTACTGTGACTCAGTCTTTCTTAATGAAAGTTGGATCAACTTGGGAGGTTTATTCGCAGGAAATAAAAGTGTGCTGCGAATGTGCACTGTTCTTTTCATGAACATAATGTAGTGTTAGTAAATAAACGGCAGTCTTTATTTCCACTCAGGCTGTAATCAACTTACATAAGGTGTAATAGTAAAGGTAAAAGAGTTCCGGCTTCGGCTGATAACACGTACCGAGATTATTCCGGATATCACAAAAATAGAATCCAATAACTGTTTTATTACACGTCACTTTGAAGAAAAGACAAACACATAGTACCATCGCATGAAACACAGTTTGACTTTGCTCTCGGAAATCATGTATTGCCCACACAACCTACTAACTAGTCAGTTATCTCCTAGCAGATAACTAACTAACCTGGTTGTAGGTTGTGCTGATTTCCAAAATTAAAGGGGCTGTGTCACGGCAGTCCAGTTCATTTTGTTTAATCTGCCAATTACTCGCCTTCAATTGCTATGGAACTTGAAGTAAGCAAAGAAATTACATGTAAATGGCAAAATCAGAGATCCGAGACAAACAAATATGTCTCCTGAGCATTATTTTTGAAGTTGCAAGCAGCAGGGATCAACTTTGAAAAACTTTTAGGCTGAACAGTTTTCAAAAACCCTAATTTCACTCTGTTTCAATCTTCTTCAGTTTTGCCCATCCGTGGCATCTGTTGTTTCTGTTATGTTATTTCCTTTAAAGTTTTAGGCGGTTATTTTTATGTTTCTCTTAATGTAACGAGCATTTTGTAATTTCCTAATTTGGCTGAATTTCGTGACACAGCTCCTTTAACTGTAGGCTCTTGGCCAATGTGGAAACAGGTAGTGAGTGCAATGTACAAATATTATAATTATGACACTGCTGTGATGGTGGTCTTCAACTCTAAATTTCCTGTTATTACCCAGCAAATAATTCACCCTGGCTCGGTACATTGATGTACTTGCTAAGCTTTCCTAGGAAGTTAGTGAAGGCTCACATTTCTGCAACCCTTCGTGTTTTTGCTGAGTATAAATCTGACGTTAGTTATTATCAGGTAACTTTATCACCGAAACTTTTTTCACATTTCAGCATTTTTGAAAACTCAAGTGGAAAAATGCAAGATTTTGTAATTTCTATAGCCAGCCTCGCTTTCACTGAGGGAAAACTGAAAGCTTGTAAACATTGACGCGTCATCGTTTAAACTGTTTTGTTGTGGCTCTTGTTTTGTTGATGTTGTTGTTTTTTATTTGTAAATACCCTCCAAAATGTCTTCAAGGAAATCTGTGGTACAGTCCGCCTGCCAGTATGACGTCACGACTCGCGTCAGTAACTTTCAAAATGGCGAGCAAAGTGTTGATCGAAGAAACGGATAAAAATTTCGATTTTATCACGAAATACTGTTCCGATTTCTTGGATTGTGAAATGTCCAGTGGAGTAATGAATTTTAAAGATTCCTTTCTATCGTCGAGCAAATTTTACGGGCAATTATACCGACCGGTCACACTTTTGAGGGCCAGTACACAGGTAGATTGAGGAGTTAAGACACAGCAATAGGAGGTTCATCAAACGTTGTGTTATGCTTTACATTGTGCGTATTTTCAGCTCTTCAGAGCTAGTGGAACCCAATATCATTCCTCTTAAAGTTCGCTTAGCTGTAGCGTTAAAAGAGGAAGCTAAATGACATGTATTTGTGAGAGACTGTGAGCATTGAATCTTGTTGCTTTACCGCACCTCAATACTACATTGGGTATACACCTGTAATACTGTAATTAAATCCCGAAAACCAATAAAAGGTTTCGTTTAATTATTTTTGGGGGGCAACTGACCCAGTGGAGATTTTAGGGTAATAATATTGATGATTAAGACGATGTACAAAGGCACTGGTTTAACTTTCGCCAGTGGCACACTGGTGCGTGTTGGGTGTAAATTAGTACAGTTTGTGGTGTACTGTGTGTTGTTTGTCATAATCAACTAACATTGAAAAATCCTCAGCTGTTTCAGAGGAGGGACATGTCTTGACATCTTATGGGTTTTTTTTCTGGTCGTAAGCAGTATGCAGTTCAAGAGTTTTTGAAATTCCTTTTCCAAAATAGGACTACGGACTTAAGCTCAAAATATATATTGATCCAAGTGCATGACCAGCAGTGTAAGCAGTAAGAATAAAGAAAAAAAGGCGAAAAGGAAAAATAGTGTTAAAAAAGAGAGACCAAACAGACGAAAGAAACGGTACAAAGAAACAGAAAACAGCGTCGCCGGGAGTCGAATTCGGTTTATCTGCACGTTCAAGCAACTACTTGACCACTGCACCACAGTGATACACATGATTTGAAAAATTAATTTTGTCATATCAAAACAATTTTTCTCTGCCATAGATGCTGTTTGAAGCTGGTGGAGCTGTATTTATCGTGAATTCAAATATACATTTGAGGAAAATTAGCAGCTTAAGTGCGTATTTCAAAGCTATTTCGCATTATTTCGGCTCCAACGGGCCGCCTCGAGGTAGATAATCGATAGAACTAACCTTACAGTACTGGATTTGGTAGAGAATTAGGAGATCAACAGAGGCCCACACTCGAAAGGAATGATATGAAGTTAGACCCTTTTAATTAACAAAAGAATAGATGAAATATAAACATGTGTGATCTGTGAATAGAACCTCCTATTCTGGAGACTAGACCTTGCTTATTTTAGCGAAAAAAAAATTTAAGTTTTGATGACTTTGCCGGTCCCGTGAAATAGATGGCGATCCCGCAACACGGCCGGCAAAACAACTTAACAAAATTATACAATCACAGACACAAAATATCAAAGCGGTTTACACAAGCAGATTATAGCAACACCAAAGCTCACACACATTCAATCAAATAAGCGATATATAGCAAAATTTGCTAGCTCCTTAGCTTTTCCTCGACCTCGCTCCTCCAAATAACTGTCGTATCCCTTGCTAATATTGCACAAGCGACCCGAGGCTCTTGCCCGTTACTATGTGACGTCATACTGGCAGGCGGAGTGGGTCAAGAAACTTAGGTGAAAAACAATAGACTGACTTACCCTCCCCATGTTAGTAGTTCCTTTGGCACTTCGGAAATTAGTTAATGAGGCGCAAGCCTGTTAGAACAGGCTTGTAAACGATTGCTGAGATTCCTAGCACGTCTCCCCTTGAAAAAGGAAAGGACTGCCCTTTCCATCATTTTTAGATAGAAAAGCACAAGGAACAAGCTAGTTTCTTAATTTTGAATGATCATTATTCGCTTGAGGTGTACAGTCGGGTTTTCAGACGCCTAAAGCCGGCTTTGCATTGCTAGCTAAAAAATAACTACCTTATCGATTCTTTCACGGTTTGTGACATTTTGAATAGACGAGGATACTGTTTATTATTCGTTTCATGTGATACTGGTAGCTCCCTACTGATTATAGGTGCTAAAAAGGGAAAAAGTAAAAGCGTACAAGCTAAGTGTATTTTTTATTTTATTTAGCCCTTCATCTATATTTATATGTGATGACGCAAGTTCCATTACTCCAAAATATTAACTTGCGACCGGTGACACTATTTCTGACTAATAAATCTATATTAAAAACGAAGGGCAATATCACGGAGCTGTGTACTCAACAATACTATATTTATGTCTTCAGTTGTTTATTTGTTTATAGTATTGTTGAGTACACAGTTCTGTGATATTGCTCTCCGTTTTTCATATAGATTTATTTCTCAGAAATAGTGTCACTGGTTTAAAGCTAGGCTGTGGTTACTTATGCAAATTGGAGGAATTTTAACAATACAGTGGAATCCCGCCTTACGGCCACCTCGGTAACACGGTCACCTCGTTGTTACGGCCACATTTTTTGGCCGCCCGGCAAAAACGACCATACATTTTCTTGTAAAGAAATCCTTGTTAATACGGTCACCTCGTTGTTTTTAGCCCATTGGTGACCGTATTAGTGGGGTCCCACTGTATTTAATTAGCGATTACATAATTTGTATTATTCTCCCTCAACAAAACTGCAACAACAACAATCTTTCCTTATATCCCTGTATAAAGTCATTTATACACTAATTGATAAAGAATAAAAATCAAACGCTTAGTTAAAAATTTTTTTGGAAGTACATATAAGGCACTAAAATTTTAAAAAAGCGAATAACAGGAAACCATTTCTTTAATTCAGTAACTCTTCTCAACATTCCGCACTTTCCCGTTTAGTATGATATTACACACAAAATGTAATGATAATAAGTAATGGTAACAGGACTGAATGAAGTCCAATTCGGTCTGTAATCATACCAGTGATTAACAAAATCGGACGACCGCGGAGCGGGAGTCCAATTTGTTTAATCACGAGTATGATTACAGACCGACTTGGACGACAAGAAGTTCTGTTACCAATTAATCATAACTTTAATAAAATTTGTGATATATAAGGTTCTTCTCATCAAGACACAAGACGAGCACTGTCCTATTAACTGTCCTATTAAGCCTGAGATCAGGGCAGTTGATAGCCAATCAGATTTGAGAATTTTGCTATAGTTATGATTACAATTATAATAATAATAACAATAACAACTTATTGTGGGTAACTTAACATGATAATGATAAGTTGGCATTACAATCGCATTACATTACAATAGACAGATAAAAGAAAATAAATATATATATATATATATATATATATATTGTATATGCATGAAAATAAACAAATAAAATAAAATCCCTTACCGATACACAGTACGTTTTAAAAAGATAAGTCTTCAGATGTGCCTTAAAATTACTGACATTTGCCATTTACTGACGTTTGCCAAGTTTACTTACCTCGAAAAAATGACAAAAATGGACAGTTGCTACTAGATCTGGCACAGCAATGCCATGTGGTTATTCTTCACACCAAGTTTCAAAAGAAAACAGGTCAATTTAGACCTACTTTTCTGAAAGAACAGGGCAGACGACCCAAATTGACTGCATTCTGATTAACAAAAAATGGTGAAACTAAACGAAGGACATCGAAGCGTACAATACGTTCTCCAGCATTGGATCTGATCACAGACCACCGAGGGATAAAGTTAAAATTAGCCTACGTACTTGCAAGCCCCTCAACAGAACCCGCAGTAAGACTGTCTACGACTGGTCTGTTCTTAGATCAGACGAGAACCTGCAATTAATATACTCGGTCACTGTGAAATAGATACGCGGCACTGTGTGAAGACAAGCAAAGGACAACTGAAATATGAAAATCTTATCCAGAGTAACGAGGAAGTAGCAGAAAAGCTAATCTCCAAAAAAAAGGGAAAGAACCGAAGGAAAGTGTCAGAAAAGCAGGGAAGGTAACAAAGGTTAATAATAATAATGATAATAATAATAATAATAATAATGATGATGATGATGATAATAATAATATACATTTATATAGCGCCTTTCTCTTAGTGATCCAAAGCGCTTTACACTCAGTACTAATAGTAATAATCCTAATAAAATATTACAATGACTTATTTGTTCAAAATAAATAATAAATAAAATGAAATTACAGCTGAAAAGCTCACTTTAAAAGAAATGTTTTGATTTTTGATTTGAAAGCGCCCAGCTCAGGACATGTGCGTATACTGACTGGCATGGAATTCCATATCTTATGAGCCGCGTGTGAAAAAGCTCTATAACCATAGGTTTTAAGGTTATATTTAGTTTGCACTAGGACTCCTTTATCTGCAGAACGCAGAGTTCTTGTTGGTCTATAACGAACTAAAAGTTCTTCCATATAAGGTGATGCTACATCATTAACTGATTTAAATGTATAAGAAGTAAAAGTTTAAAATCAATTCTTTCCGGAATAGGCAACCAAAGAAGAGACCTTACGATGGGTTAAATATGTTCATGTTTCCTAGAACCAGTCAAAAGACGTGCGGCAGAATTTTGCCAGAGCTGAAGTTTGCTAATATAATCCTGTCGAAGCTCAGATAAGAGAGAGTTAGAGTAGTCAAGTTTTGACGTAATAAATGCATATATATATGCATCGGTTCTCCAGTAGCCTTTGGGTTAAACGAAAGGTATAAACTGCGTGTCGTCAGCATAGAAGTGAGGGCTTAAGCCATGTTACATAGTGTATAAGATAGGACCAAGCACTGAACCTTGGGGGACACCGCAGAGAAGCTTTCGACTGGTGGAGTGCTCACTTGCCGCTTTGACAAATTGGGTGCGGTCTGTCAAGTAGGACGTTAACCAAGAAAAGGCCTTTCCGGTGATTCCAAATCGATGTTCAAGTCTACCAAGTAGTGTGTCATGATCTACCGTGTCGAAAGCAGCGGAAAGTTCCAGTGACACGAGTGGGTTGATTGTCGTTAATTCGAATTTTATACGGCCTTAATGATCGACCACTTTGGTCCAGATATCCTATGACAATGACGATTTTGAAGGCATGTGAAAATTCGCGTCGTCACTTTAGGTCGTTAGAGGCAAGCAATCTGGACCATTTTTGGCGTCGACCGTCGCAAACTATCTGGCTTTGATTTTTCGGAGGCCGAGTGGCGAGGGACGCGTGGAAGTGAGAGAAAATGGGCAAGATTCAGAAGGCGTTCAGCTGCGGCCGGCCACCGAATTTGCACGTTTATTATGTATAAGTCGGCGCTTCAGTTTCAAGCGACTGAAAACGCCACAAAAACACAGTACACGACACTAAAAACGTACGGTAAGTTATCTTTATTCATTTTTCTTACATTATATCATTAATCGGGATCAAAAGGTGCAAAGTTCCGTATTTTATGAAGCATGCCTGCCGATCACATGAATCGAGTCGAGAGGGGACGTTAATATAGTAAATGGATCACATCAGTCTCATGTCGCGCTTGACATCACGATGCCTCGAATACTTCGGATGGTCCGCCTGTGATTAGACGCAACAATTTGCAGGAGTTTTTGGACTTCTCGTTTTCTGTTCTTATAATATTTTAGCTGATCATGAGATCTCTCTTCTAGAGATACAGCGTTTACATCCAGCAGGATCTTCGTCCACGGTTGTTGCAGTTAATTTCTTCTCTCATGCCCGAGGGGGGAGGGGAGACTCGACCAATGAAACCCTGACTCTGTTTAGCAAAAAAAAATCCTAGAATACATACCCTGTTTAGGAAAAAAGGACAAAACACACGCCGTGTTCTGTTATAATAGTTATGTTAGCACTTTTGGAAAAATAAAGGAAAAATGAACGATCGATTTTAATCTATTACATGCTTTCAATCTCCTCTTTTACAGTTTTTATCAAATGAAGTTTTGTGTTTTTTTAACGTCATGAGATCTTTTGAAACTTCGAAAACATGAAAAAAGGTATGAAAAGTAAATATGTTGTGACGCTTAGAAGCTAGAGTCTAAGTCTTAGAACTATCATTGTTATTATTGCTGGTTTTCAGTGTCACGCCATTCAAAATAGATCAAAATAAAAATTAAAACCGTTCAATAGATAAAGTCCAGAATCTGTGAAATGAAAGGAAGTACATATACAAAGATCCTCGCCAAGATTCAGGTCAGAGGAATAGTTCGTATACGAGATATCCGAAGAAATGTTTTACCCAAACTTATAGAGATTTGTATGGAGACGCCATGCCAGTGCTAACCAACATAGCGGACGGAAAACAACAGAAACATCTGTTACCGAGTTTTGCTACAAAAGCGTCAATTTATTCTTCGAGAAACTCATAAATATTAAAGTAATACGTTTTCTAATACATGAACTGTTTAGATAGCAAAATTTCCTCAAATAAGTCATTTTTTTAACCTACATGACTGCTCTCGTGGCCGCCTGTCTTGTAAATGCCGCGTCACTCAAAAGCTTAGAAATTCAAGCGTACTCTATCACAAAACCAAGAACCCTTTTGAAGCGAAAATTTGTATCAAAATTTGTTTTCAGCTGCTCTAATGCATCGTGAAAGTAAAAATCTCGGTAGGATCCATAGTTTTTCAGTTTGAATTTTAGTGACGCCATGTGAAAACCAACAATTATTATTATTTATTTATTATTATTATTATTATTATTGTTATTATTATTATTATTATTATTATTACAACTGTTATTATTATTTTTGCATGATCACTTGTTACCATCTGTTAATTCTCATTATTCCAACGGTAATGACCGGATAGCCCACACACAAGTGTAGCTTTGCAGCGGAAAATCCAAATATACGTACTTTGGACGCCCTCAACATGACCCTTAAATGAGTAGAGGATAAGAGCGACCCTTTCTATTAAAAAGCTAACATTACAACCTGCTTGCCTCTAAATTAGACTCAATCATAATTTGACAGCAATATCCCTTATTTAATATTACTTTTTGTGCTCTATTGACGCCACCACATGTGGACAAATTGAAGGAAATGAATGAATTATCGATTCTTTTCTGCGGCTTGCATCTCTTTTTTTTTCTCTCGTTATCACGGCTTGGATACTAAAGTTTGAGGGCAATTTTGAAATACTATTTTCAGTTTTTGATTATCCTAGAGAGTCTTGGACTTCTTTTAGACCTTTTGAAAAATAGAAAAATGGGAGAAAATGAGTAAACGGTTTTATGGCGCCCCAAGTAAAAGCGATCTTTAGACATCTCTTTATGTTTTCGTTTCGATGATCACTAGTTACTATCATTTGTCAATAAACCATATACCAAGTAATGACCCGATAAACCATCTGGCTTTAGAGCTAGTTAAAAACGGAAAACCTAATTTTAAATGAAAAAACCACTATTACATGTAACATGGTGAAATGATAGACCGTTTAATCCCACCTGATATGAATGACATGAACAATTGAAATTATGGGACCTGCTTCGCTTCAAATTAGACTCAACAATTTGCCTGCCATGTCCCTGAGTTAAGTTTTCTTTTTCTTTCTCTGCCTTCTTTCTATGACACCACTTTTATAATAATTGGAGAAATGAATGAAATATGTTTTCTCTTACATTTCTATTCTCTTTTGATATTTTATTGTAACATTTCTAGATATTTCATAAAGTCTTTTAGCATCAGAAGATTCGTTTTACCTTGACAAAAATAGAAACAAAAACTGAGAAAAACAAAAAAATAATGAGTTGTGGGGTTCCAAGTAAAGCATCTATACTTTTCTGTCACGTTGCATGTTAACATCTGTCATCTGTCAGTTCACCATGCATGTTCTAAGTAATGAGCTGAAATCACTCAACTTTGAAAGCAATTAAAAGCGATCGCCCACGTCTTAAACTTCAATGACGTCATCCCTCAATTCCGCTTCACGACAATAAAGCTTAACAATGTTTCTCATCCGATGCACCGTAGTGCTTTATAACCAGTTGATCTCTCAAAGTTTCAAATTAAAAACAAGCTGCAGAAGAAAACTGCGCATTTCATAGGACTTTGTAAAAATCAAACTTTTCAATATTCATATGAAAAACATGGTCAGTTACTCTGTACGTAATAACTGCGCCACTGCGACACGAAATGATGGAACGATCCTCGTGAGTATAAAGTTGAGTGAAGCCATTTTCAATTTCCAAGCTTCATTCAAATGACATCCCAAAGATTAGACATTTGATTTCCATTTATATGCAAACTATATTTGATATTAAAATATTATATTCTACAGTAGAGGCTAAAAAAAATAATGAGAACAAAACCAAGCGTTTCGGGACTAATAAAGAATTTTTAGTTGGTAAAATTGTTTAAAATAACTAGAAGAACTTGTCCGGCTTAACTTTTCGCGGACTAGTTGCTCCAGATCCAGTTTACTTTGTACAGATGAGAATTAGATTACATTAGTAAAACACAATTCTATTCAACTTTCCTGTATTTAAAAAAAGTTAAACAAAAACAAATTGGACTGATTCTGAAACCTTCTCAGGGTGATATAGTCTGAAATAAAGTAAAACTTGTTCTAACATTTAGCGGACTAGTTTCTTAGGTCCAATCTACTGTTAACACAACTTTATTCAACTTCCTGTGTTGGTTTGATAACTGATGCACGTCTTCTTTCAAAGTCGAAATCCCGTTTTTTAAAAACATTCTATTTTTCAGTAACTGACCAATCCTTGTCGTGTTTTTCAAATTTGGTAATTTGTCAAAGTGTGGTTTAACTATTGATCTGAAGTTCAGTAGCGTTCAGTGATGATTTCCAGAAATGTCTCTCTTAGTGGTAGATTTTACGATATTGGATATTCAGTTACACTTGCTCGTTTTTGACATACATTATTTATAGTGTAAAATAAACACTTCGAACCGTTCTGTTTGAGTGAATGTTCACCGCCAATCTGATTACATTAATTTGGTGTTACTTAACCTTAAATTGGTGTATCTTCTTGATAAAACTTGGTTTATTAGTAGTATTGTGATAACAACAATGAACTTTTCCCTTGGTGTTGTTTAACACAAGGCACTTTAGCGCTTCTATTGTTTCCTTGCAAGACATTGTTCCCACTTTGGTAAAGATAATTTTTTTAGTCACATTTTTTAGAAGAATGAGTAGCAGTTAGAAAATTATTTTCACGTAAATAGGTAGTCAGTCTAAAGCAGTCTATTGAATGACAGCAGAAAAATTTTGAAATAATATCCATGTTTTGCATATGCTGAATTTTTCTCTTTTGATATATTTTCTTTTAGCAAGTAAATTACATATTGTATATTAGCGTACATCTTGAGCAAAGAGTCCTGCTCGGCCAGCTGGAGACGGTACGGTGCATTTGGAAATTCAAGGACGTTACAGTAGTTGGGTAAAATGTATCAAGAGTGCGAGGACGTATCAAAACAAGGATATGCTTCTAAAATGGATGAATAAATTATTATAAATTGACTAAAATTTAATCAATACATCATAAAACTGGACCTAACAAAATTAGATGATGTTGCAATATAAAACTACCGTAGTTACCGACCTCTGGCGATAAAAATAAAAGAAAAGTCGTCAACTTTACGTGTTTAGACTTCCTGAATTGACTGGTCCAGTATATTTCCCCCCAATTTCTAGCCTTTACAGGGATGACTCAACTGACCAGGTTCATGTTTCCTATATTAAAGAAATACTAATTTTTTCTACAAAAAACTGAAGTAACAAAAAGAACGGTAAAAAAGTAAAAGCTAATACACGTTTTTTTATTATGGAAACTGGCCGATGAGGATGAAAATGGAAGAAACTGCTGCAGTGAAAAGCTGGGGAAAGGAACGTGAAATTTGGACGTCACTAACACCGCATTGCGTCTACTCCAGTTATTGACTGGCTATTATTAGCAGATGACTTTTTTGTGTTAATTGGACCACTCTCCAAACAAGAGAATATAAAAAGGTCAACAAAATAACCTTGGAAAAGAGTTTTTCGAACTACACCCTGGAGGAAGGCTCTATCTATCTAAAAGAACAACGTTGAATTTCAAGGTAAGGTGTACCTAAAAACCCGTTTTTATTTACCAAGGAATTGTTTCTAACACAACTTAATGGTATTTCAGTATTAGTTTGATCAGAGCGAAGAGCTTAAGTTATATTTTTTTTTGTTGTGCCACTGAGCGTAACTTCAAAAACAATGAAAAATGATGAGGAAAGATATTTTTTAATAAATTCTTTTGAGATGCATGATGCAACAACTTTAGAAATCTCTCTTCCCTGACAAATTTTACCATAGTCAGTAGTGATGTTGCCTGCCTTTGGCATTAAGAAAAAAAAAGTGTTAAAAGTGCTATTACGACCCAAGGTTTTTTTCTTATTTTCGGCCGTTTCATGATTCAATACTGAGTCATGAATTGTTGAGTTTATAATTGTTTAAATAGCTAAAAACTAGCTAAGTATAAGTTGGACGGAAAGACTCTGAAAACCGTTCAAAACCTGTCTGCCATTACTCGGTACGCAAAATAAAGCCCGTGGTAATTCTATAAAGCGGATTGTTGTATTAGATTTACTGTAACGGTGGATGAAGATGTCACCAACTAATTCAAGTAAATAGGCAAGCACATTCGTAAAATTTACCATCCCCTTTGTCGAGAAGCTATCTGTCCACAATTTTAGCGACGAACTTGGAGTTATAATTTGTTCACGTGAGGAGAGAGCATAAAATACGCTTAAACAGAAAAAGAAAAGAAACAGCATTATTCCGATCAAGTAACTCAGTAATTATCTTATTAATACAGGGCACTGAGGACTATGTCGTTTTTCTGACGCCATACGGCTTATGATCTTGGCTGATGTAATGGAATAGGCAATTTCCAAGTTCTAAGAACTCTCACTTCTAAAACGAGGCTAAGTGCAAATAAAAAACTATTTTCATATCAATGGTTTCGCATATAGCCTCACTTTGAAAAAGAGGCTTGGGCAACTCTATAATGGACTATAAGCTATATTTAAGCTAAATTAAATGTAACTTTTTAAAATATTTTCTTCTGAATGTCATGTTTATAAAAAGATTATCGTTTCGGACTTACATGTAAAGATCAGACCTGGTTCTCGATTTTTCCGGTTTCTTAAACACGCAAATATATCATCAGATCAGAGACATTCTTCTTTCACTGATAGTCCATCACCTAGGACCCGAAAATTTGGGTCTAATACTCATCACAGGAGAATAAGCGAAACCTGTCCAACATGAAAGTTTATCTATTAAGCTTTCAAAAAATGTCTTGCCGGACATTCAGAGTGGTAGCTTTCCTGCAGAAATTCGACTTTGAAGAGACGTCACTGGAAGCTACCGAATGACGCCATTCTACCAAATCCGGCTCTCGATAGGAAGGCGGACTCTTAATAACATGAACTAAAACACATGCAAAGTTGTTTGAAAGTTGTCTTATCCTTAGTAAATCGTAAATGTGTGTCTTATAGTATCTTCTGATACATTCGAAATTTTTTCTTTGATTTTTATCGAAAAGATTTCAGGTATCAATCCCGTCTCAACTTCGGCTGTCAGTCTAAGTGTCATTGTCAAATTCACATTCTCCGTTTAGTCGAAACTTTGCGGAGATGAAATGTGAATCTGAAAATAGAGCTCATATAATGATGAAGAATTTGACTAAAAACACGGATATTTTTGCATTGCGCTAAATTTCTAGTGTGGGTGCTTATTTGTAATGAGTTTAGTAAAGCAATAACAACAAGCCGTCGTGTATTAATTTGATTTCGCTCCACGTATACGTACTGCATTCATCAAAACTGAAGTCACGCAACGATCACGTTGACTGTGTAAGTTTTGCCATTATAAAACAGGTTTTCAAAATTTTTAAATTCTTCTTTCAAAATACACTAGAAAAGAGGTCACTGCAGGGCATCATAAGACAAGCTGCAAAAATAGAAATATTGCAGAATGCGTTAAACTCACGCTACTACTTATAGACTTTATACTGCAGAATAGTAAATTGAGTGTTAAATGAAAATATATCCAGATATGCTATGGATCCGAGTAAAGGAAATAAACGCCCGGCATTAAAGTAAATCATTAATTGTACATATATTTTTTAATGCAGCAACAGTAATCGTGAACGCTTTACATCATTTGCCAAAGATTATATGCTAATACAAAGTACAGCTTAAAAAATCTGATTGCACGATACTAACTACGGTAATGTAAACATCTAATTTGATGTTAATGCACGGAAATTAGGTAGATATATTAATAACGTTGGTACAATAAAGAAATAAATAAAGAAACTAATGCAGATGTTGCTCTTGCCAATACTTGCTCGATAACGAAACTTGTACTTACAGCTAAATAAGGTGCGTTCTTTTGAGATGATTCGGATCAGAATCAGTAGTGATCCCAGATCACTCGGATCATGTGAGACCATTCAAACCGATTAATCCACTCTCGACAAGGATTTATCGGTCCACTTGATCTACCATGGTCCGAGTGATCTGGGATCACCGATCCTGATCTGGACCATCCCATAGAAAGTGAAGTCCATTTTGTTGTGCATATGCATGGGTTATCTTTGTGATCAGTCTTATTCTTCCATAAGAACTGAGCTAGGAAAGTTGTGTGATCTGTAGCGAGAATGTTGTGTGATCTGTAGCGAGAGCGATGGGCGTCTGATGCAATGTAAAGACGCAGAGTCGTGGGCGAGGTTCTATCGTGTTGGGCTGATTAAGCAACACCGTCAAATTCTAGATCTATCAACAGGAGAACAGGATTTCCCTCAATCACCTGTGTAGTACCAAGCTAGAACACAGAAGAAGTTGCGTGGCGTCGAAGCATTTAGAGCAGATGAAGGGCAACAAAAAGCGCTTTGTTGCAGCTGAAAGTAAACACTAACATGAGTTCTATTGCTGCTGAGATTTCTGGCATCTGTGCCAAGGATTTGATAAGGCAGTGAAGCAAGATATAACGCATTTTGCGCATAGTAGTGATGCAACCACCGAGAGCTGGACCGAAACTTCCGGAAATAATTAAGGGACAGAGAAGGTTTACTGACGCTGTGTATTCTTTCAGTGACACCTTAATATCAAACGGCTCAGGATCTTAGAATTTATAATTAAAGAAATAAGGAACTGTAAATGTACTGGCAGAGACGAGGCAGAGGCGGAGAATGGGCGTGGATGTAACAAAATTCCAATACAAAAACTTGTTGAGAATGGTATCTAAGGGGGAGGGTAACCCTGGTCCTAGGGTTACCCTAGCAAGAGGGTTCAAGGTACTCTGGTTAAAAGCAAAATTTCCCAGGAAGCCGACACGAGTCAAACGAATCAACCAGCTTAACTGATGTGTTTCGTCATGTGAAGACTAAACTAACATGCCTTGTAACGTCCAAGATTTGGCCGAAATCTTGAATTCTCCGTTTAAACACGTTATACGGAAAAAAGGTCAGGTATTACCATCGCATAAAGAAAATACATAATATTGTTAAGATGTTTGAAATCTAGAAAGAAAACTTGGTTAACTCATTCAAATTTTCATGAGTTACTGGTCATGAGTTATCCCTTAGCAGAGCGTTTACAAGGCAGGTACATTTAGGGTAACCCTCTTGCTAGGGCAACCCTATCTGGATGCTTTGTAAACACGACGCGTAAAAATAATAAGTAGAAATGTGCGAGCGCTAGTTTAACCCTCTTGCTGTTTGGGTTACCCTCCCTTCTTGTAAACAGGCCCTAACAGAATTGGTATTTTTTAATTATCAGCGAAATAATATCCTTGTATATCCATCCACCTTGTAGATAACTTTGAGTTTAAACGTCACAAAAAAAAAACGCGGCCAACCAAATGTTTTTGAACTGATGAGACAAATGTGTTTTAAATCTAGAGAAACTTCTCAATAAGAAAATAAAAAACTCGTTCCATTGAACTGCCATGGCCATCCGAGGAGAAGAATCTCTGCTACAAGTGGCTGACTCCCGAAATTACTAGGTACATACCTTGGAAGGCCTTTTGCAACATTCCTTTGCGGAAAGGGACAAGAGCAGGTCTGACCCAGAAATAAACTTTTGCCCGCAGTTTCCAGAGGTTAGACTGATAGACAACTGAGTGCGGCCATGGGATCAGTTATAACCTGTTTAAGGAGGTCGAGACAGAATTTGGGCTGAAAGTAATCAATGAGCAAACTTTAAATCGCGTGCTTATCCCAGGGAATGTAATCAACCCAATAATCCACCCGTGGCACTCATGGAAGTAGAATGCACATTCAGCGGGGCAGGGTGAATTTGATCCTTTTCCCGAAGCAAGACACGAAGAGGGATGACGGAAGAGAACCTTAGAAACAGCGGAGAATCACCTGAACACCCCCCGGCTTAAACGGAGGCGTAAGCGTTTTTAGTCAACCAAGCGCGGTTAAACGGGGGAGTAACTATGACTCCCTAGTACGATCAACCAGCTTACGAGAGTGGGCCCAATCATGCTACGAGCCTAGGAGTATTTCCTTTGAGGCCCTGGCGTTGAATTGGAGAGGGCCGGCTTCTGGAAGCTAGATCAGCTGCAGCTATACGGGCACTAGGACTGAGCACCTCGTTCTTAAGTCTTATATGATCTGTGACTCTTGAGTGGGGTATGTGGATAGTCAATAAATTCCGGCGCTCGACCTTCACCATTACGACCAGATGACGGTACCGAGCTACCCGATGTCACCTCTTGGAACGGTCGCTGATTAAGTGAAAGCTCCATATTAACATCAAAAGAGCGACTATCCTCGATGCTGGAGGGAAAAGTAAGAATGGATAGCGAGACGGGACATTCAAAATAAAGAACATTGTATTGTATTGTATTGTATTGTATTGTATTGTAGTTGTCGCTTGAGAATAGCTTGCTCCATCGCGTCAAGGTAGAAAAGCAACATGACTGAGACTCTCTTGGAGTCGATGATAGAAAGGCTAAATGCCTCGTCACCTAATTAGTGACCAGGTGTAATAAAAAAGGACATTCCCGAGTACTGTGGGGATAGGCGCATTGGTTCTGGAATTCTTTCATAAGTGCAGCATCCCGAAATGCATTACCATGTTTGGTTCTAGCTGCAGCCAAATTTCACCGCTGATGTAAAATAATGTTTACTCAGTTATTACCCATATATTATGCAATATTATTATAAACTATAAATCAATGAATTAACCTTTTTCTAATCATGGGTGCAAGCCGGTTTTTAGTTACAGCACCTAAATGAAAATGATAGTTGCTTAGATATTACAAGTTGTGTCGCTAAGATATTAAAATTTTAAAACACTAAGTCAAGTTCTGAAGACTAAACTCAGGACGGAGTGTATATATTGAGGAGTTAAGGGCAAGGGAAATCATAAAGAATATTTAAAAGATACAGATATATACGGATAAACAAATATAATTTCTGATGATATTTGTAATGACCTCTACAAATACCTCTTTAAATGTAACTCTCCACAGAGCTTTCGTTACAGCTAAATTTTGAGTCTAAATTCTGTCCAAAATCCACCAAAAACCTTCCAAATTACATTTAATATTACAATCTACTCTAAACAAATCAACTTAAATCTACTTTGAAAATATATATTGGCTTTTAAAGGTCTTCGAAGTAGTTTATTTGTATGTTTTCATTTTCTTGGGGTTCCCGGCTAAGAAACAAAATGGCGGCCGTCGGCGGCTTCCAATAGCGTATCTTCAAAGTCTATTTTCTACCGGAAAGCTACCACTCAGAATGTCCGGCAAGACATTTTTGGAAAGGTAAATAGATAATCTTTCATTTGGGATCAGTCTCGTTTATTCTCCTGAGATGAGTATTAGAACCCCCTCAGGTGATGGACTATGACGTTAATTGGGTTCAATGCTAGAACAGGTGACTTGACTTGGCGTATTAGGATCTCTTGTATGAAAGGCAAGTTAAGGATTCTTTCTGAATTATTTTATATGAAAAAGGAAATAGTGGCAAGATAAGCCGAAGTTTTGGTGTCATCATGACGTTATTGTAACTAAAGAGAAGAAAAAGAAAACAACAACTAAAACAATTAAACATGGCGTCTGTTTCCAGTCATAACTAGCACATGTAAAGAAATGTCAGGTTATTTTCCGTTACTAATTTATTTGAAATAAGGGCTTGAAATAGTTTCTGTTATTTTGCCACTTTCAGCAGAAAATCGTTGAAAATCTCTATGCAACAAAAATAAAGTTTTATGTAGATCTAAATAGCAGATTAACTTTCTTGAATTCCAAAATTTTTCAGAAAACTACGAATTAAACCTGATAACTGGAACAAAAGTTAAAGCCTATAGCCAGGTAACTGACCAGCAAGCTATGTTTTGGTCGCCCATCTTGTCTTATATCAAACCACAACTGTCCAAAATAATTTCAAGTTCTTTCTTCATAAAAAGTCAAGAATTATTTCTTACTTTAAACCCTCATGGATCTAAAAACCATCTCGTTCGGGCAGTCATTTTTTTGTATTTTCGTGTGCATCCACTCCATAAAATAACAGAAAAATGTAAAAAGGTTCTGGGCCTCATATTCAAACTGCGATCCAGTAAGGACTCGGAAGACTGGATAATTAACACAAAATAAATACTTATTATACATGAAACCAGGGATCAATCAGTCAATAAAATAACAACAAGTGTATTCAAAGATAAGTCTACGGTAGGAAAACTCGCTAATTACACAATTTAATTTCACTACTTTTTTCTACAGAAAATGATTTGCCGGCAGCTGGTTTCTGTTGTGATGTTAACCGCAACACTCCTAAATTTGCTAGACGCTATGTACCTTGTATGTCAACCTAGGACAAGAAGAGATCTTCTAACAAAACTGGAAAAGTTTGGTGGCTATCAGAAGCGATACCAAGCGATCACAGTGCAAGAAGCTGAAAACTTCCCGCTACTAGTTCATCAAAAGTCTACCGTGTCTACGACAAATGACAGGATGGGCAGCCAGCTCTTCCGCAACAAGAGACAAACCAGCACTTATCCACAAACAAATTACACCAGAACGGTAAAGCGAGGCTCGCTCGACCGAGACAACAACCTGTACTACCTGTGCACTGAGCGGTCAGCGGTTACCACACTGTCTGCAGATTATTTCCCGCGTCATCTGAACGAAGTTATTTGCGATAAGACGGACAACCTTTGTCTCTACGGTAACCAAGGTGAATGCGTTCAAGAGAGTTTTGATGTCAAAGTGTTGAAGAAGACCGGGCAATGCGGAGCTGATGGTAAAGAGAAATGGGATCTAGTGAGTCAGAAGGTCCGATCCTCTTGTAGTTGTCGCGCGTTTCTTAAGACAGTGACATGAAAAAAAAAAACGAACAAAAATAATGTAAATCTAATTTATCTGTATTATTTACTGTCATAAAGCATTGAATTATATATTGAATTTATATCGAGACAATTTAAAATAATAACTAATTATAGATTCCATCTGGCCGGTAACTGAACTAACTGTAACTATTCTTTGGATAACATTTAAGATTGATACACGTGAAGGTTGCACTGATCTAGTTTGATAAAAAAGGTGCCGCGCCCCATCCAGGTCCAGCTGGGACTCCTTTTGGAGACAAAGAAGGTGTGAGGGAGGATGTAGTACTGAAACTTTTGTGAGTAAAATTTTCCAAGAAGGAAAGATTAAGTCAAAGTTACAAATATTCACTGATATTTCAACAGTTGTCTTATGACAGACAAAGCACAACCGAATACTTGCTAACAAATGGCACCATTTTCAATAGTTTTATGTATAAGTTACAGCGATTAATGAGAAAATTAATGTGGCAATTGATCTGATAATTCGCGTACCATTTTAAAAGTCTATATTTAACTCCTTCAAATCTCCTGTTCCTCCTCCTCCACTCAAAGGGCTATCACCGATATGTAGGTACGTTCCAAGCCGTAACGAAACATTACCTCTGCTGGTGCCTTATAAAGCGATGGCCAGAAAATATATATTTGACATAGGATATGTCAAATATACGTAATGATCTATAATTTATGCTGTTTAATATTTATTTGACCTATTTATTTAATATTTACTTATTTATTTGTTAACTTCATATTTATTTATTTATTTATTGGCTATTATATTTCTAGTCATTTTAGAAAAATACCGCTATTTGTAGCCAGAAACATAGGATTTGACACGGAATTGTAAAAACTCTAAAATATCATTTCGATGTCAAGGCAGAGAATTAGCGACAAAGAATGGTGGTTTGGCTAATTTATCACCAATCTGAAATGCCAGGAAATGTAAAGTTTTTCGATCCTTCCTGGTTAAACACTGAAAGACGGAGGAAAATGCAACTTATAAATACAGCTTGTATTCTATTAAGTAATCATTGCACTGAGTAATAGTTAACATCCATTGGATGATAATGAATTATTAATGAGTGGATTCACAAAACAAAAAGTGTTTTTTAATGGGGGATCTTTATCATTGATCTTCATAAATCCGAAGAAAATCAGAATGTTAATAATAATAATAATAATAATAATAATAATAATAATAATAATAACAGTGGCAATAATAATAATAAGAATAATAATAATGATGATGATGATGATGATAAGTCTTTATTCATGGGATAAAAAGACATTTCACATGTTCCATGGAAATCTTAAGTAGCAAGCGCAAAGTACAGTTGCATCCAAGTAAGAAAAATTCAAAATTCTAAAATCTAGCTAATATTTGAAGTTAAAAAAATTCTAAAATCTAATATCTATACAGCTAGCTAATCAGACTTTAAAATTCATCTGTTAATCATAAATCAAATGTTCTCATCCTCTTTTTTGGCATTAATATCACTCGGCCAACTACTAGAATGTCAAAATCAAGTGCAGCTCTCATAGATAATATTATGTAAACTATACTTAGCCTCTGGATATTTCTAATCACTTACCAGTGTTCCAAATGACAAACAGCATAACTAACAAAAGTAAGCCGAGAACAAGATCAGGGACGGTGGAGCGCAATTTCAACTGGGGGGGGGGGCTTGAACATTCGCACTGGAGACAAGAATTTGTTGGGTGGAGGTCTGAGGGCATCCTCCCGCCAGGACATTTTGAAATCTAGAGGCTCGGAAATGGTACTGTCAACATTCTCAATGAGATCAGCATTTCTCTAGAAAACCTCAACCTGGATAAAGTGTATAATGACAGGTACCTCTAGTGCTTACGGCATGTACCTTTTACCTAAACTATGCTTAAACAAAAACATTTTTTCTCTAGAAAAGTGGGGGGGCGTCCCTAAGGATATAGACAAAGATATGATATGCAAAATTGCCGAGAGAAGGAAAACACATGGATAAGAAAGATTATCTTAAATTTCTCGGAAAACCAAAAATAAGTTACATAAATTTTTTTCAGCCAAACCAACAGACACAAATCAAGCAAACTATAAAAAGTATTTGAATAAATTCCTCAAAATAAAGACGCACAACTCTCAAGTCCACGTGGAGCCTTATTAATGAAATAATTAATAAGAGAAAAACTAAATCAACATTACCCAAGACCTTTAAAGAAAACGATAAAATGATTGCTGATCCAAAATAGCTGTTAAATTTAATGACTTCTTTATTAATGTTGGTCCAAAATTGGCAGAAATAATTCCAGGAAATATGGTAAGCTATGTCAGCTACCTAACTGAAGAAAGGACAATTTTTAACTTCTATTCTTATTGAAGCAGTTACAGAAAATGAGGTTGAAAATGCAATAAGTAAATTAGAAGAAAATATTTCTTGTGGCTTTGATGGAATATCACCAAAAATCGTAGGGAAAATATCCCTTCACATAGTTAAGCCTTTAACTTATATTTTCAATCAATCGTTTCTTAATGGTTCAATACCAGCACTAGTTACTTCAACGTTTAAAGTAAATAACAAGGAACAAATAATTGTCTATTGAATTTTAGTCCTTCCATGCGTTAATAAAACATTAGAGAATCCTATGTACAAGAAATTAGTGAAGTACCTTGATAGGCACCAAGCAAATACTGTAGTCTTCCATAGTCAATGAATTATATAGCTTTAGAAGCATTCGACTGGACAAATTTAGCAACATTGGAGTTTGTAACTCATATTTTACAAACCACAGATAGCAAAAAATTCACTATAGGGTATTTTGGGATATTGAGAAAGCGTTTGACAGGGTTAATTATGAAATACTATTACTGGGACAACTCGAGTGTTATAGAATGAAAAGACTAGCCTTAGATTAGTCTAAAAACTAAGCAACAGAAAGCAAATTGTTAACATCAAGACTATTTCTTCAGATAGCTTGACAGTTCTTGTGGGGTATCTCAGCTATGACATGGAAGCTCATGGAAATTTTTGCAATGAATTTGAAATAAATTGTCAGATTTGTCTTGTTTAAGTGGAAAAAATGATACTCGACAATGACAAATCCCCCATCCCCGATCAGACACCTTTGTTGCTAAATGTCCCACCGTAGACAAACGCAAATAACCAACAAAATGGGTGGAAGCGGTAACGGTGCGGAGTGGAGGGAGGGGCATGGGGTTGATGGGCATCCTGATTGTATCACCCCGACCGTATCAACCTCGCATATTAGTCGCACGTGTGGGCTCCTCAAGCTGTTAATCTTATCCTTGACATCGATATCCGCTGTCTATCGGTCTCACGTTAATTATAAGCAGAGACTTTTCAACATTGGGTTACTACCATCATGTCATTGGCACGAATTTTTAGATTTGGTGTAGGTATTCAAATGTTTAGATAGTCTAGATCCTTTTATTTCAGTCATGAATTCCACTAGACCCAGGCGCACTGTCTCCTCCAAGGGTACGCTGTTGAATACGATTAGGGCCAACACCGTCACGGCTTTGAGAACAGTTTCTACTGTAGAGCCCCAAGAAACTCGAATACTTTACCAGCCCACCTCCGGAACACTGACTGTTCAGTAGCGCACTTCAAGAAAGATATTTTTAATTACTACTTTTATCTCACTAAGTCTGTTTATGATGTCGACACCCCCCAGACGTTTAAGAGTGTGTGTATTAAGTGCCACACTAGTCGGCCATTGAACAGCTTGCTCGATCGTATGTGTTGTTCATTTTTTATCGATATCCTCCCCAATTCTGTTTTTGCATTCCGTTTCTTTTTTGTCGTTCTTGTTAGTTGTATTACTAATTTTCATTTTTTTCTGGTCCGCGTAGTGGAGCTTGCTCTGTGAGTGATCCAGGCCTCTTTGCGAAGTTTATAAATAAATAAATAAATAAACCGCCTCTGCAGTTTGGCCTAACAATCAAGTAGGGACCCGGACCCCCTACCCTAGATCTGCCACTGCTACAAACACTTTTAGTTTGCTAAATCAAGACCCTGCAGTTAATGTACATACTTAACTTGTTCTTTATTCAAAGTGCCTCGTAATTGTAGAACGATTACGTCGAAAAAGGTGATAACATAACATAACATAACAACTTTATTTAAGTGTCGATGTCTTTAGCTTATAAAAGCTAATAATAATAGGAAAAAAATTATAAAATTAGTTTATACAAGGTATCATAAAGTGAATTTATAATTCTCTAAAATCTAAAATTTATAAAAGGTAAAAATTTTAATAATTAACAGATTATGGAGTTATCACCACTAAAATATACAGAAAAATGCTTAAAATATTTTGAAAAATTATTCTCAAGTACTACAAATAAGACAGGAGCCACAATTTTCACTTATAAGATCCACAAGGTTAATACGCCGAATGCTGGACTTGAAGGATTGTAAAGTACGTTTATCCTTGTTTTTTCTGTCCAATCTAGACCATATGTATGGTCCAAAGTACCTTATTGAATGTTTCCAGTAACGTACACTATTAAATCTGGGTTAAGGAAAATCCATCTTTCTTAAGTGGTATTTGAATGACTTAACACTAAAAATATCAACGACATTACTAGGTACCAAACCATATTTAACCTTATACATTAAGGTAGCAAGATCTTGTAAACGCCGATTTTGTAGGCTAGGTAGATAGGCACGGTTAAGAAGATTAGAGTACTCTACTGAATGTGTGTTATACACGATCCTAAGGGACCGCTCTTGCACTCTTTCAACTTTTCTGGCGTCGGAGGCTTTACAGAAATGCCATATAAGATGACAATATGTTAAATATGGCAATATCGAGGTTTTATATAAAAGCAATTTTGCTTCCGTAGGGATCAGATTTCTTAATCTTTAGAGGACGCCCACTCTCTGGCTAGCTTTTGTCCCGCTTTTGTACACAGTTCACTAATGTGTTTGCTAAATACCGTATTTATTCGATTAACCGCCCTGGGCGCTTATTAAATTTTTGGGCCTTGAGAGTGGGCGCTTATTCGAGGTGGGCGCTTATTCGAGGTTGGGCGCTTATTAAATTTTCACCATTTTCAGCAAGTGAAGTATGTTTATTTTGCAACAAAACAATAAATGCTAATAACAAAACGCGAAGAAGTAACAAAGCAAGGTTTCTGTAAAATACTCTGAAGAAAACTCCGTCCTCGGGGAAGTCTCCTATTGGAATTTATTTACTCAAGTGGGTGTGGTGGGGGTGAGCGCTTATTTGATTTTGATTGGGAGGAGGAGGGGGTGGGCGCTTATTCGAGGCTGGGCGCTTATTAACTTTTTCTGCCTTTAGGATGGGCGCTTATTCGAGGTGGGCGCTAATTCGAGGTTGGGCGCTTATTCGAATAAATACGGTACAAGGCGTTCGTCGATGTTAACTCCGAGAAGGCTAATGTCCGCAGTACTTTCAATGACATGCGCATTGATTGTTAATGAAGCTTGATCCTTATCATTCTGTGAGTTGATCATCAGCAACTGGAATTTATCGGGGTTGACAATAAGATAGTTATAGGACTTATCGTTAAGCCAGGTCAAGGCTTTAGCGACTTCCGACTCAAAGCGAGCCTTCATGCTATAGGCATTACTCCCCATAGTATAAAGAAGAAGGTCGTCAGCATACATGTTTAACTTGGTGTTACTGACCTGACGGGATAGGTCGTTCCGATAGAGGTTCCACAGCAAAGGACGAGTGATGATCCCTGTGGGCAGCCTCGTTTCATTTCTTTCCAATCACTTTTGGCTGTACTGACTTTGACCCTGTTCAGTCGACCATAAAAGAAGGATCGCATTAAATCCAGAGAACTGTAGCTGAAACCAAGTACATTGAGTTGGCCAAGGTTAAAGAGTGGTGAAGGGAGTAAAAAACTTTACTCATGTCCGACGCTAACAACCACACCTTCTCCTTTCTGTCAAGGGCTTTCCTCCAGTCTTCACTTACTCACAGCTATGTAATGTTTTCTGTAGGCTGTCATTCTTGAATAGAGGATACGATCGTAGCACATTACTTGCAAAAAATTTCGGACGATTTTAATTTCGGACAAAAAAAGTGTCCGAAAATAAAACCGTCCGAAATTTTTACAGTACAGTATTTTTACAGGACGGTGTATCTGTAAAACCTTGAGGGTGCGATAAAATTATCAATTTCACAGATGTTGTTTCAGTCTATATTCATGTTTTATAGGCGTAAATCTAATAACGCCGTGTTTGAGCAGTGTCCGCAATTTGGTCCGAAATATGTCCGAAATGAGATAAAAAGTGTCCGAAAATTAGACGTCCGAAAATTTTCGCAAGTAATGTACGTAGTAATTTGTTTACACAGTAGATGCTAAAACACTTTGCCAAGTAATAGGAGTACTGTAATTGGGCGATAATTTTGTTTGGCTTGTTTGTCTCCCTTTTTTAATACGGGTGTCCATTCCCCCATTTTCCACTTAGTAGGCCAGAAGCTCTCAGCAATACAGTCATGGATGATGGAGCAATAGCTGAAGCAGTTTTCTTAAGGAGGATGGATACAGTTGGAGAGTTCCAACCAGACGATTTCCTAGGATTAATATTTTCAATAACATCCGACACATCTGTTTCGGTAATTGCTCGAAAGTTGAAATCTAGGGCTGCATTGTGAAATTTTCTATTTCTCGATGCTGGAGTGATATTGGTGATCCTCCTCAAGGAAATCATGTACACGTTGCCCTCCGATATCTAGAGCTACATTAGCTAAGTAATCCGCAAAACAATTAGCAACAGCAACCGCATCATTCTCCGCGGTATCATTTCCATTTATGTTCAGACGGTGATAGGATTATTCTTAGCAGATTTTTTGCTGATGAAAGGCTGAAAAGTGCTGAAGAAGTCCCCTCCCTGATCTTTTCCGACTCGAACCTCCAACCTGTAGAAAGCTTGTGGACTGCGAAAGTAACTCCTTGAGTTATCTTTTGTTTCCTATTCAGCCTGTGAAAAGGCTCTCTTTTTGAGGAGATTTTTTCACCCTTTCCCCGAACAGAGAGCCTGTTCACACGCTTTTCCGATTCAGATTCTAGTGCTCTGTCATCCTATCCATCCCGTATCCACTGATTCCTTCGGGCCAGTCTCCCAGCGGTCAGGAATAATAACATTTGATCATACAGCTGATTGATTCGATTGCAATTACTCGCAACAATTCACAACCGAAAATAACGTTTGTTTTCGTGCTGTTCGCGTGCAACTGGGCAGTTCGATCGAATGATATGTTCCGTAGATGATAAACTGTTAATATTAGTCTGACAACGGTACTCGTGATTTTCACGTTGTAGACCTTTTGAGATTCAAAGGCAACACCATGGACTCGGACGATCTAAAGGTCGACTTGCAACAGCAGTACGACTATTTGTTCAAAGTCCTTATGATCGGGGATTCTGGCGTGGGAAAATCATGTCTTCTTCTACGTTACGTGGACTTCGCCCACAGAGAGGCCTATCTTAACACTATTGGCGTAGATTTCAAAGTTAAAACTATCAAACTTAACGGCAAAAGGATTCGTCTACAAGTCTGGGATACAGGTCAGTTTATTTGACACAAGTAAAGAGCGCAATAGGAAAAATTGCGAGCGAGCCATTAATTCCTCTTCAAGTGAGAAACACGAGTGCCCCAAGGCCATGTCTTAAACCACGCTTTTGTTTCTTCGCGTTGTTTGATCTCTTCAAAAATTAATGGTTTCCTAGTTGTTCAAGACGAATTCGAAATGGACATATCTTTTTTCGGCATTATTTAAAATGACGATGCAATGGCGATTGGTAGGTACCAGACGAGGGCTTTTTATCGAGAATTTTTGTTGGGAAAATCTGCCAGCTATTCGTAAACAGAATCAAATATTATTAGGCCATAATTTTCGTGAAATCCCGCGAACAAACTGTTTGCATTTGTAATTGGAACCCCAAGGCTCCCCTCGGTGGGGAAAAAGATTAGTTTTCAAAAGCAGTGTTTCAGTATACCTTATTACGATGTCTTTGTCGTAGAAATAAATTATACACAAACGCCACTGAGAGAAAGCGTGGGGATACGAAAAATGCTAATCACTACTTTTCTCTAGAAATATTCAATTTCGCATGCATTAAGCATCTAGCGATTGTTTTAGATGATAAAAGTACTAGGAAACGTCACTTTCCAAAGTGCCGACTTCGTTAAATATAAACAGTAAATTTCCATCGTAAAAGTGTAAACAAAATGTTCACGGTATTTGTGTAGTATACTGCTGCTGCCGCAGCTTTAGTTAACATGTAATTTCATGCTAAGCTCGAATCTATTTAACTGGACTTGCTCCAATTAGCGACAACATTTAATATTTTTATTCCGAGGTAGGCGATGGAAGGGATTACCGAGATAAAATTTTTGTTTAAATTCCGTAGAGGCATCTCGATCTTTTAACCATGCAAATATTCCCCTGAATCGTGTATCAAAGACATTAACTTCTTTGTATTCTTCTTAGTTTAAAAATTATTTTAGGCGAAAAATTCAAGATTCGCACGCAAATCAATTCTTTTTTTATTACAAATAAACAAATAATGCACGTAAATTGAATGAGCCAATGACAGTTGGCATGCACCTTGAGTAAGCAGTTATAACCTTTGATCAGTCCTCATTGTTTATTTTGGGAATGTAAGAATGCTTGATCACAGATCATATCTTTGCTATTGGCTCATTCCTGGGAGGAGTGGTGTTGAGAATGGACGACACAAAATGTATGGTATGATAGTGATGATGGGAATGTGTGAAGCCCCCGTTCCCTGGTTTGACGTCACATTTATGGCAAAAACCAAATATCAATTTGTACCACCGACCCAACATTAGTTTTTTCTTTACCTGTCATTTACTTATATCTTTCAAAAAATGTCTTTTCTATGTTGAGAAATTGTCCACTAGAATTTGACATTTGACATTTGCCATTTGCCGTAAACATGATTCTTATTGCTCTCCTAGGACGTCTTTGGGGATTTAGTGTCATACAATGTCTTTCCTTGTTGGCTAAAAGACTTTGGTACAGACTTCTTTAGCATTGACAAAAAGCATAACCCAGAGATCCTACTTTTTTCAGTTTCATTTTTAGATGAAAGCCATGCGTACATGACTCAGAGACTTCATGCTTTTAGATCGAGAAGCAGTTAATTCATAAGTGTGCTATTCTTGGTTCAAGTTCTGGGCCATTGGTCTACTTTTTTAGGGCTGATTTTGGCCTTATAGGAGCTTTTTCACGTACAACACAGTCACTTCTGCTTCATTTGCACCTCTGCTTCATTTTGTACCCGAGCAGGACCCCTTGGAAGTTTCTTGTGGCAACTATAGGGAGCTTTAGCATCGACGACGGCAACGGCAGCGAAAACATCAGTTTTAAAATGAATTCCCGTTTTTTCAATCTTTGTCACTTTTGTTCCAGTTTCCTGAAAAAGGACAAGTGTAGGCAAATTTCCCTGGAGTTGATTTCTTGAGGACCGCACTCAAGTTTTGAGAGAAAAAAAGAAATTCGTCGTCGCTTGTTTACGTCCTCCATAGAACTTGCGATTAGGCATTTTCACGTTGTATCCGTGCAAGGACGGTAAAGAAATGTACAAAAAAGCGTGATAGCACATGCAAAGTTGTTGTTTTGCGTAATAAACCTATCACTTTTTTGACGTCCTGGTTGGCATCATCATCGTCGTTGCTAAAGCTCCCTTATATCTGTAGCAGGGCTGTAAATCCCTGATCTTCAAATTGAGAATTGATGGGGAAGGGATAATAGATGACGCCATTTGTGAAAAAAAATGTGCGACAAAGATGTTTTTAGAATTGTAACAATAATATTAACCTAATTGGTTTACTTCCCTCCAATCACAGCATTGCTTATATTACAACGGCATAACAGAGTTTGTGATGAAATGTTTGATGTTAGCAGTAAAATAGCTCAAATGAGACAAAATATTTGACATCTCATTTTCAGAAAGTCGAATCTACAAGAAATGGCAAAACTTCAGCGATTATCCGGGAGATTTCAGACTCTAATCTAGAGACCAGGAAAAACGGTTCAAAATCTGGGGTCTCCTGGATTATCTGCGAGAGTTGACAGCCCTGTATAGTCATATACAGTATAGTCATTGGAAACCAGTCAATATTTCAGAGTAAGGACTCCCAACAGTAAACATGTTAGAGGCAAATCTCAGTTAACATCTTTTCTGTTTCTTTTATTCAAGCTGGTCAGGAGAGATTCAGAACAATTACATCTTCATACTACAGGGGAGCTCATGGTGTCATGATAGTCTATGATATAGCAAAAAAAGAAACTTTTAACAACCTCAACAAATGGCTTAATGAGGTAGAAACTTATGCTAATGAGGGGGTATTGATGATACTGGTGGGAAACAAGGCGGATCTTGATTCAGAACGTCAAGTCTCCACTGAAAGTGGAGCTGAATGGGCGGCACTCAATGACATGCCATTTATAGAGACTAGTGCAAAGAATGCTACAAATGTGACAGAAGCATTTACAATGCTAGCAGAGCTGGTAAATAAACATGTTAAAGATAACCATGCTGAGCAAAGGGCGTTTGTGCTTGGAGACAGCATGGATTATGGGTTAAGGAAGACCGAGGGAAGTGAAAAAGAAAAATGCGGTTGTAGTAACTAACATCTATTCTTCAAGAGCAGAAATTAATTATTATAGCCCTTTTTCCTAAAATTATTTTATTCTTAGAGATAAAATTTGCATGATAAAAAATTTACAAATTTTAACCTCATAAATTTGGTCACCAAAGGTACAGAGCCATTTAATTAAGTGCCAAGTGAACATAAATATTATGTGTCCATAAATTAACAATCAAACCTCCTTAATATAGACATCAAAGGGACAGATCCAAATGTCTGCACTACAGAAGGGACATAGGCAAGTGTCCATAAAAAACAGAGGTGTCCATGGATTGTGTCAATTATGATTATCTTCGGAAGCATTTAATGATAATACATGTAGTTTTCCTTTATACAGAAGTGTTTGTACTGTCATGTCTGTTAGGAGAGGTTCAACTGTAGCTAAGGAAGAAGGCTTTTAGTTAACAGGTTAAAACTATTCAATAATAATTATTATTGTTACGTGATTTATTTAAAAGGAGAACAAATTATAAGAAAAGTTCAAAGTATAAAATGTTCATTTCAGTAGAGTGTACAATAAATTATCATTACTGGTAAGTTAACATTATAATTATTTTTACCCAACATGATGTCATTATTGTATAATATTGTATATAATTTTATTTCATAACATAACATAAAAAAACCATTATTTTGCTGCACCTATAAATTTTGTCTCCAGGTGCAATCTGCATAGTTCTTAATGATGTTTTCTAATACCTTTCTTGATTATGTGATGTTACTATAAATAAATACCAAGTTTACAGGCAACTAAATCATGTAAGGAGCCCATCTGCTCAGACCTCCATCTGCTGCCAGCCATGAAATATTTATCACACTAGCTCATTTCACTTCTCTGTCTAGTTGGATTTCTCTTCCTGCAAAAATCTGCTGAGTTCTTCACTACTGGAAGAAGAAGAAGAGTGATTATGGTTTTAAAAATTAAAACCTCCGACTGACACTTTGCCTTCGACCGTTGCCGTTTGTTTTTCTAGAAGGGCTACTCTGCTGCCCTGATTGGCTTAGAGTTTCTCTCACACGAAATATGAATCTGTATCAGTATATAGTGATTGAGGTTCCGGGGTGATGAGCTTTTGATAATTTTCAGCAAGTAAAAGTGGATGAGATCTGTGGCTAATGTTGAAGATTCTCGCTTCTTAGAAATAAAAATTATCAATTAATTGTGGAGGCTAAAGTGCCAGCTTAGTGTACTACATGAAATAACTACAGCAATCAGGTTGTTGGCATGCATTATGTATGCAGGCATTGAAGTTATCACTTTGTAGTACGTAACATATAGTGAGAGTAACATATTTGTACTTTTTATTATTAATTATATATATTTATGAAAGGTCGTTTGTCTTAAGATGTATAGAGTCCAGGGCTGTCATTAAGAGGCAGGGGCTGGGGTTTTTTTCCAGGCCACTATGAATGTGGCCCCCGGTTACTTTCAAAGGAAAATAGAAGAAAAATAGAACCAAAAGAAACCCCTAGCTGTTTGATTCCGCGCCTATGTGGTGTATTTACCCAGCAACTTGAAATCTTAGTGACAACCCTGATGGAGTAAAAGAACAAAGGCAAGTTAGGTAATAAACTATTTTAAACCTAAAGTGAAAAAGGAAAAAAAGAACTCAGGAGATGAGACTTAACAGCAATTCTAGCTAGCACTGTTACCTAGTAATATCAGTGACCTAGTCACCTTTAGCCATAAAAAAAAATATGATAAATAATTATAATATTTTCTTTTATTGTATCCTCTAAAACAAAAGGTCATGAATGGTGAATATTTCAAAACTTTGGGTGACTCTAAATATAAGGCAGCAGTTTTTTCTGCAATCCTACGATCATGGTACTTTAAAGATTATTATGCTTCAAGACTATAAAATATGGGTTTAGAAGAGTCTTAGACAAAGTGAACTATTTGAAATAATATAATGCTATACAAGATGACAGACTCAGAGAAATTTTCTAAAATTCTGCTAGCCTGTAATGTTATTTGAAGCCCATTCACTACCTTTTTGTGTAGACAACCTCACATAGAAAGAACTCAGCTTTTTTCTGGTCATGTTGGACCAGTGAAATTTGCCCGTTTTAATAAACAAGCTCATTCAGTGTTTTATAACTGAGTGTTAGTTTGTACATAGGCTTAGACTGGCCTGTTTCAAGAAACAATACTACTAGCATCTAAAACAAGAAGTTATAACAGAAACCAGGTAATATTAAAAATTAATATACATTTTGATGGGGTTCAAGTTATAGGACATAACACGTTGAGCGACTAGCTTCCATGATCCTTAACTTGAGTCACGTCATTATCACAGACCACTTTTTTTTGAGAATGATTTTGGTGCAAATTTATAAAAGAAGACCATTTAAGTCCCACACACCAGCCAGCAAAGCCTACAGACCTAAAAAATAAATGGTAATTTAACCATTATTTTTAATGACCATAGTTTTTTTAAAATCTTATTCTTCCAGTGCGTTTATAGACAGAGTGAAGCTTCCATTTTTGTGGGAATAAGTGCTCTAAAGTGTGTCTAAAAATAAACTGGTCTGTAAAATAGGTGACATTGGCCTGGCATGGAAATTGCTTTCTCAACGTTAAGGGCGCCTGGTTAACATGGTAACCAAGTAAAGGAATTAAATGAAATTAACCGTATAAACCATGAACAAAGATCCTGCTGGTTATCAATGTTGGATCTCTATTAACAGCGATGCAGTAGTCTTTGGACTTCTCGTTTTTTTGGTAACCAAACCTGGCACAGTTAGCCTTCAAACAACTTGGTGAGGAGGCCATTAAGTTTCTGTTTCTTTCTAAAAAATTTGTGCAAGAAGACACTTCTCTATCCCACAGAGCGCTTAATATTCCTGTGCTGAGCTGATGGTACAACTTTTTGAGTTGTGATGGTCAATAATAATTTGATTAGTGTCCTGAATTGTGCCTGACTGTACCACTCTTAAAGTGTAACCACACCTGCAACACAAATACAATAAAGATAAATTATTTTAATCGTTAGCTCTCTACATTGGCCGATTGCTACCTTTCATATCATAGGGACTGGGTACAAGAGTATGTGTTTCAATTCCCATTATGCGATTAATGATGCAATTATCAACACTACAAGGCCTACATAATGGAAAAGGGCACACCATTGGTGCTAATATTGGAACAAGATACAGTCATTCAGAAACTCCAAAATTTATGGACTTAGGGAAAGTTCATTTAATATGACAAGGGGAGGGGGGGATGAAGATATTGAGGGGGGGCTCCGAAAATTTTTCGACACCGAAGGGGGGGCTCTGAAAAAATTGTTGCGCTAGGAGGGGGGGCTCCGAAAATTTGTATACTTCAAAACCAACACATGACATCATCATACAGATCGGATGGTTTTCAACTCAACAATTTAATGACCTGTGCAACTCAGCTATATCACGTGGTTTACAGATATAACGAATGTAGTCTCAGTAATTATTACACTCTTGTTCATCCCAAAAATGCTTTAGAAAATTGTATCACAACTGTATCTCAAGTTTGTCATAGTATAAACAATTGAAGACAATAAGGGTAAATATATTTAATACAGTCTAGCGATCTTTTTTCAGGGGAGCAAAGGAATTGAAGGAGGGGGGGCTCTGAAATTTTTCGACAACCAAGCAGGGGCTCCTAAAAATTGAATCGCTAGCGAGGGGGGCTGCTAAAATTTCAAGCTTCGAGTTTCAATATCTTCATCCCCCCCCCCTTGTCATATTAAATGAACTTTCCCTTAGCAACGCATATTCATTTCTTTGTAAATTTTCAAGTTTTTGAATGGCTGAATCATGTTTCTTTAGTAAAGATTGATGTGCTCTTACTGATCATGCCAAATCATGCAGGTGTTGATGATCTCATAATACAGAGACTCGTACCCGCGTGCAATAAAAGGAAATAGGAGACGTCTACACTCAGGCAAAACAACTCCTGGATCCCAGCACCAGGGACTGGTCGTTTGTGTCCTGGTATACTGCGAAAAAAAAAAAATAAGCAAAAAAATAAAGGTCTCTACGGATGCGATATATACCTTAAACCAAGTGCTTGCTGATGAAATGAAAATCATTCAAGAATAACATCGAGGGAAAAACACCCGGACACGTGTGCCCGGGAATCGCCATGCGACCTCTCTTTTCAATTTTATTTCAATCCGGGAATTTGACTTGTTACCAGAGAGCTTCATGGGAAAAGAAAATGGCGGCTCTTGGTGGCTGTCCATCATGTTCTTGAAAGGCAATTAATTCCAGAAGCAACATTTTTACCTCAAAGTCAATCTATAACAGCGTGTAATAAGAAAGGTAAGATGAGCAGTTACTCTGACGTGCATTTTGATTGAGTGCTTTACGAGGAATCCGTAATATTTTTACCCAAACCTTCGATATCGTCTCTGGAGTTTATATGAGTTCATTTCATGCATATGATCGCTTTCATAAGCTTTTTTAAACTTTCGTTCTTGGAATATGTTGAGTAAATTACCCATGCTTTTCGCTACTTGAAGTTTAAGAGTTGCCACATGATTTTATGATTTACGTGCACCGACAAACACCGTATAATTCCGACCAAGGTGTAGTCACTAAATCTTAATACCGTACAGTTTCATTTCCTTCGAAGAAAAGGTCATCGCTATCGTTTTTGTCATTACCCGCAAAATACTCTAGGGCGTAGCAGCTCCTATACCAGTTCGCACGTGCGTGCCTGAAAATACGTTTAAAGAAAAACAAAAACATAAAACAAGGTAAATTAAAGGAACAGAAGTTATATAAGGGATAGCTCTTAACATGGAACACAAAAAGGATGTGAAAAGAAATGTTGATGTTATTTCAGACAGTGTCTTCCAATTATAATTACCTTGCTCCAGTTTGTTTCATTATGTAAATAGGGGATCATAAGTTTATTATAATTAGTCTTTGACATGTTATTTCAATATCTCAATATTATTCTCTTTTTATAGTGTAAACAGAGTAGGCTTATGTCTTGAAGTTCTCAGTGTGGCAAAGGTTGCTTGCTGTTGGCACTGAGCCTTATCTGCTGAGGTTAATGTCTTGGTAGAAAGTATTGTGGCCAGTAGAAATTGTGAACATTTGATCTTGTAATAATTCTGAAAAATTTTTGTCAGTTTAATTTTCAGACTTAAAAAGCTATGCGGAGTAGTATGCCACCACCCCTTATGTCCCAAAGGACTCTCCCACCAAATGTAAGAGGACCTCCACCAAGGGGCCCTGGGGGACAAGGACCAAGAGGATCTCTGTTAGGTCAACCTCCAGGTGCCCCTCCAGGTCAGTTTATGAGAGGGCCTTTTGATCCAAGGAGTATGATGAACAATATGAGACCGCCTTTTGGAGGACCTCCAGGGAATGCTCCTATGATGCCAAATCTACAGGTATAACCAGCAAATTTTGTTCTTCAAGATAAAATTGAAGGATTTTTGGTAGGAAAGGGTGCTTTAAATGAGACTGGCAAAAATATCATTATTTTTGTGCTGGTACAGGGTGGGGTTTATTATTTTATTTTATCATTTATTTATTAAAAATTACTTAGTGTTTAAGCAACAGGCTAAATGAAAAACTACTGTTGCATGCATATATTTGTGTATGACCCTTTTAACAGTATGAAATGTTGATGCATTTAATCGAGTTCCATGAATTAGTGTTTTAGCTTGGTAATGGTAATTAACTTTAATATCCTGTTTTAAATATGTTTTAATAGTCTAGGCCAATGATGCCAAATCAAATGCCTCTGCAAATGATGCCAAACCAGCAAATACCGCAGAACATGGCCATGCCTCAGCAACAACAGAACAAAGATCCTCCCATGATTGACAGCAATGGAGACATGTGGCTTGAACACAAGACACCTGAAGGAAAAGTCTATTATTACAATGCACGAACAAGGGAATCTTCATGGGAAAAACCAAAGAATCTCGTCACCCCTCCTTCTCAAGATCAGCCACAAACCCAGCAAGGACAACAACTTGCTCAACAAACACAGGTAATATACTAACTATACCATAATGTACTCTATTGTAGGGTTAAGGTTCAAAAAATTCAATTTTAGTGCAAGTTAAATGTAATCTTTTTGTCATTTGTAGGATAATAATATTGTTAATAATGTAGAAAGGCTCAGAGGTTGAAGTTCAAATACATGTAATACCATGTGGATTTTAGTAACTCATACACCTATTAACTTGGACTTGATTTGTTTCTGCAAGCTTTTGTTATGTTGGGCGGTGTTCTGAAATAGTCATTCTCCCCTTGAGTACCATGCAAACCTGTGTATAAACAGTGTAGAGATAGAGGATATTACAAGGTCGCCCAGAGATACGAAATTTCTCTTGAGTGTTGAAAAATATTATACGAGAAAGTACAGCACACGAGTGAAATATTTTCAACACAAGAAGAGAAATTTCTTATCTCCAAGCGACCATGTAATTTTCTTTTCCTTGTATAAATCCTCCCAATATGTCCAACAAAATAATACTCTTTTTCGTCGGGCGTTTGCTTGGGTGTGATATCTCTCTGTCAGTTTTCTGCCCCAAAGGCAGAAGTGTAAGGTTGAATTTAGCTACAAAGTGTTATAATGCCTTGAGCGCTTTCAAACCCTTGGCATTTGGAAGCATACAGTCTTTCAGTTTCCTTGTCTATTATGCTATCTGATGTCCTAGGCTTGTTTCCCAATCCCTTGGCCTTTGGTTCTTTTTGTTTTGCTTTTTGAGAGTAGCCATTGTAGTTTTAAACACACAACTTCAGTACAAAATGTGAAACCAAAGTTCTGTTTGTTCAGATGTCTCTGGATGCTTGAAAGTAATCCTCTCAAACTTGTGGGTTCTTAGTCAGAGCCATCTTTTTTTCTAATGCCAATTGAAGATGAATTTCAAAAGGTGGTGGTTCAGAACTTGTAGTGAAAGCTCATGAAGAGATTTTGAACCAACCTAACTCAGAGTTTGATTGTCTGAATGAAGTTTTTCTGAATAACTCGCCTTCGTACACAGTCTTCCTCTTTGTATTCAGATTTTCCTTTTTTTTCCTATGAATTTGATAAGGTCCTTACCTGTGATCTTGACAAACCTGCTTGTCTCCACTTTATAATAAACTTAAAACTTAACTTCATTTACTAGCCCAGACGTCATTTCAACTAGCCTCAAAACCTTTTTGACTAGCAGAATTGTTTTCACAGTTTTTCTGTTATTCGAATTCCTCAAAAAACATCACTTGCCCATCGGGTAAGTTAAAAACAGAATTCACTAGCCGGATAGCAGAATCCACTAGCCCCGGGCTATCGGACACTACTTTCTTTGCACGCTGCTTCAGTAGGCGAAATGACCAACGCAAAAACTCTGAAAACACCAAATTAAGGAAAACCACAAGTGCTTGACAGCATACGAAAATACTGTGAGGTGATTGGTCAAAAGTGATATCACACATGTGTTGATACAAAATGATATTGATTTGCTACCACACAGTATACCACTGACATATATATAATGAAATCAATTATGTGTTGTACAACTACTGTTACAGTTTTCTGAATATGTAATACTTTTGCTACACAGTTGTAAGTTTTGGGTTTTAAAATAAGCACAGATTGTGTTGCTGTCTAAAAAAGCTTGATTTGAAATAAAATATTTTGAATTAGCAGAGACAAAGTATCCCTACTGAAGGACAACAACAGCAACAAACATCTGCAGAGCAAGATAAAACACAAGGAACCAGTCAACAACAGAGTCAGCAGCAAACTGGAGCAAATAGCAAGCCTCCACAACAAAGGTACACACAGTTTGTTTTTGAGGGTGTACAGAGTTGAGTATATGTGCATGATTTAGAAGCTTCTTGTAATCCCCTTTTTCATCGTGTATTTTCTTTTGTGCCTGTGCAATAATTGCAAGAAACTCTGTGTTACTTTTCATCTTCTCCAAAAACCCATTTACATTTTATTTTGGGGGAGCAATGGTGGTGCAGTGGTGAGAGCACTTTTCTCTCCTCAAGAACCAACATTTCTGAATTCCAGTTCAACCAGCAATCAAGTAGCTGAAGAACCACTTAGTAGATGTGCTGCCTCTGAGTTGTTATTTATTTATTTAAAAATGAAAGACCACCACTTTACATTTTTAAGTTCTCTGAGATCTACTTGTTGTTCATGTGAATATGTGGGGTTTTTTATGACCCAATTTCCTGCCCCCTGAAATACACGTCTTCCTTGCTCCTGTACTGTACAAAATTTGCTTCTTATCTCATCTAAAAGCATAAAATAACATTACGTTAGCACTGACTCTGTCTTAACTTATTATTATTCTTTGAAGCAATATTGGCATGCCTCCACCTGGTGGATTTATTGCTGGCATGCCCCCTCCACGGCTTCCACTGCCTGGGATGATACCTGGTATGATGCCTCCACATATCCCCCCACCTGGTATGCCACCCCCTGGTCTTGGGATGCCTCCAATGGGTATGCCCCCTCCTGTTCCCAAAAGTGAGTGGTCTGAGCACCGTACAACAGATGGTCGAGTTTACTATTACAACTCAAGAACCTTGCAGTCGACCTGGGAGCGTCCAAAGGAGATGGATCAAGTTCCAATGCCAATGCAAGGCATGCCACCACCAGGTTGGTTGAGTTTGCATGTATATGTTACAAGGCCATGGATCATGTATCACCCATATGCAAATATTTAACATTGTTCATCATTGAGAAAGGAGAGAAGAAGCATGTACACTCGGGAAAAGTTAAAATAATAGGCTGGTTGAGAAGAACGACATGAAAAATCCTCAGTTTCTGTCGGGTGTTTCTATGAAATTTAATGAGTATTGTAGTTATTGTAATAAAAGATCAATAAAAAAAGTCTCTGATGTTGTGTTCTTGTTGATGTCATTCAGGGATGCTGCCTCCTGGAATGATACCCCCTGGTCTCTTACCTGGAATGGTTCGACCAGGAATACAACAACAACCACCGCCAGTCAACAATCCTGGAGTGGTGCAAAATCCATCCTCTCAGGCTGATGCTGGAGATAAAGACAAAGAAAATAATAAAAGTGAGAAGAAAGAAGAATCAAGTACTGATGACAACACTGCAGAAAAGGGTATGTTCAGACCAGTGCAGTCCAAAATATCTGTTTGCTATAAATTAATTTTGTGTAGTTTGTGGTAATGTCTGTGTGCGTTTTTGTCAATCAGGTTAATTTGATTTTGACTTTAGTTGATAAAATCTTTTTAACAAGGTAACATGGGAAAGTGAAGTTAAAATTAGTGTAGGCATCAGGGCCAGGGTAACTATGGCAAGGATGAGACTCAAAGGCTGGTGTGAGTAAAAGAAAAATCATAAAGTGTGAAACTTGTCTTTTCTGGTCTTGTGGACACCAAGACTAGGAATCAGTTGGTTGTGAAGTCAGTCCACAGTAGTGGCAGTCTGAATTCTTTTTTCTCTGTGTTTGTAATATTGATGTGGATCAAAGAGGGGGCACTGAAGAATGTGTAACAGAGAGGGGAATTATCGACAATAAATATAACAAACAACAACAACAAACATCTTTTTGATAGATGTAGCGTTGAAAAACAACAGCAACAGCAGCAATGGCTCATGAAAAAATTCTCTACACGACCTGAATAAAGATAAAAATGATGTGACAGAGAATCGATCACTAGAGTGATTCTAAATCCATGTTACAGAGTTCAACCAAAATGTTTTAACCAAATTTTATACTTTTGTTGTTGATCATTTCAAACAGAGGATGAGACGGAAAAAATGGAAGAAATTAAAGATGAGATACATGCTGAAGATGAGGACAAGAGTAAACCTGTTGCTAGTCAACTTATCCCAGGAACAAGCTGGTGTGTTGTTTGGACTGGAGATGAAAAGATGTTTTTCTTTAATCCTACCTCAAGGCTCTCAATATGGGAACGGCCTGATGAACTTGAAGATAATGAGAAAGTTGATGAGATCATTAGCAAGGGCCCACCTAAAAAGCAGCCTGATGAAGTAAAAAGTATGTACATGTACTAGTTTGGATTAAAATAAATTTTTAAGGTGCTGGACTTTAAAAGCAGGTTTCTGTCACATACAATGTAACTCATTTCAATGAAGTACAGCTCTTTGGTCATTGTGTGATTAATGTTAAGATAATAACCTCCCCTTCTGAAATGGAATGGATAACATATTTCTTACCATGGTTTATAATTCTTTTTATTTCATCTTCATAAAATTGATGCATTTTCAGTACAGGGTACACTGTAGTACAAACAGATTGACTGTAGAAACAGCCAAGTTCAGTTATTTCTATTTTTACACAATATTTGTAGCTGAGTAATCCAAACTCCAATATGTAATAATAATTAAATTACATATTGGGGTTTGGATCTAACTTTTCCAATCAGCTTCTTAAATTCCCCAGGGCACCCTCTTTCCCTCTTTGTTCATATTCTTGACAATTGATGTCAAATGCTCACTCTTCTCCAAGAACAAAGTCAATATATTTCCCCTTAATTAAATACATGTATTGGTATTACTCAGTCCTTTAGTGTTATTATCTTTTTCATACTGCAGAAAAAGAACACAGGCCTTCTGTGTCAGATGACACTATTGATGATGCTCCTCCTGCAAAGAAACAGAGGTATGTGAGACTAAATCTTTCTCAATCCAATATTAACAGGAGAGCAAAAAATTTCAAACAAATCAAGGGTATTCAGAGGACACCTTCTGTCCCTTTTTGTAAGCCTTCAAGGCAACAATGAGAAATAACGATTTTCTTGGGTGTTTATGATGCAAATTCAACAATCTCCTTTAATGATATTATGCAATAATGAGCTAGAAACAAATGAAGTAAAAATTGGACCAAGGATAATATTTTATTAATTACAATAACAACTGAAAAAAGGAATTGTTTTTGTTGCTGGATTCAATATTGCAGTGTCGTCAATGAGCTCTATGCTCTTAGATGAAGTGGGCAAAAAAACAGTGTACATAAACCCTGACAATTTCATTTAATTATTCATTCATTATGATTCTTTGGTACAGGACTGAAAGTCAAGGTGAGAAATTAGAAGATGTTGAGATGAAGACTGTAGAAGTTGTGGAAGCTTCTCCTGTTCAGCCTGAAATTGTTGAGCCACAGAAACCAGTGGAACAGCCTGCTCCTGTATCCCAAGTAACAAGAGCTACTACTCCAAAAGATAAAAAGATGATGTCACTGGAGGAGAGAATGAAAGAGTTCAGAGATATGCTGCTTGAAAGATCAGTAAGTGCACGAGTTGTGGATCAGAAAGATGTAATGTTGCTAGACTTTACTTGACTGTTCTGGAGATCTAACAAAGCATCAGTTTAACACCTGTGGGGTTGGGCATTGTCGTCAACAACACACCCCACCTACAGTTTAGTTAGTGAAGGCTCTTTATGCATAAAGCTGTCCTCTTAAAGAAAAAAGTGAGTGAGTTAACAAGTCACCAAAAATAAGTTGTGGGAACTTTAAGAAAAATATTGATGTGACCCCATCTTCTAATGGCACAATTAACAAAGTTCATCGCCCTGAAAAGAAAAAGTTCCATTGGCTAGTCACACACTTCCACCTTAAATTGTAGGAGGTCCTAATGATTCAAGAGCATGTTTTTTTAATGAAGGATGATTTTCATATATTCAAAACTTCGGCATGTTTTTAATTAGAAAGTAACGAAATCCTCACTTGAATGATAACAAAAAAACTTCCTTTTTCCTTGTTAATGTTTTTAATTTGGCTTATTTTTCAGGTGTCGGCATTTTCAACTTGGGAGAAAGAGCTACCAAAAATAGTGTTTGACCCACGATTTTTACTGCTGACCCAAAAAGAGCGAAAGCAGTGCTTTGAAAAGTTTGTGCGCACTCGGGCTGACGAGGAGAGGCAGGAGAGAAAGAACAAACTGAAAGCAAAGAAAGATGAATTTAAAGCACTGGTGGAAGAAGCGCGAACTGCTGGAAAGTAAGTTTGTTGATTTCTGCCAAATCTATCAACAACAACAACAACAACCTGTGCATGTATTTAAACATGGTTAAAATTGAAGCCAATACAGCTTATGGGGTGGTGCTACATTAATTAAAAACATACTAATTAAAGTAACTAACCTATAACGTAAAAGTAAAAAGTACTAAAAAAAATACTTTTGCTATCAAGAAAAAATTTAAAATATAAAATATACCAATAAAGAGCTTTGAATGTATTTAAATTGATGATGAATTACTATTTAAACTACTTACTGTGAATTACTTACTACATTACTGTTCAGTACCATACAATAAGAAGAATGCTGGAGATTGTTGAATGAATACTTACATGTGGACTGTATAATGAAATACCTTTGAAAACATTCAACTTTTCTCTTACAGAACAACTTTCAGTGAGTTTGCCATGAAGTACGGGAAGGATGATCGATTCAAAGGGATTGAGAAAATGAAGGACAGGGAGAATTTGTTTGTGGAATTTATGGCAGAGCTAAAAAAGAAAGAGAAAGAAAACTCCAAAATGAAGCAGGATAAGGTTAGTTTTTTGTTTCCTTGGGGAATCAGGATGGATAGCAGAGGGAACACCTCATTAATGAAGTTCCCACTGTCTGTCATAAATTATACCTAGACTTGGATGGTGTTTCTGACTGTTTCACAGTTAATGTACATCCTTTAATAATGGCAGTTCATTGCCTACAAAACATCAATACAAAAGAATAAAATATTTTAGTCAAAAGAAATCCCTTCTATATTATGATCACTCTGTCACACTATTATCCCAAGAATACAAGTCCTCCCATGATTAAACCGACTCAAACTCCTTACTGTTACAATAACATGTGAACCCAGGTTTGTAATCAGAATTGGTCAGAAATGCCATCTAAAATAGGTGTGGCCACATAACTGTGTGCTGTGAAGGAAGTCAAGCAAGATTTTTTTCTTACCAGGAAAGGAGTCTGACCTGAAAACAAAATTAGAAACAAAATAAAATAACATGCAATTTTATTTTGTTTATTGTGAATCGTTGTTACTATCTTACACATGACATTGTTAAATTCCCATTTGTTTTTGTTTTAAATGTGTGCACTATTTTGTGCAATGTGCTTGTATGTTATTACCCATGTCTGTATGTTACAATTGAAACAGTATCCTCTTATTCTGTTACTTGACTAAAGCTAAGTTACTGGTACTATTATCCAGCTTCTTGACAATTCTTTCACCTGCTCTATCATAGGCTATCCCCTAATAATAGTTTATCTTTTTAATTCTGAATGCTAGAACATTATGGCCTAGGTTGCATTCCTATCCACCCCTTTTCATTATAAAATTCAATATTGTGCTTATCAGTGTTTAACCTTTTGTCGTCCGTCCAATACAACACAGCATACAGTTGACAAGCTAGCCTTGGCCTGTGAATTATGTTCTCGCTTTTTTCAGTGTTTTGCCTGCCCTACAAGGTAACTGAGTTTTTCTTAGCATTTAGTCAGTGGTTTAGAGATGGGCACATGTACCTTAGTGATCACTGCTCAAGTTTGTTGTGATTGCTGATGGTAGATGGGCACTGAAGGCTTATTCATGATTTCCATCAAGTTATGGTCCGTTTTTAACAAGATACCATTCCAGAGGCGAAGAGTTCTTTCATTCAGACAAGTTAATTTTATTAGCCAGGGTGATAGAACAGTGATTCATTTAATTTAGGTCTTTTTGTGTCCCCTGGTTTGCTTGAGACTAGAGTAATCTTGGTTCCATTACTGGTGGCAGGCTTCTTTTTGGGTTATAAACTGTGCTTCAAAATACACCATTGTCTCTTTTAGCCAATTAACATTCTTGTTATTTGTTAGGGAAAATGGTTTGATTGTTGTTTTACACAAGAGTTTCAAAACCCAGAAGCACTAGAAATCATACCCTGTCGTGTATACCTAAGTGAAAGTACCAAAATAGAAAAAATTAGCAGGGCTCTTATACTGACAATCATTTTGCTGATGTATAGTCCATGTTACAAGTACTTTTTCGAAGTATGGCCAGCAGCTACAGTGATTGACTACTTTGTGTTTACTTTCAATGATAATATTGTTATCTTGCAAAATGATAAGCCGGTAGGGGAAACTATCTGACAGTAAAAACAATGGCAAAAAATATTAAAATTAACAAAAAGTTGTTCCAGATTTGCAACTGCAGTGCTTGACTGCCTGTTCAACTGTAATGAACAGCCAATCCATGCTTAATGTTCTGCACTTTTCCTCAAACTTGTTGTTCAGAACTGCTCTGAGTGAGTCTTGATGTATATTATACCGTTTAGACAAACAACCCAGTAATTTTAAAGAAAACTTTTACAGTGTTGCTGTTTGCAACAGAAGAGGATTATTGTGTGTGGAGTGCATGCTCAGTAATTAATAATTATTGATTCAATGTACGTCACTGCTTATGATAAAGGAAAGAATGCCTTTTCAGTGTTGTCATGTCTATCAATTATGTGGCTTAGCCGGTAGATATAATAAATTAATTTATTAAAGAAGAATGCTGATGAGAAAACATACATATACAATATTTTTATTAGCTATGTTGTTTGAAAAAAAGTTAAAAGTGTATTATAATGGTCAATTATCGTTGTCTCATTTGCAAAAGGCGTTATTCCACCTGACTAGTTGAGATAAATCATAAATTTTCTGATGATAAAATTTTGCTGCAATGATTATGTAAGGCATGCAGCAAATTTCCATACAGTAATTAATAATTTGCTTATAAGCTGTAAGTATGTGACAGTCATGGACATCTCCAGAAATTAATCCTTATTTTTCTTGGTTATTTGTAATGGTGCAGGTTAAAAATGATTTTGCTGCATTGTTGGCTGAACAAAAGCTTGACAGCAAGGCACAGTGGCGAAAGGTTCGTAGTAAGATTGAGAAGGACCTCCGTTACAAAGCTGTGGAGAATACAATGCAGAGAGAAGAATGGTTCAAAGAACACATTGAGCAACTTTATAAGGTAACTTAATTGTTGGGCACAGGGTGCAAAGAAAATCATTTTTACAGCTTGCCATTTGGGCAAGCTGAAGCCAACATTTACTAGCCCAGGCATTATTTCAACTAGCCCCAAAAGCTTTTTGAAGAGCAGAATTGATCTCACAGTTCTTCTGTTATTCAAATTCCTCAGAAAAGATCACTTGCCCATCGGGCAAGTTAAAAGCAGAATTCAATAACATAACACCAAAATCCACTGGCCCCGGGCTATCGGACACCTCTTTCTTTGCATCCTGTGGGCATCTAGTAGCCTGCATAGCAAGGGATTTTGTTGGTGAGTATGAATGCGATTGAGCAGACAATTGTCTCTTTCCCATTCCCTTTGCTGCTCAGCTGCTTTTTTTGCACACATGCTTGCTATGATGTCAAAACTGCCAGCTATGCAGGCAGTGCATCTAGAAGTAAAAAAACGTAATGTATTGATGATCATTATTATTTTTTGCATCATTGTAGTTCTAACTATTACCATTCATTTGCAAACCATACTTACCCTTTTCAAGTTTTTTAATAGTGATTGTGATTAAATCTCTTTATAAATAATTATGGATATTGGTAAGGTGAAGAAATGTTTGTGGAGTTTAGTTGGTAATAATAATAATTCCTTCGTTGTCTTTGTTTTAATGTTCTCCAGCCAAGGAAAAGGAAAAATAATATTGAACACAACTGATCTCCATTGTGTTTTTATTGTTGTTGTTGTTTTTTTTCTAGAAAGAGAATGCTGATAAAGAGAAAGAAAAAGAAAAACAAGAACGAATAGAAGCCAGTCTCCGTGAACGAGAACGTGAAGTTCGTGCAAGCCAAGCTGAACTTGCTAAAGCCAGAGAAAAAGAGAAGGAGCAACATCTAAGAGACAAAGCGGAACAGCATTTTCATGCCTTACTTGCAGATATGGTGGGCAAGAGATCTAAAAAATAACACACTGTAATAGAGATAATAATTTGTAATGTATGGTTGTTTGTAAGCTTCATAGCTAGTTTTCTACAAGTCAGTAGAACTATTTCTACAGGGACCCTACCCTCGGGCCCCTCTAGATATACTCACGCCTTTGGTGCTCATTCAACCCCACCAATCCAAAATATGCTCCCTGTCTAGTTTTTTAGCCTATCACCTGCGTAACAATGCCTATAATCACTTACACTTATGTCCACAAAATGTTTTATGAAGGCATTCACTGATTTGGCAACATTTCACCCAATCCAGTAGACCCTTTAATTAAAGCCAGCTTTATGCTTTCCTAATGAAAAATGTTGATTATGGCAAATGCAAATTATATTCAATTATTAATTTTAGTTGATCAGCGTTATGACTTGATGTGCATACAAGTATCGTATTATTCTTGTAATATCAGTAATCAATAGTGACCAGATTTATTTCATCTCTTTTTGGTGAAGACACATAGTCTGTGCTTTATGCCATAGATGCTACAGTATACACCATTAACTGTATTGTGCTTCATCACATTTACATTGTATGTAATAACACTTCTCAGGTTCGCAATGCAGACGTTGGTTGGAAGGAAACCAAAAAGAGTTTGCGTAAAGATCATCGCTGGGGAATGGCAGATGCTCTGAGTAAAAGTGACAAAGAAACGTTATTTAAAGAACACATAGAAAATTTAAACAGGAGAAAGAAGGAACAGTTTAGGAAGCTACTGGATGAGACCCATGAGGTGTGTACTATTGAACTAAGGTATTGGTGAAGATTCTTTTTTTATGTGGTTAACTATTAAACTCTTAACAGTCACCATTTGCCTGACACACCTGAGGCCAATGGTGTGCTCATTTTACCCTTCCCCCACGCCAATCCATCAGTGCTCCGTTTCGCAGGTATAAATTAAAACTACTTAAAAGTATTTGGAAAGGAAAGAAGTCAAAACAAAGGTTTGGGGTCACACCTGAGAATCAAAGTTAACACTTCTTGCACAGAATCCTTGTCAGTCCTTGTAATGAATTAAACCAGCTAAAAACTTTCCTTTAGTGAATTAGTTTTTGTTTAGTTGACAGTAAAAACAGTACTGTGTCTTTTGGTTTGAGGCAGATATCTAGGACAATGTGGATCTGATCTATTTTACAAGGACTATCACTTTAACTTAGTCTTTCAAGTGGTTATTAGATGTGCTGAGTGATGTAGCTTCCTGTATAATTTAGTTTTACATGTCACTGGCTTTTAGTATTGTTTTAATAACACAGTTGTTTATGTTTCCAGTTAACCCTTACATCGTCTTGGAGAAGTATTCGGAAAATAATCAAAGAAGATCCTAGATATTCCAAGTTTTCTAGCCATGACAGTGTAAGTAATGTTATCTATCAGCTGAAGCCTTTATCTCTGAGTGCTAGGTTGTTTTTGCTGGTTTTTTTTTTCATAAAGTACAAAAATAAGAAGTAAAAAAATGAAGTGAAAATGTATTTTTTAAAGTTAAAAATGTGTAAGTTAATTTATCCAGTATGAAAAAAAAAATCTTCAGCGTTTTCTGTGCCTCATAATACCGTAAAATTCCAAAAGTAAACCGCTCCAAATATAAGCCCCCCAAACCGGTAATGCAAAAAACCCTCTGTTAAATCTCCCCTCCAAATATTACCCCCCCGGGGGCTTGTACTTGGAAAATTGCCCTCAAATACAAAGTAAAACAAAGCAAAAACAATAAATTTACTTTCAACTACAAGGCTAGCCCAATCGATTTTGAAATGCAAATTTCCCTCTGTAGATAAGCCCCTCCGAATGTAAACCCCTCCAAAAATAAGCCCTGAGGCTTATTTTCGGGATTTTACGGTAATTTATTAGAACTTACTTTCCCTAGAAACAGTTGTAGCTTTGGCATGTGGATTTTGTGCACTGTTACCCAGGGCCAATTTAAGAAAACTTTCACAAGTGTAATTCACAAGTGTGCCCATTGTTTAAGTGCCTAACAACAATAGCTACAATTGTAGATTACACTTGTAATAGGTTTATTAAATTGACCCCTGCATGGGGTGGCATTCATCATGTTTAATATGATCTGTATTCATTGTATTAAAGGTTTAATGTTCCTTTAACGTTTTTGTAATTTGTTGCAGAAACGTGAAGAGGAATTTAATCAATATCTTCGTGACAAGTTGGCTGATGCAAAGGGGGACTTCCGGCAGTTACTGAAAGAAACACACTCAATTACTTACAAGTAAGCAACATTTGGACCAGTAGAAAGAGTAGATCTATGATACCCAAGATGCACAGTTAGATGAGCCGCACAATTGAGAGACTTAACTGTGATTTTGATCTGGCAAAAAATGCATTGCATTAATCATATATTTGTGTATATCTGTTTGAAAACAAATCTAGTGGATGAATAAAGTGGATTTCATGATAATTATAGTGGAGAAACTTATTAAAAATTTTTATATAATTATTTTAAAAAAGGGTTGGGTTATTATAGATAGGGGAGAGGTTATTATAAAAATTAACTCCCAGGTGTGGGGTTTGTTAGAGACTGATGAGGCGACCCAAGGGAGCTTTTAATGGATTTGGTATAAATTATGGAGCTTTTATGGAATTGCATCTGCAATTATTGTAAGAAATTTTAAAAAGGGTGGGGAATTATTAGATAGGGGAGAGCTTATTACAAAATTAACTCCTAGGTGAGGGGTTTATTAGAGACAGGGGGTGACCCAATGGAGCTTTTTGTGGATTTGGTATAAATAAAAATTATGGAGCTTTTATGGAATTGCATCTTGTGTAATTATTGTAAGAAATTTTATTTTATTAAGAACAATATTCATTCATATTGAATCATTCATATAATTAGCGTGCCATCAACTGCATCCAACGTTGTTATTTTCCTGACTTATTTGTCTATTTATTTCAGTCTAATGTATGTAAAAAAAGATTTATTAAAATATTATACTAATTGGCTGTTTTCTTTTCTGTCCTTTAATGCATCACATAAGATCAAAGAAACTTATAGAAGACTCTACTAAACATCTTAAGGATATTGAAGATACATTAAAGGTAAGCCTTAGGAAATAATTGCAGTACATTGTACAATGTAATAATGATGTTGACAACAAAAATTTTCTTTGCCCAACTATGAACACTGTGAACACCTAACTGAAACAAAACATCTATTTCAGGAATGTTAATGTGTTATTACCAGTCACAGAAAAAATCAAGACACATGAGCAAGCCACAAAACCGCAAAACTAATAAATTATTAACCTTGTTGCTGGTGGTTTAGTCTATATGCATGATTGGCTTTCTCCTTGCAACGGAACAACGTTTCAGAATTATTTCTGCCAAGTGGAGTTCACTGTTTTCAGAGTGTCACAGTAATATTTCTGAATTTTATGAACAATTTGTTGCAAAGATGAGGTAACAAGATAATTTAATTTGTTCAGTTAAACTAAGTAACAACTCATACCCCCTCTCATTGTTGATTTTGTGTTTTAATGCATGAACATTTGAACTTTCATCCCTACTATGCATGGGATATAATACTGTAACAGTAATTATATTATTTTGTAGTAATTATTTTGATGTCATCCATCAGCGGCAAATAAAATTAATGAGAAGACAACTTAATTTGTTTACCTTACAGAAAGACAAGAGGTATTTGATACTGGAATGTGTTCCAGAGGAGCGAAATAGATTGCTTGATAATTACATTGAGGAACTGTTCAGAAGTGGACCACCTCCTCCGCCCACAGCCTCAGCTCCTTCCAACAGATCCAAGATGCACTGATCAACTGAATCTTACTTCGCGTCTGTTTACTTTCAAACCTACATCCAAACCCAGTCACACTGTTTTGCACATTGTATTGTTCAGAGAAATAGAAAGTTGCAGTCCAATATATTGAATATTGAAGCTTCTTATCAGACAGACATAGGGTTAAGCTGCAGCTGTTATCTGTACTCAGCTATGAGTGGAACATTGTGTGCATTGATACCCATTCCATGTCCAAAATTAGATTGCGGATGAAATGGCTTACTTTTTAATAAGTACATTATCGCACATTGTTTTTTGAAGTCACACCTTTTTTCAGTCTTAACAGCATTAACACCCAGCTTAGGACATTATTAGAGAGATCTAGAATCATAATTTCGAATTTGTATATGACTAGGTTTTCCCTTTAGATGTCTTTTTTTGTTGACTGTCTACTCCAAAAAAAGTAGTTTGGCTTGAGGTTTATCAATAATATTTCATTAGTTTAGACAGTTTTTACCTGCTCATTTCCTAGTGATAAGAAATAATATAGTCAACCTGGACTTGCATTAAACACATGATTCTGTGTCTCTCTACTACTGACAATCTCGTAGATTTACCTCAGAATACAAAGTAAAAAGAGTCACTTGATCACACACCCAGGTGTTTTTTTTTTCTCCATGATAAAATAATAGAAAAATGACCTTACTTTTTGTAATAAAATGAAAATGGAAGCCACCAATCCTTAATGTGTGGAGCTGCATACAAAGTGAACAGTCACCTCAATCCAATCTCTAACTTTTAGCTGCACGTTCACAGACAAATAAAAAGATTGATATTATTTTAATTTGTTTTTGATTGGTGCCGTCCTATTGTACAGTCGAAATACCTGTTCAGTCAGTGAAACCTGCATTATAAGGAAACCCACTAGTCTCTTTGTTTTAAAGAAAATGTAGGAAAAAGAGTTTAAAGAGATCTTAATTGTTAGTAACTTATTCTCATGTCCACTTAATGGAGGATATGACGACTTCATGTGGGTTGTTTCAATGGATGCCATTCTGTAGCTTTTTAAAATAGAAATTGTGTAAAATTAGTGATCTATCTTTGCCAAATTCCAATCTATTAGCAGTATTACTTTAAATTCTTCTTTTCAACACATTTGTAGGTTTGGGCTGCCAATAAACTTGAACAATCTTGTTTATTTTCTAGTTATTTTTATTACTGAAATTGTAACGTATAGACTTAACCTATTCTGAAAAACATGATGTTTCTCCTCCTTATGGAAGGCAAACCTTCCGGAACTCCCCAGACTGCAGTCTCCAATTTGTTTCTTTGGGCTGAAAGGAAGACATTGTATATGACTCAAATCTCCATAAATTATCGTGCAACTTCCAAGTGAGGCTGCCTCACTTTGATATAGCCTGTGAGCAAGCTGTTCACTTGGAGAATAATCTCCTTTTAAGATATAAAAATTGAACGCGTTAGCGAGGTCTAAAGGACTCAACAAACAAAAATTTGAATCCAAATGTTTATTCATTTTCATAGCCTTTGTCTTCTTGGCATTGGTGGAAAGTTAAATTTTATAGAACAGATGAGGTTGCCTTGTTTTGCGACTTTTAACATTCATTGTTAGCACATAAGCCTTCCACTCCTCACTATTTCAAAGAAGAGTTTGCTTTAGCCAGCAAGCAAGCTCACTTGTGTGAGTTCAAGGAAAGGCACAAGAACTGGCAAAGCCAGTGAGAAGAATGGTGTAAAAAAATTGTTCTGCCTAGTTCTTCTAGCTGACTTTGCCAGCTCGTACCATAATTTCTCCAAACTCGCACAAATGGGCCTGCTCGCAAGCTAAGTTTGCTTTGGTTATACACTAGTTTGCGTTAGGAAAGTTTGCTTACACTAAAGAGAGCTGACTTTTAAATAATGCAATGACTTCAGCACAACTGTATAAGGCCATGTCCATCTCTTTATTCTAAAGAAAATTCCTCACTAACTATTCTTTCACATTCTTTCCTTCATAAACCAAAGGAAGGACCTGAATTTGATTACGAATGCGGATAATACCACAGTTTGTTTAGCAGACTGGCACTGATTATCAATAACATTTAGAACTAATATAATACTGTCCTGTGAAAGTTCTGGCATGCCTTTGGCACCAATGATCTTTGAATTGTCTTTTAAGGCTTTATTTAAGTAGTGTGTTCCATGATAACTTCTTTCTAACTGGCTCTAGATTCGCACATGCGACATGGTACCATAACAGAATAACCAATCAAAATCAGTCATTGTTTGACTGCTAACTGTCTCCCAAATGAACCTATTCCAACTCTAAGCAGCATCTTTGGTTAACTGACAATAAGACAAAAGTGCAACTATTTACATAATTGTTATTTACAACTAAATTTTCATGGTGCCCCTTTAACTTACAATTAGGTACTTTAGACCATAGCAGACGTACACTTACTTTCTTTGCTCAACCGGTGTACTCTAGTCTAAAAATTTTAGTGGGAGGAAGCTGGGTGGTATGAAAATAATGATATCCACTCAGATCAACTAGCAGATGGCAATAAAGAAATGACAAAACATTTGTACCAAAATCCTTCTGACCTTCCTGCCATAAATTCTGCATAGTATCTTCCTGCATGGAACAATAGTTATTGTATGATATTTTCTGGGTGCTCAGTCTTCAGTTTTGATCTTATCTAGATTCTCAATTCTGATGAAATGTCAATACACTGGCAACACCTCTTAAACAATCACCTACACAAAAGGCTGCAAGTTCTAACTACTAATGACAGTACAAACACTGCAGTATGATTTAATTACTGACTCTATTAGAGATGAAAGCAGTTCAGCCTTTTCCTGTGTTCAGTGATCACTATCAAATTTCTCCTCACAATTTGTCTAGTAAAACTTGACTTAGGAATAGAACTTCAGTATAGTGGAGAATCAAGATAATAATCAAGAAGGAATACCAGGGCTAAAGGTACATTTTATTGACAGCAGCTGTGCTGTATGTGTGCCAACATTGGTGCAAGCTTCAGATCTGACAGCAATATTGTTTGCATCTGCTATTCACCCAATTTCAATTTTCCTTTTCACTAACTACTGTGCATTACACGTAAATAGTAAAGTGACCATTAGGCTTCAAAACTGTCATCCAAGAAACTTTCTATTACAAAACCAGGGCATTGCTGTTTGTCAGATCTGAAGTTTGTTGATTATCTTAATATAACAAAATATAGGAATATGTCACCGAACATGGCATTCTTGAAATATTGCTAAGAATGAACCAAGGTTTGATTATTACCAGTAGAAGCAGATGACAAAATTAGTGACAACAAACTAAGTCTTTTAACACTTAAACCTATCTCTGATCAAAAAATGAAAGGGTTTCACTCTTGTCTAATGGTGAACCCTGGACTAACTTGTAAGAAATAAAGATCTGTAAATTTATTCAAATCTCATTGTGGCCCTTATTTCATGTTCTTTTTCAAGAAACTAGCAGCAAAGAAACCAGGATGTCCTGTTTCCACAGTAATTAAAAACCATAGAGTGCAGTAAGTATGTTATTTTTTAATAAACTACTACTTTTTAAGAAACCGCATTCAAATTTTGCAATTTTTATGAACTACAGATGCAGACACATTTCAGGTGAATTTGTTTCTTCCAAAAATGGGAAATTTTATTTTCTAGCCTAAAAGATTGGTTTTAATAAATAAAATGAAACACACTTTTGACAGCTGTAATCAAGCAAAGCAACAGCTGTGCATAGTATCAGTCAGACTATATACCCATGACAACAACATTGTGTAACTATAACTATATACATTACTTTTTGGTCAAGAAAGACATAAACTTTTAGCCTTGATATGCTTAAGGAATAAATCATATGATGCAATATTCTATGATTAAATATATGTAAAACTTTACAACATTAAATTACACCCATTAATTTTTTTACATTTAAAATTAAACTAAAATGGTGCAATGCATGTAAATATAAGCAATCTCCTCAGGAGAGCTTTTTGCGATTTAAATGTTATACCCAATGTTTTGCCCTTAAAATTATTTGAATTAATAACTCAAAACCCTCCTAAAATGTTTTTATTTTTTAAGACTGTAATAAGTCTAACTGGGCAAAGACTTGGTGCAACAGACTATTATTAATTAAAGGTTTGGGGTTACAACTAAGCCGACAGAGATAGAGGTTGAACGGTTTCAGAAACTGGTAGGTAGTAACTATGACCCCGGTTATCATAACTGTAAAAGTACCCTTTCTGTGGCCCTGGTTGCCACTGTTGAATTCCTTGTGCTGGACAACTAAGGGGTCGCTCACCAGTGTATGTTTCCTTGTATGTCGTATTCATTATCATGTCTCCGCTTAAAGGCCGATGGACATCATGACGGGCTGGCTTTGCTGGAGGTACATACTGCCCTCTGTAATGACTTCGCATGGTAGATTCACCCTGGAATTTTCCAGAGGGTGGTCTATATTCATCAGGCCGGCCACTCTTCTGTGCTGGCTGTAGCTCCCATGCCTTAAATGCATTCTTATGGGTTGTGCTGTCATCAAATGGTTTGCTTGAAGCAAATGATACCACTGGAGGCTTAGCACTTTCAGCAGGAGGCACATCCCATCTAGGGTAGTCATGCTGGAAAGTGGTATTAGTAGCAAACCTGGCTGAAGGTGGTCTGTAAGCCTCCTTTAGACGTACTTCGCGTTTAGGAATATCCCAGCGCCTGTAAGTCACACCAGTGGTGGTATCCCCTTCAAAAGGCTTATTTGACTGCACGATGTCCTGTACGGGCTTAAAACTAGGAGCAGGTCTGCCACCTCTGTAGGCAAAATCATCCATAAAAGTGGTATTTCCTCTGAAGGGTTGTTGAGTGCTCGGGCGCTTTTCACTTGGTTTGGCAGATTCCGCGGGTTTTACTTCCTTCCTGGTGTAATCAAGCCTTGTTGTGGTGTCTTTTTCCATGGGACCTTTATTCACCCGAATTTCTGTATCTGGCGGCCTTATCTGTGGTCTCCGACCAACATAATAACCAGGATAGTCGGTTTGAAAGATACTCCTACCATCCATTTTTCCATTTCTAACAGCGGTCGTTGCATCTGGTTTCATGCTGTCAGTTTTGCACAGCCTCAAGTCCCAAGGCCTGTAAGTATCCTGGTGCACTGTGCTGCTGTCAAAAGGCGTTTCATGAGCGTGAAACGACACCACAGGTTTCGCAGAGGTGGCGGGTGGAACTACAGTCCCTGGGTAGTCGTGTTTGTAGGAGCTCTGGCCAGCCATTTGTCCTTGAGGTTTAACATACAACGCCTTGTCGCGTTTCCTTGGTGGAGCGTAGGTATGTGGAATATACTCAGTTCTATAGTTTGTTTTTTCTTCCATCGGCTGGTTTGAACTTTTCACAGTGTATTCTGGCTTGAAAGGCAGGCGACGGTCGAGGGGATGTTTCTTGTATCGATCTTGATACTCGGTGAAGCGACATGGATGGGTCGGAACGCGAGCTTCTGGTTTGTGAGCACATCGATGCCTCCTAAGGAACAAAAATAAAAAAAAGAAAGTGTAATGCTTACTCGCTAATTCTCTAAGGGGATGAAGATTTTTCGATCTGCTCAAAACACCACAAGTCATTGATCACGAAGCGCGGAAAAGCAAAAGGATATCGCGTCGCCAAGCTAACGTAATTTTAAAAACTCTTACCCGCAAGTACAAATCTGGCAAATGCAGAGAGCCCTGACCATTTTGGAAATCTCTACTCTTTAGGCTACATGAAATATCAGCAATTAAACCGAAGTACACGACGACAGCTGCAACTTTCAGCGAATGTTCGGTTGTTTATCGGCGTTGCCATTGCGTTCGTTGTTGCCACGCGCGCAAGTGAACGTGGTTAACAAACAATGGCCATTGTGAGGGACGGAATGTAATTGGGTAATTGAATTTTAATTACTGACGTTCATAGCGCTTTTGCAGGCGAGCTCAAAATAATCCTTTGATGTTTTGTTAGTTTTTACCGTTTTCCCAAGTTTGCTTTTTCGTGAAATATCAACCATATTTCCTTTTTTCGGTTAGCAAAAAAACTAATGTATCCGGGCTTTCAGGCGTCCTTTCAATCTTTATTTTCATGTAAATTTAACGACTTTAACCTAGTCAACAATTTTGATTTTTTGCTCTGAAAAACATATGGCTTGAAATTACAAGAAGGCTGACGCTTCGTTTTTTGTTTTTAATTATCGTCTGTCGCGAACTGCATAAAAGCCAATACATTTGATATCAGTTTGTTCAACTCATTAACAACATAACACACTCTAAAAAAAAGTCTTTCAAGTGTCTTTTCGGTTCACCTAGCAACAACAGAAGGACAATTTCATTTTTTTTATTTCCTGGGGTGTTAGAAGAATCGAGACTCCAAAAATTAAATGACTTCGAACCATTAGCCGATTAATCGGCTCCTGCTTCGAATAAACAGTGAGTGTAGGCGTCGGACAGAGGAAAAAAAAATTTGGTTTTTCACTCAATGATTCCGAATTATCCTGAATTATCGTCTATTTTCTCCAACTGCTTCACTTTGAGTAGTTATATGATGAACGGCTGTTGTCGCGGTAAAGTTGTTTGAATTCTACACGGACACGTTTCAGCATATAAATAAAGTGCACATGAACTGAATAGGGAACTGATTGAAAACGTTTCGGCAGGCATGTTCAGATTATTTTTGGCGACTATAGATTTCAGCCTTAATCATAACTACAACAAGCCTGAATTTCGTCCGATTACTTCGAGGCGTTATTACTCCCTCAGGGAGGGAGTAATAACGACTCGAAGTAATCGGATGAAATTCAGGCTAAACTATAACTTCTCAAATCTGAATGGCTATCAACTGCCCTGATTTCAGCCTTTAAACTAGTACATGAGAAATTTCTGCAATTTGATTGGCTTAGAGCAGTGGTATTTCAGCTTAATTTGAAATACCCACAAGTGAAAATTACAAACCTTTCGTGGGTAGTAGTATAACCTATACTAGTAGAATAACCTATAATAGGACAGTACGCTTCATGCCAAAGCAAGAGCCCATTATGGCTCTTGGCCAAAGTGATTGGACAGTACGCGATCACGCGCGCGGGCGCTTAAATAGCGTTTTTTCACTGCTGGCAAGGAAACAGGTCTTTGAATTTCTTGTGTTTTGATTTAAAAAAAGAGCCTTATATATCACAAATTTTGTTAAAGTTATGATAAATTGGTAACAGAACTTCGTGTAGTCCAATTCTGTCTGTAATCATACTCGTGATTAAACTTTATCGGACCCCGCTACGCGGTCGTCCGATTTTGTTAATCACTCGTATGAATACAGACCGAATTGGACCGCTCCACTTGGTTCTGTTACCATTAGTAATCACTGAGATTTTCCCTATAGCACCAGTGTGGTTAACTGGAAAGCTGGACTGAATTGAATACCAAGCAAACAAACCCAGCTGCGGCAAACTGACCGCATGTGGTATCATGCATTCCTCGGGACAATCAAATAAAAAGTTGTTTACAGACATTGGTTACAAACTGTTTAGTTACCAGGCTACGTTTATCAACGAGACAACACCATCTTCGTGGCATTTCTCTCATACTTCGTTGCTCATAAAACGCCCAAGGTATATAAAATTCGTTTTTTCCCGTCAGCATCTAAGTCAACAGTTCGTTTCTTTTTTCTTTCTTTTCGATTATTTCAGATTGTCATGTCTTTTTGCACGGGTACTTTTTGTACGTGTCAGCCTCGCTGCTTTGTTTGTCAGTTCGTCTTATAGATCCTTATCCCTACGTCACCAAATTAATTTGACAGTCCATAGCAGAGAATTTCCGTTTCTACACTTGCCTCCGGGCACTTGCCCTTCAATGATTTTATATTCACAACAACGCAATGCCTTCCACATTTCCACGTAACGGCATTTTAGACGTTAAAACAATATGTTATAAAAAAGGAACTTGGAAGTTTTAATTCGTATATACCCAACGGTAATTAGCTAAAATCTTCCTTAAGCGTAACTGTTCCAGGCCACAACCTGCACTCCCCACCCAGAGCTTTAAATTCTGAGACGAGGACGACTACGAGTACCGAGTGTTGCTCACGCGAGAACCAGCGTCATTTTGGAGGGAAAACGTGACAGCCGTCGTCATTCTTCCACGAATTTTAGCGAGAATGTCGTTGTGGCGGGAACAAGTTATCAAATCTTTAAGCAATAGACCAAACTTTCTATGGGTTTGCCAGCGTGATAACCCACGCAGGATGTTGGGAGAAATGCTTGTAAATCACGTGCCAAAGGCAATTGATTTACAAGCTTTTCGAGTGTTCTCCCAGCATCCCTAGTGGGTTATCACGCCGGTAAACCCATAGAAAGTGTAGTCTATTGCCTTTATAAAATAACTTTACGTAAAATGGAGTCTACCGGCAGTCTATCTACGAGTTTACGAGCACAATAGACCATAGGTTTTTAACCAATCAGAACGCGCGTACTATCTTGGTTATTTTATAAAGTTCTAAAATCCCGCTTCGCTTATTCCCTGTATAATGGTCCTTAGGCCTCATTATCGCGCGGCCAAGGTGTTTTGTGTCACGAGGTCCGAGCGAAGCGGCCCTCGCTGGTTTTTGGCGGGAAAGTCGATTGCCGCCCGCGACAACCCAGAAGTTTTATTTGAACCAAATCGCGAAATCACATATAGTCGCTAATCTCTCACCTATTTAATAAAAGCCCAGTTTCCTGAAAAAATTCTTAGTTTTTCTACGCTGTTCTGCTATTGGTCGACTGGCGAATACATAAAGTCACAGAACTGAAGACAACTCTTGTCGACAACCGTAGAGTCGACAACTGACGATACCAAGACAGGTAAGAAAATAACTATAAAAGCTAGGTTTTTGATGTAGGGGGTTTCAATGAGCACAGGTCGAAACGCTTTAGACTCGCTTTAGCTAAAGGTAAATCGGCTACTTTTTCCCCGAAAGAAGAAGCAACTAGTTTTCGTAAAACTTTAGCATCAGAGTTTTCATGGAAAGCCGCAAACTGCAGTTTGCAGTTATGCGTTTGCATGTTCACATTGCCGGGATTTCAAATTTTAGCAAGGCGTTCATTGTTTAGTGCCGCCATGCTGTTTTTCATCAAGTCGAAGTGCATCACTTTGATCGCCCAAAAACAGGAATAATTCTTCGATTCGAGTGATCCAACAAACACATCGCAGACGGATATAAAAAGATACTTCGTGCCTTCAAACCAGGGGCATCCAAAGATCATATAGTTCAAAACCTAAACATAGCATTGTTAAACGTATTTTAGTATTCAAACCGTAGATATAGGCATATTTTTATCCCCTAAAAATTTTTCATCTGTTCGGATTTCCTAGCTGAAAGTCTAGTGATTCGAAAATTACGGGGATGAAAACTTACCTTTTCGAAAATTTCAGCCAGAAAAAGGCTTTCGAAAATTCTAGGTGACCTTTCTAGGGTAAAAATCCGTTAGACGTTCGAAAATCGTAGGAGAGGCAGGCAAGCAAGAAATTTTACAACAAATGTTCCGAAAATTCTAGATCTCAAATCGACTTCCGAACAGATATTTTCAGATATTTTAGAAAATTGACGTAGGGTGCCCCTGTTTGAACACGAGGCTGTACAACTTTTAGAGGCAGAAAACCTTGCCGTAAGTCGCTCACCGCTTAGAGCCCTTCCTGCTGTTCAAACGTGAACTGCAAACTGCAAACTCGATAGCAAGACCCTGGTCAATGGGCCCAGTTGTTCGAAGGCCGATTAGCGCTTAACCAGGGGTTAAATTTAACCCAGGTTTCTCTTTCGTGTGTTCAAAAGCATTTTCTCGGATAATTTTCTCTGTTATATTTAGAGCTTTCAATCATCCACTTGTAGACAAAAAAAATTAAAACTGAAATGCTTTTTAAGCTTTCAACTTTGAATTCAAATCTCGCACTAACCCTGGGTTATCTTAACCCGGCTTTGAACAACTCGGCCCTGAAGTTTTGCGGTTTGCGGATTTTCATGCAAAACCTGGTCTCTATTAAGCTTCACGTATACGGCAAACGGCAAACGTCAGATTCAAGTTGAGAATTTCTCAAAATAGAAAATGAGCAGATAAGAACAGCTCAAAATAATTCATCTGGACAAAAACTTGCGTGAAACATAAATTTATGTGTAGAAATAATGAACAGTAAGGGGCCGACCATTTAACTCTTGAGGGGGTGGGGGGGAGGTGGGTGATTTTGAAAAAAAAATTCCTGCAAGCGCTTGTCGGAAGAAAAAAATTGCATGCAGCACAAATGTAATAGAAAGCTTATGGGAAAAAAAGGAAACAAAATATCCTGCCCACCAGATTGCTAGAAAAAAATTCTTGATGACCAGAAATCACCCACCCCCTCCCTCAAGAGTTAAATGGTCGGCCCCTAAGCGACAAGTAAAGGAGAAACTTGGTCACGTGGTACAAATTCCCGTTTGCCGTCTGACGTAAACGTGATGCTAACCTCTTTAATATCATAAAATCTGAATGAAAAGGTGATAATGATGTCTTTTCGTACCACTGGTGGTATGTTATTCTTCAGTTATGTGAACCCTGTGTTTAAAAAACTTTTCACATGTTTCTTTATTTTATAAGTTCACGTGCAAATGTAGGTAAGTTAATTATCGTCATTTGCTCATTGCTCGTAGGAGTTGATTTCGTAGCTGATAAATTAAATCTTGAATGGAAGCTCCATTTTCTTGAAAAAAAACACGCTCTATTGTACCCAATTCAGTCCCCAGAACGCTGATAAATGTATTTTAGGGCTTTTGAACTGTCAAACTTTTCTGGGGGAACACGCCCCCAGATACCCGACACGGGCCCTACAAGAAAAAGGGGACTAACGACCAACTGTTGATACAGTCGGTTTCTTCATTCAAACCTGCTGGCTACTTCATTATTATTAGAAACCTCTGATCTTTTAAGAATACTAAAAGAATAACGGTAACTATTAATCTTTAAGTTTGAGCTCAATTTCAACAAAGTGTTAACTCATCAATCAGCGTAACCTGAGATAAGGCTCAATTTTGGTATCTTGATTCTTTGCAGACTGATTTAAATGAATTTTCATCAATTTTCCGAGCAAGTTGCAATTGGACGAATTCCAGATGAAAATCGATTGGAAACAACAGCTTGGTTAATACCAAGCTATCATACTAGACGAATACATGAACCATCAACTTGGAGAGGCGTCTTGGAAAAATCGAGAGAATGCAGAAATCCTGTTTTGCTATCTGAATCTGGACAAAAAGTTGTCGGGGCAATAAGGCAGTTATGTGGACCAAGAAAAACTCTAGACAGTAAATTCCCACAAACGCAAGGTACTGATCAGTAGCCGTACGTAGTGATGTCGTTTATTCCCTACTGTTTCTGAAATATAATATTCATGAAAAAAATGTCAGTTATCACTGGAATTCTTAGGACACACAGTATAAATTTGGCTTTTACTTACTTTTGCACTGATTTTCTCCCTAAGCCATCACCATCGCATAACAGTAAGACTAGTATAATTTTAAATCAAACTATTTCTCGAGTCTGCTGTGTCCATTAGGAGAAACAGAAGTAGTCGTGACCTCCCGCTATACCATCCTAAATCTTTCGCAGGGAATCTGTCGAACTTAAAGCATTTTAGTAGGAGAAGCAGAGTGCACGTTATCGCCTCGTCGGCGTTCCGTTTTTCCGACCACAGTTTTCATATTCAAAGATATGTCAAAGAATTCAAGAAATTGATAATATAAGGAGAAAACCTGCACTTATACGAGGAAGGAGCTTTGCAAAGCTATTCAAAACCTAAAAAAAAACGAAGTCCCAGCATGGGATGGTTTAAATCATTGCTTGGTTCAGAGCGAGTCCGGGCCTTTCTTGCTTAGAAAAAGTAAAATAGTTGTTACTGCATGTTTCCCAATTTTTTATGGGGTACAATCACACTGGACTCTTAAAAAACCTTGTAGGCAGGAAATAACTTTCATCAACTCTCTGACTCTGTTTGACCTGTTTCTTATCACCACCCGATACCATTTGGTGAATGTTTTTGTCTCTAAATGTTGTCTTGATGTTATTGTTTCAATTAGCCTCAGAATACTACCTCCAGGAATCACAGGCTACGCCTGAAAGTCAACTTTGGGATTGTGAGGCACAAAATTTTGCACCCTCTTGTGGTATAAAGCAAAGATTACAAGCCAATAAAGCCGGCAAAGCACGGTAAGCATATTGCGAACGTATATGTTACCATCAGTTCTTGCAACGAATTTTGCTTGGGATTTTTGAGAATTAATTTAACTCACAAGTGATATGTTTAATGATCAAATATATATTAAAGCAGCCTAAACAACAACAGTATCGCTCTCCAAGACAATTCATCTGACGTACAATATACTGTATAAAACTTTTTAATACACCGTGTCAAATGGCTCATTCTGTCATGATCAAATGCGTGCATGGTCGAAGTCTCTCAGTATTGTTCAATTTACGATCACTTTATATTGAACCTTTCAATATAGTCAATAGCTCAGTGGAGAATGTACTGAGCCTCCTTAATGTTCCCTAACTCTGGGGTTTGTTTCGCGCTAAAACTACTCATGTACTGAGCCGCTCACTTTTAATTGTTTTTCTTAAACTAAAGGTCAACTTTCTTTCTTTACCATTTAGATATTTGCCTTCAGACCTGAACGAAGGAGAATCAATCTACTTTAGTAAAACAGGTAAATATTAGCTCGTCTTTTTTGGATCTACTGGTTATATAGTTAAATCTTTTGATGTTTTGAAGATGAGTCCGGTAAGGAAACTACCAAATCAACGACTAGAAAAGAACTAACACCAGCAAAGAGGAAAACGCAACAAAGTCCAATCACCACCTACTTCAAAGAACGGAAAATTGTTCAGACCCCAAGTGAAGCAAAGAAGGCGAAATCGCCAAACGCAGGTAAAACCGATTATAAGTACAAATATAAGTCATATAAATTCTTCAATTTATGTTTATTCAGTGTCCAGGATTTTTAAGTAAAAATACAAAAGGGCTCAGAGCCCTAGGGATTAGCACGGTCGCGAGAAGGATTGGAAAGTTGCATGCGACTTCGATTCGCAGGTATGACATCTAGACCGTAAAAGGAGCACTGGTGGAGACAGGACGGTAAAATGAGGGCATCGTTGGCCTCATGTTTATTTTTTATAAGAGACAGACGTCGTAAAATAGGGATCTTTACCTTTACCTTTGTTAGGCCCGGTTCATACGCCGAACTTTTCATGAGCCGAACCTAACACATTGAATATAGTGGATGAAACGTTCGGCGTCTGAATCAATTAGAAACGACTGTTTCTGGAACGACTCAGCCGTTCTTTTCGCCTAGCCCGGCCAGGAATTTCGCCTTTGGAACGGCTTTGATTCAGACGCAGAACTTTTCATGTACAGAACCTAATGCATAAATTGTTATAACTTCTTTTGTAAGCAGTTTGACCGAAATGAGCAACTTTCGCCTTTTAAACTTAGTTCAGCTGCAATTATGATCGGCGTCTGAATCAATTCAGCCGGTCTAAATAATTTGGGTCGGCCTTAATTCGAATTACGTTCGGCTCATAGAAAGATCGGCGTCTGAACCGGGCCTTGGTAATTTGTACTAGGGCTAAATTAAAGACATAATTTGCTTTGGTCCACGTAAACGTCCTGAACATCTAGTTCAACGTGTATGCATGTGTGTGTTTCTTTTTTGTAATTCAATTCATGATTCTTCAACTCACTGATTCTTTTATGTATCACTCTTCAAATGTTTTACTCAAAATAGGCAGGTACACGGGGAAAGGGGAGCCAAAATGAAAACATGGACAGTATCTCTAATATTCTTTGTGGTAACAGATTGTTCTGTTTTCGGGTATCGTCTCCTTAGCACTAGAGAAAGGAAATCGTGACACTGAGACAGAGCATCAGAAAAAATCGTCCTCTGCTAAAACCTGCCCAATGAAACTCTATACTATGAACCAAAGTGAAAGAGAGGCATTTCAACACAACCTACAGTCTGCTGATGAGATCGCTTGCACCCTTGTTTATGAGGGTGGATGGTCACTGCTGAGACCTAAACCTCAGGTAATAACTCTGTGCTTACTCACGGGTGTCTTTCAAACCATTAGTACCGACACTTTCCCTTCTCTTAAGGGTTATCCAGTACCGGCACATTCTACATAGTCTAGATATAAAATAAATTCAACAATGATGAATTGGAGTAATTAAGATGACAAGAGCAAACAGTGTTGCTGTTAAGGCCACATTCCATTCAGCGATCACTTACAGTCATTAATGATCGAAAGCCAAGTGAAGATGATGTGTGACAGAGGCAATGGGTGGGTAAAGGTCTCTAAAGATGGGGCGATCCAAAATGAAGGCCAGATCAATTTTGTGTTTGTTTTGCGCTGGACGTGACCATTTAGAAACCTTCGTAACCGGCAATATCCCTCAATTTTCGCCGTTCTCAGCGACAAGAATGATAATACACGACATTTCAGGCAAAAACAGGTTTATTTTGATCTTATGCGGGGATGGGTAAATATTCATCTCATTATATTATGATAATATAAACCCTTCGATATATCCATACATTTCCTCGGACAGTCACTTGGTTTCTGTAGGCCCCTCTCCACCTTACTCTCTTCAGCTGGCTCTTCAGCATCTCCAGTTGCTAAAATTCATGTTAATCAACTCTTGTAGAAAACAAAGAAACAATCAGGAGCTGTCGCACAGGAAAAGGTAAAATTTCAGAGATAATCATTTAAATTAGGTGGCACATAACATAAAAGCATTCGGAGTTTTTACAAACAATTAACGCCCATAAGCATCCCATGGGGTGGTGGTAAAGTTTGCGTACCTGATTTAGAAACGTAATTATGAGTGACATAGATCATGTTTCTTTTCTCAGATTACTGGGCTGGTTATTGCACTTCCATGGTCTGTAACAGCAGCCACAACAACTACTGATTCTGCGCAACACCGCAAAAGTCGTCTAACGGTCGTGGAGATACCACTAGATTCAAATGAGGAAGCGTTAGCAAAGTGGTGCAGGTAGATCATTGAAACAGAATGATGACAGGTTTATTTCCACATATTGGCTACCATTTAAACCATACGAAGATATTCTTACGTTTGTATATGCTTTGCATGTCGGGGCTTTCAAATTCTGCTGACCGACACAATTTACAGAGCAGTTTATAACATCGTTCTCTGTTACTCAGGGCTGTCCACGGTTAGTCTGTATTTACTCGTAACCAGTCCCTCTCCCAAATACAGTGTATCCACAGTCTTGATAAATATGGTAAGTTTATTGTTAGCTTTTTCTTGCACTTTGGTCACATATTTAAAAAGGCAACCCTTTTTTCGATCTGGTCAATTTTAGGAAACTAGTGGATGATCTAATGGCATCTTCAACGACACGAAAAATCTGCTACGATGCGCAAAAGATAGTTCGACATTTAACAGAGACGCAAGGTTACGATGTCAGAAAAGGTGATTTGACAAACTAAGAAGTTGACGATTTCTTAAGTTATTAGTACTTCTCATACTATTCTAGCCAAAGGAAGAACAGCTAAAATCAACTCGTCAAAATATGGCGAGATCCCTCGGGGACCAAATGCTGCTGATGGTTCATATACATAGCTGTCTATATAACTTGCATTTCTACATTAGCTTTATTTTCTGTCAACAATATAATGATAACTTTTTTCCCATTGTTTTAAGTTTGTCTTCATTGGCGACTTCTTGACACAAAACTGGCTGCTTGGTTACTCAATCTGGATCATCCTCCTCAGTCCTTTGCTGAAGCACTCACATCTGTTCAACTCTATTTTCCAGAGGTACATACTCATGTAAGCCACAATTCAAGAAGCTAATAAAAAGATTGAATAACCCCTGTGATAAGGTGCAAGCTTTTAGAACAACATAACGCTGGAAATGAAAAATCGCTTATAACATTCCATGGATGGTAATCATTTAGAACTCTCATAAAGTTTTTGTCCTACCCAGATCAGTGTGCAGGTTTCACTATTTTTCCCTCTTTTCAGGTTTAAATACTTGTATTACACCCACAAATATTTTCCAAAGCTACGTTATAGGTTTAATGAAAAGCGACGAGAAACATTCATACTTTTTTTCTTTCACAGGGTGCACATGAGGATAATATGATTTGCAAGGACATTGCAATGCTTGGTCCTCTTATGTTGAAACAATTTAACAAGCTTAAGGTAAAAATTAGGAAATAAACTACGTGTGCAAATTATACAAACAAGCGGATATTTTATAAGCACGACTCATTTGTTCTTGTAGATTCTGTCGCTTTGGGACTTGTTTATCAATGTGGAGAGTCCGCTTTGCTCGATGCTAGCAGGTACGTAACGGTTGGTTAATTATCAGTTCATGTACAGCCTTCTGTTGTGCCAGTCAGAGTGGCATTGGGGGCTTCGTGGAGATTAGCCTGTTTTTAAAAGATAGCGGAGAGTTGCATGACATGGAGAGCGGAGGAAAAAAAGCGCCGTGTACTGTCTACTAACGCCTGGAACAGTCTAACTGGAGATAGTTTGAAATGTCAAGCGAATTAATTTCCTTTATAACACTTGTAACGGCTGAGGTTTTTTGTGTTGAACAAGAGCTCTCTTACTCAACAGGGTTTCTTAACTAGAATTTATTCGCTCAACTGAATTTTACTCTTCTATAATTCAAGTTATGGAGACTCAAGGAATTAGCGTCGATTCGCAAGTCTTAATTGATGCGAGCAACACCCTTAAGGTAAATGCATTTTTCTCCTCTTTAATGGAACAATTCGTTATTATGAATCTCAATTATTTTAAGAACTTTTGGAGTAGATCGCGCGAAAGTTTTTCTCTTTTTTTTTTGCAGATGAAAATACAAAAGGTCGAAGGAGAGGCCCACAAGGTAAGGTAAAAGTGTGGTAAATTCAACTAACAAAGTTTTATACTCTAACGTATCGAAAAATGGCATGCTCCACGCCGTAAATAGGTACTCCCTCTACGCTAACAAAATCTCTTTAAGCCGAGAGAGTAAAACAGCGGGATAAAATGAAAGAGAATAAGTTGAAGGTCGAAAGAGCTTCTGCCTGCAGCCAACAAATTATCTCAACTACTGTCATCTTTTTTATAATTTAAACTGTCATAGTTTCAGAATGGGAATGTGATGTCAGTGAAAATAAATTTAAATATTCTATTGGCTGCAGGCTGCAGGACATCCTTTTCTCATTAACAGTCCACAGCAGTTAAGAGAGGTAAATTAACCTGAATTTGTTTTTATTATTAAGCGATTTTGGTATATTTATATATACTTAACTCCTATTTAACTTCATTTAATTTTAAGTCAGTTATAAAGAATATGTACTAAATCTTTGCATTTTTCACTTTTTGCTACGCAGGTGCTGTTTGAAGAGTTGAAACTTGACCAACAGTGCAAGAAAAAGTTGGCAAGGACATCAATTAAGAATCAGAAGTCTACCTCAGAAGCTGTAGTATGTACATTACACTGACTAAACTCCACTAAAATTCCTATGTGTTCTTCTTAGTTTAAATACACTGACAAGTTTAACTCTGCTTTCAACCTTTCGCTACGTCGATCTATACAACTGAGCTCACCTGGACTAACAGAAAAATATAGGAAACATATAGTTTGGCCGCTCTATCAATGATACATATAATATACAAACATCACACACATACATACATACTTTTAGTAACAAGAGCATTTTCCTCTCCGGAAGATTCTTTTGTTTTGGTTTGAATAGACAGAAACAGTCTTTGTGATATGCTCATTGTGATAGAGGCTTTCATGGAGCTGAACACTTAAATCTTCAACAACGGGCACGACTGATATTTCGTTGTCAAGGAATGTTTTTCTGAATGATGGCAGTCTCTGCGGAACTTGTGACACTCCAACTGCCAGAACTTTAGTTTTATCTGGATTAATCAAAAGGGAATTTTCACAGTACCAAGCATTCACAAGTTTTATAGGCTGCTTAAATTTATCTTTCATTAAAACCGCCTTCCAACACATTTTAAGTCGTTAAGCATTTTATCTATTTCCTTTCTTATCTTAACAGTTGCTTCACTTACAAGATCTTCACCCTTTGCCAAGAATTGTCCTGCAATACAGACATGTGTGTATGAGTTTTTCTTACTAGACCTTCCTAAATTAACCAATACCTAAATATATTTCAAAAACTCCTAGTCCTATGAGAATATGTCAGTGATCATTGACCATTCTAAAAAAAAATCTGCACCAAGCTTGTCTGTGATCAGGCTATCTTGCATGATGCTGGCAACTAACGAATCTCATTCTCGAGAACCTACTTACGACAACGCCCAGTATAAGATCTCAAATTGGCCTTTTTTTAAGAAAACGTTACAGTTCATTCGAACGTGTTTGGCAAAGCACTGTTAACCATTTATAGTCATTTATATGTTTTTTTTTTGTTTGCATTTTTCTGTTTTATCAACAGTTGGTGAAATTAAAGTCAACATATTTCGACGGAATTCTTTCTCATGTCAATAAGGTAACTATATAACTACCTTCACTAGCTAACATCAGTTTGATACCTGAACCTGTGCCCCAGTATTTCATTGTTTTTTCGTGATCGTTTCCTAAATGTTTATCATTGTCTGTTTTTATCTCAGAGCGTTCTCTTTACTAGCTGGTAAGTGAGGCCGTTTGTGAATTACAATTTATTGCTTGCCACCTAATGTACAGCTTTTAAAAAATATTCCAGGCGTGCAACAAACAAAACAGTGCAACAACGTCTGTTCTGAACTGACACAATTTTAATTGCAGGGACCAAACAGCTGCTGCCACAGGACGACTTACCTCAGCTAATCCGGTAGGTGGTGCTTCATTGCTATCCCCCTTAATCCGGCCACTAGGGCTTTATTCCGTGGACCAGTTTGACCCTCCCCCCTCCCTCTTTAAAAATGAAAATCTCGTTCAAGTGCTTAGAGGTGTATTAAAGCCCGGTGCCTGTCTTAGTCTTTGAATCATAGTGACTTGAAATAAGCCCCTCCCATCCCATTATATTCACTGGCCATTGATTTAGCAGGAATATAATCCGCCCCTATTAAAGGCCGGAAGGAACTGAAAGTTCTCCAGACGCAAATACAGTTTTTACTTTACCCATTCACTTCTTCATACTTTCGATTACAGTGAACTGTAAAGAGGATTTTGATGTGATCATGTTTTTCTCTTTTCGGAAAATAAAAAACAGAATCTCCAGGCTATACCGAAACAAGTGATCGAAGTTACTGGAATAAAGAAACAACTCATTGTAGGCAAGTTACAAATTTTAATAACAATACACTTTATTTAAGAAGAGTAGGGCGGAAAAGTTACATAAACTAGTAAACTTCGGGTCAACAACTAAAACAAGGCGTGAAGGTACTAAGTAGAAGTAAAAAGTGTTAATCGAACAACTAAACAACGAGGAAAATGCCATCTTTTTTACTACTTTACTGAGGCTTTGATTTGGCAATCTCGTACTTTTGTTAATGTTAATATTAATAGTGTTATAAGCATAAGTGAACGTTTGGTGGCAACATGCCACACGACATGCCGTAAGGGACCATTATATAAATGTACTATAAAAAATAATATAGCATCCATATGATTTTTGGGTACAAGTTAATATTACGTCCACGAATCGAAATGGTTAAAGTTCAGCAATCTGTAAGTGCTACCTATAGAGCCGGAAAAGGAGTTCACAATGCCAAATTGTTTTTATATTCAAGGCAAACCAGAAGAAGTGATAACCATTAATCCTCGAGCAGCTTACAGGAGTCGTCACAGTTGGTTTTTACTTGCGGCAGGTATTTCCTATGGAATGTATCTTAGTTTTCTGGTTATGCTTCTTGTAGTTATATAACTAGAACTAGCTCTGAAACAATGAAAACTGTTCATCTAAACATATGGTTCGTTTTCTTTGCCTGAAGTAATGAGAAGCACCTAGCCAGAAATCGGGCCCATAAAACAAACGCAGTATCAAGTTCCCTTTACTCTACACTTATTGGAAGACTTTGCTTGCGTTTAAATACGGATCTAACTCTTTTCTATCTCCATAGATTTTCAGTCCATCGAGCTTCGTTTGCTGTCTCATGTGTCAGAAGATCCATCCCTTTTACATATATTCAACGACAAGGAAAATGCAGATGTATTTACAACCCTTACTTCACAATGGTAATTGTCTAAGACAATCGATTTTAAGGGGACTGCACGGCCCATAACCTTTTAATTAGATGTGGAATGTTTCTCTGGAAAGCTATATTTACTGTTCGTTGCTTTCAAAATATATTACAGCATTTGACTGAAGCTCTTACAAGGAGATTTCACTAGTTAACTAGTGGTTCTCTACGTGCACTCCATAAAGGGCATTCCGAGATTTTGGTCATTTATAAGATTTATTCCACTCGATTTATGTCAGAGTCTACAAGCATAATATATCATCATCCTCTTTTAAGATATCAGTATCTGGCAGTTTGTTCGCCGATTTTTCGTGCATTTTAGGTTGGGAAAAAGTTGCGATGATGTCCACTTTCAAGAAAGAGAAAGAACCAAACGAATTGTTTATTCTGTAATCTACGGTGTCGGTAAGCAAGATAATTCAGTTTTCAACTGAGATCTAAATAGTTTACTATGCTGTTTGATTTTAGTTGGCAAGTAGATTTTGTTATCAGTAAAACAAAGTGCGTCATAATAGCATTTGCATGTTCGTCTGATTAACAGGAAGTGAAAAACTTGGTCAAACTCTTAAAGTGACTTCAGCTGAAGCAAAGGGATTCATGGACAGTTTTTTAGGTATGTCAACAATCGAAATAAATGAATGACAGTCTTGTCGAGTTCGTTAGATTCTTACTGAGGTACGCTGGGCAGATAAAGGAATTGCCCGCGTGGACTGCGGCCACCCCTCTTTTTAGTGTATTTACTATAATTTTCCCACAATTTTCATTAAAATAAATAACACCTATATAGCTGGCAATTGTACCTGCCACTCCCTTCTGAATTTTCTGGATCCGCCCCTGGGTACTTCACTCGTATCTTTTACAAGTGAGGAAGAAAAAATTAATATTCGTCAATCCATTTCAGGGCGATTTCCCCGAATAAAAGAATTTACACGTCGAAGTATTGATAGTTGCCGGAAGGACGGTGAGTGTAAAGCCCCTGTTGATAGAATCTTAAAACTTAAAGCACTGAAACTGTCATTAGCCGCCTTAGTGACCCCCATGGTGGCAAACGAAATACACTTCTAGCGCGCTAATTATATCTATTGGTGCTTCAATGAAAGCCCAGTATGTGTGCACACATTCTTCATTTGTACGGGAGAGAGATATGATACTTGACCTGAACGCTTATCAACTTTAACTGTTCTTTTTACAGGATACGTCACAACTATTTTTAACAGAAGAAGATGGCTGCCACATATTAACTCTGTTGATTTTGCCCAGCGATCACAGGCTGAACGTCAGGCTGTCAACTTCATTGTTCAGGGTTGGTAAAGTACTTCAGAAACAAATTTTTGTTTCGTCAAACCTCGAGTATTGATGGAGCTTGTTAAAAGTTATTCCCAGCGAAAATATTTTTCAAGTGACTCTAGGGAAGATACTGGCGGAAAAATTCAATATGCAGAAAAGATGTTTATCACACCCCTTTGTTTTAAAACGGTTTCATTCCGAACGAATAAACAAGAGAGCTAATATTGTTCCTTCACTTACTTCCTTTCTTCCCCTCCCTCCTTCCTTCCTTCCTTCTTTCCTTCCTTCCTTCCTTCTTTACTTTCTTCTTCCTTCCTAAAATATCATTAAAATATCAACCTTTAATCCCAAGGGTCGGCAGCAGACATATGTAAAGCAGCCATGATCCAGGTCATGTCCTCTATAAGCGCGGATGCCTCTGTTCACGCCAGGTAAAGTCTCAATAATCTGTGACGCTGAGCATGACACGGCCAGTTATGTTGCATTTCAAGTAAATTTTTGATTGGGCAGCAGATATGATAAGGTGACAATGTAAGCGATATTCTTATTTCCTGACAGGCTGCTTCTACAGATACACGATGAACTCTTATTAGAGGTTCCTGAAGATGAAATCAACACAGTGACAGGTACAGTGAATGATGCTTTTAGAACTTGAAGAGATCTAGGATTGTACATAGTGTTAATTTTATTGGCCGGATTCATATTAGAGACGGAAAGCCGTTTTGGACGGGCAACTCGTCTATATACAAAACACTCGTCTGATATGAATCCGGTTAAGAACAAGTCTCCGGTCTCAAATTTATCCGTATATTTTTCCCTCTAAACCGACGGGACCATAAGACGGGAAGTTCGTCTTTGACGGAAAACCGTCTTAAATTCAAATTAGACGTGAAAGTGAAGACGACGTTTTTGCACTTGCACCCAAAGAAAAGACTGGAACTAGAAACACAAACTTAAAGGACGGGGCACAAATACACCAAACCGGCACCAAACCATGGCCTAGCCAGTACCTCACGCATGCGCACAGCCATGTCACCCGGGCATTGGCAGCCATGGACAGCTGTTTCGCCCTTATTGAGGCTCATCTGCATGGAATGAAGTCAGCAACTGTTTCTGGGTAAAAAATGGCGCCCAAGAAGAAGGTCACAAGAAGCAGATGAGGAAAGAAACATCAAACTTTGGATGAAAGGAGAAACGAACAAATGCGCTGATGGGCGGATTTAGGGGTCGACCAGGTGGACCGCGGCCATCCCTTTTTCTGTGAATATTTGCATTATTTTTAAAGAATTATAATAAAATAAATAGTATTTATATAGCTGGAAAGTGACCCGTCCGCCCCTTTCTCAATTTTCTGGATCCCCCCCTTTTGTAATTAATTTACACTGGTGTTCTTTGTAATACTTACAGTTTAGATCGCTTTTGGCTGTATCAGCTGTAAGACCATGCGTTGCAAAAGTAGGTTCATATCAGTTGGTATTTTCTCCGACGGAATTCCGTCTGTGACGAGTTTCCGGTCTTCTAAAATGAATTCCGCCAAAATTAAAATGATTATCCAAAAACACACAAATTTTTTCTGGGAGTTTACTATCTTTGTAGTTGTATTAATTCCGATTACTGTTTTACAAAAGGTTAAAGGAGTAATTGAAATTTTAAATTTCCGTCCTAGCTGAGATCGGCTGTACAAATGACGCTGCATTTAGAAACGAACGTTCACCAAATGATATTTTTTAAAACTTGACATTCCTTTCTATGATTTTAGCAAGCGTGAAATCAATCATGGAGTCTACGGAGAAACTATGTGGCGGAAAAGTTAAGCTAAAGGTAATACGGCAGAGTGTATCTTGCCGAATGTATTATTAAAATAATTCATAATAATGTAATATCATCATTTTGCCCAACATCTATTAAAACGACTTGTTGGTTGGTTGATTATCCCCGTAGGTACCACTGCCAGTATCGATCAGTATTGGGAAAACATGGGGCCACATGGATTCCTCCTCTGGCTGACACTGGTCTTTCTACTCATACACAGTGAGATCAAAGAGGCTTGCCTAATGAACGGTGCCTTAGTATATTCAACATTTCCGGGGACAACGGAAAAATGCTCTCATCGATCTAGTTGTTCTTCATTCTTGTTTATTTTTTCAGCTTGAAAGCAAAAGCCAGTTTTTCGACGTTAGCTTTTCTTGAGTACTCAGGCCTTAAAAAGTGGTCTTTTTAAGGCCCTATAAATGTCGCTCCGTTTCTAATTTTACTTAACATTATTGATTTCGATGGTAACACAAGGATGATTTAATTTGAGGTTATTTTATTCGCCACTTGATACAGCTGCTGATTACATAGAACAAGAACAATCTTGCCATAACAATTATTGCAGTTAAGTTTGTTTGAAATTCAGTTTTTACGCCCATCGAGTATATTTTTTGTACAAAATGAATTAATACTTTCTATTGGGAGGCATGGACGTTGTTCACTTAATATCCTTATCTAATTAAATGTACTAAATTCTTGGATAAATAATTTTATAGTCGTTTATAATGCATGTTCCAAATAATCATTTAGTGGAAGTAAAAGATTTCCATTTGTTTGTTTTCCACTACCACTTAAGTGTCCGCTGTTATATGAGAGAATATTGTTGATAAAATTAATGAGATACTAACATGGCCAACTTCGAGCAACACAAAACAGCTCAACCGGCGATTGCAGAATCTGATTCATGGCTTTTCTTGAAATATTTTTTCTCTCTGCACACACAGAAAAAAATCTTAAAAATCGGGTCAGATTCAGTTTTACATTACCTTTCTACAATGTTCACGGCATGCAGAGTTTAGCAGTAGGTAATTTCAAAACGTTTCACTTTACATTTATCAGTTGAAGGTGGATGATCTTGATGTTCCTTCTTTTTAAAACAGCAAACACATATCCATTCCTTCAAGTGCAGTACAATTTCCCTGTAAGCTTTGCGATAATTGGAGCTTCGGAATGCATAAATAATCGGATTGACCGCTGCACTGCAGTACAACAAATAAGTACAAATATAAAGTAGTTTGGGCATTTTACGAGGAATGACAAATTCAACGATTACAAATGGTATGTAACACACAAAGAAACCAGTAACTTGGATTAGAAGAAGTTTGACAATCGTGCGTTTGGATTTAAGGCCATTCAACGGATCTACGTCTTCTCTACAAACGGTTTTACTGAAATACAGCTCTTTGATGATTCTAAAATAACAGAATGTGATAATACAAGTAGCTAGCATAGTGAAGAGAATTACAAGCAGACCATATGCTTTTTTATCCAAAACGTATACGCATTGTTGTCCGTCATACTCCGCGTAAATTATCGTCGGCGTATTTAACAGTATACTAAACAACCACAAACCAGCGACAACTCTTTTTACATCGCCTTTCGTTAATCTCATCTGTGTATCCATTGGTTTGAGTAAAGCGTGGTATCTTTCCAGAGCTAGAACCGCCATCGTAGACGCTGAAACAAGAATGGATACCCCGCTTAGGTTGTTCATGGAGATAAATTTGCACATGAAGTCTGCTACCTTTCCCAGATGATGGGGCAGTAAAGTAGCCACAACGAAAGGAATGCTCCATATTGCAGTCCACAGACCAGCAACGGCGAGATTAGCCAGTAGAAAATTTGTAGTGGTGTGCATAAACCGATTCCTTACTATTACCAATAGCACAAGGAAGTTTCCCAAGAAGGCTGCTACAATGAGAATACTGTAAAGCAATGCGTTTATTACAGAATTCAAAGCTTCCATACCTGTCTAGGAAAAAACAGTGGAAAAGTTCTTTTCCAAGCGAGCTGTTTTGTGCCGGAGTCCCTGTGAATAAAGCCGCTGCTATGGCAGAGTTATTAGATACAGTGTGTTTTCAGCTGTAGGATTTCTTTACACTGTCTTTCCAAGAAATTTATTTAAGAAATAAAATTGAGATCAATTCCACCAATAGGGAGATTAACATTGGTGTTTAAAGAAAACAGCAAGCGTCAATTTCAGATTAACAGTCTTTTCAAATTAGGAAATTAGCAAATTAAAAAACGTTCAAAATCTTAATTCTATCGGTTAAAACTGACATAAAACTATCAAAGATTTAGTGCATGTTTATTTTTTGTGTAGACCGAATGAACAGTAAAAGAAAAGTAGAGAGAAACCTTGGTCACGTGGCAACCGACAAGTTTTATGGAAATGTGATTCTGAATCTGTCTGTTACAAACCAAATTTAACGATAATTAGCTCTGTCGATTGTTTATAATCTTTGCGTTTGGTGGACACATTTTGTTGATTATTACAAACGTACTTTGCATGGACCTAAGCGTTTTCATTTGTTAAAGTTCATAATCCAAATGAGCCTAGCAGAGGAGAAAAAATCTCTTCCTGCCTTAGCAATGTTTGCCTACCATCCCTTAGCCAAAAAAAATAACGCTTCTTTTAAGTAGCGATCTCAAGTGATATGAAGCTAACGATCTAACTTGGTAATTTTCTCTGGTCAGTTGTCATGGTCCCCGAAAAGGGTGGCACTTCATGCCCCTGTATACACAAAAGGATCCTCTCAAGTTTAAGAACCGCTGAGTACAAAAACCTAATGAAATAGTCAGTTTTCCAGCCGTCTTGGTAAACTCGAAAACTGTTCTAGTGACTAACTTAAGTAGCCTAATGTATTGTGGAAATGTGTTTTCAAACATGACCAATCGTTTAGTATAATATCGCCACTACTGTGTGCAAAGTAGGTTTGTACCTCCCAGGCTAGGCAACAACTAGGTTTGTGAATGCTTGTGGCAAGTAACTTAAGTTCTTGAACAGAGATTTAACGTGTAAGTCCATTAAATATTTAGTTGACCAAGCTATACATGAAGAGAAGAGGAGGCTTTTTCCTAGTTGCGGGACCAAACTGACATATAAACCGGATTATCCCGAGTGGGAAAGATTGGGCACATCTTGCCCGCTCAACTACTGCTAGGGTATTCATTCAGTCTGTCATAGCACAGGAATCTATTCAACTTGCGCCCTCGCGGTTCAGCGATACGAAAATATATAATTTAAATGATGAACAATTTAACTAAAATGAACACGATATCCAAACTTGGTAACCAGTGAGGTCTTTTCAGCGTTCAGTAGTGTGATGGATGTAAACACGCTGCTATTGGCTAACACAGCTAAGATAACAGAGATAAACCTTGCCAGAAATTCGATGGACCTAACCTTTGCGAAACAAATGGGTATTTACGCAGTGATCACTGAACACACATAAGAAGTAATATGAGCACAATCTTTCAGCTGATCTCAGAACAGATGATCTTACAGCGAAGGTAACGCTATAGCCGATACACTTGGCTTGTTTTTGCGGCCTAGCGCTTTTAGATTGTTTCAAGTCAGATACGCCTCATGGTTTCTCTTTTTCCCGCATGAATCCTCTGGTGAAGAGTTCAATTTCTGCCAAGTTTTAAAATCAGATACAACGAAAACCGGGGTGTAAGGATTTTGGAGTTTGATTTGTTTTCCACTGTCAATGTTCCTATTCATCAAATTTTATGGTGATTTCGAAGATTTCAACAGAACTCAACATTATTAACGTCCCTGCGGCCCAAATCTGACATTTTATTTTGTGTAGTCACTTCATGTCATTGTAAAAAAGGGTTTGTTTTCTATGATAAAGCATGCAGAATTAAACAACTGCAGAGAAATATTTTACTTCATAGCAAATGGAAGAAAGAACCTTGTACTTAGCCCGCGCCGCGAGCATTGTTTTCGTACCATCCTCAGTCAGTATCGGGCTGGCATTCCCTAGAGGTAGACTGCTCCAGGCGTTGAGATAGTGGAACTTTCCTTCGCTCTCACACCCTAGCCCACCCCTTCACCCATAATTTCCCGCACACTTTTCTTGACGCTGTCCTCACTATCTTTATTCCTGGAATGGGCAATCTTTAGGGATTATGTCAGAATCAATTTCTCTTTTAGTGAGCTTATTTTAAGAGTTACTTCACAAAAGGAAGAATCCGCAGTCTTTGTTTGTGATTTGTCAATGTTACTACCAAGACAAGAACATACAATCCGACTGACAAGCATTTGAACAGCTGCTTCAAAGTGTATCCTTGCGGGAAAAAAAGAAAATAAAATACATCAATGTTTACGGAATATTTTTGAAAAGTAGCGAGAGCATTATATTTCTATTATAACATTCGTGCAGATGTGTTAACATATTGTCGAGAACAATTCTGAAAGTCCGTCATAAAGGAAACTGCCCGCCTCATCAGTTACTTTGCAAGTTCCTTTCTTGTCGGTTCAACTACTAAGTCATGATGAAGACAGTGCTCATCTTTTTTGCAGTGATTTGTTCTGCAAATGGTAAGTATAGATGCAAAACTCGACTTACGAAGCAATACTACACTATGTCAAATAGCTCTATAAAGAATCTAACATGATCTTGATCGTGATTTCTAAGTTTCCAGCTCTTCAGTTAGACGCCGTCGAGCAATAGGCTCCTGACTCCATCAAATCTAATCAATTTCATTTTTCCTGTCCAACGATGACAAGAAGTGAAGGAAAAACAGAATAGGGCTTTAAAATTATTAATGAATCAATAGAAACCGATTGAAAATAAGGTGTTGTTAAATGAGAGGTGATTTTTTTTTTCATTCCTTTAGTCAGTTTCCCGAACGTTGATCTAGTTGTGAAATATTTCAATGGAAAATAAAATGTATCATCAAAAACCCTTCCGCATAGCTAACATGACTTTAAAACTCTTTCTACCTAATACTTTTTTTATTCAACCTTTAGGTAACTTGAAGTCTCCTCGTCCACCGGGCTTCACTACACCTTTCACAGAGAATTTCAAATCACGTTCATCTTTGCAGGCTGGAGGTACAGTAACAATCAACTTCAAGGTTTAAAAGTTTCTTTGATATAAATCAAAAAATGTTTGTTTGGACATTAAGTCGTTACTTAATGCATGGGTATCGTGCTTTGAGTCTTATTCGATCAGAGAACTTGACGCTTGAACTGCTATTTCCTGAGGGCTACTATATATTAGTAAAATCCAACTAGTTGGTCAAAAATATCGAGACAAAACAACTTTAGTTAGTTAAAGCTAGACTAATCCTTTTTTGCCCGCCAAGAAGCCGGCGCTTTTCGCTACTAGTGGGCTATGACATATAGCCTAGTAGTAGCTCAACCAATCAGTACGCAGCATTGATAATAGACCATTAGTACGATTCGGCCTTCGGCCTCATGAGCTATTGACTCACAGCCCATTCGGGCTCGAGGAATAATTGTTAATTAACCAATGGCGATATGAGAAGAAAGTAGTTGTTTCTAGCCAGACTGTTCGGGATTGTAGTAGGTGCAGGGAAAAAAAGGAGGACTAGCGATCGGTAACTTTCCCCACGTGTTAATGGAAAAGCAAGAGAAGAACACTCGCCTCCAAACGCCTCTTTTCGTACCTCACCGCCGGACGACGCCATGCGGCGCCATATGTGGTTTCGCAGTTCATTGCTGGTCCGAGAACTCCAATCGTGATATCCAAAACAGCCACTTCTATTATATGTTACTACTTAATTATTGTTTTAATTTTAATAATCATCTAGAAATCAGAGATCATTGAAAAATGAACCAAAAAAGGATGAATATTTACAATTTTTTTTTGCTTTTAGACGTGGTTGAAGGTGATATTATGCTGGACAACAGGAACGCAGCTCTTTACAGAGGAGAAAGAAATGCCATGAAAAATGTTAACCTATGGCCTAAAGGGGTAGTACCTTACATTCTGGATTCAAGTGTAGGTGAGTACTAACACTATTATGATAAGGCTTCGCAATTTGGGGCGTTTGATAGGAAGTAAGATCACTAGAAAAAAATTTAAAAATGGTCTGAAAAATACAACAGGGGACTGAAAAACTTGTTAAACAGTTCCCGCCCTTAGTTCACTTCCCACTTTGTTCAGTTCAGCTTTATGTCTACTCCGTTTCCTCACTTTCTACTTTCTCGAACCATCTTTGCTTTCACAATCAAAATCAAAGCTGTCGACTACGCAAAGAATATAAACTCAGAGACTTATAGAAGTCAGTCGGCCGAGGCCTTCGAAGGAAACTTGAACATGCGAGAGAAGAAAATGTCAGGGAGACTGAGGCGAAATAAGAGACTGCTTACGGTCAACTTGCAGTCTAAAGAAAAGCTCCCTCGTCCGAAAAACTACGTCTCACACGCCCCTTAACTTAAGTACATTTGAATGTAAAATCCTTGTTGCACTGCCAAATGTTTCAAATTATGCGACTTAATTAAATGAAAAGATCAGTTCTAAAGCGTGAAAGAGTAGATTAATTTCCGGGGGTTAACAGGTAGCTTTAGGTCATTACAGTTACTCAATAGCAAATAGCAATATTATTACAAATCAACTTTGGAACTGGGATCTTTGTGGTTATTTCAACTTTCCATTCAGAATATCGGGCAAAGTATATAGACAGGCGTTCATTTTGTGATCACGTGATGGAGTTTTTATCTGAAAAAGATGGCAGAAGAATGATCTTTTTGTCACATCAGTAGAATGTGTAATGCTTGTAATGCATGGCCGGCATTTGACTCTCTATCGTACTTGATGCAATAATTATGTTGATTTTGTTGTGCAGATGATCATTTGGCATCCCAGATCGCTGAAGGAATCAAGGAGTATCACAAGTACACGTGCCTGCGGTTTGTAAAGAGGACAACTGAAAAAGATTACATTAGAGTGATGAAGCCAGCGTCAGGGTGAGTGAAGTAAAAATACCTAATATTACGCAGTATCTCAAAAGAATGCTGCAGTGCAAAAGAACTTATACCCCGCGATGAAAGACTCTTTATGGGAAATTTAGACCTCAAGATCTTAGCTAGTGATGGCTATAGCCTGTGCCAGGATAGTGGGGACGTCGCGAAAATAAAATAAGAAGCGCGTGATAAAGAGAAGGGTTGCGCGTTTTCCTCGCATCACTTTTTACTGCGTGACTCCCTAACTATCTTGGAGCCTGGAACAGGCTAGTAAGTCTATACTTTTGCTACTCATGGAACTAAGTTTTAGGTGAATTAAGAAGTGAAGTTTCAAGTCCTAATTTTGATCATTAGGTTTCTGATCTACACATACACGACAACATTATTTGTATTGTAATTTTCAGGTGTAACTCAATGGTGGGCGCTGTTGGTGGAGAGCAAATTCTGAACATGGGCGATGGATGTCAGTACGTGGGTCTTG